TTCTTTGAGACAGGTTCTCACTCTGTTACCCAGGTTGGAGTGCAGTGGCACAAACCAGTCTCACTGCAACCTCCTGGACTCATACACTATTTTTAATTTAGCTTCTTTCACCATAAACTTGTAGCCTCTTCTCAGCCTGGAGTACATGTATTAAGATGCCCCACTCTACAAAAAGAAGAAAATAGTGAACTTAAACTGATTAGTGAAAATTTCTTTGAGTTTGTGGAGTTAATAGACGCGGGTTCTGGTTCTAGTTCTGGCATCTAGTAAAACAAAATTTTTGTAAGGGATATTGTTAAGTTTGACTTGAGATAACGTATATAAAAACATGTCTTAAATTGTGAACACTAAGACGCAAGACATAATTATCACAGACTGAAGTATTTTATAGTGGCTCAGCAGAGTTTCACAATTTCTATTATAGTCAAAACACATTTTTTAACACGTTGGTTTTTAACTATGATATGAAATTTATATAAAAATAGAAACTCCTCAAAATTTTTGTAATACAGTTTTTTGTTTTGGATGATTCTTTATAGACAATAAATGATCAGCTTGGGTTAAAACTTGATTACTGTGTTATTGTGTAACATATGTATCTTGATTAGTATTTAATATAAATGATAAGGAAGAAAGGAACAGCTGCCTACAATATACTAAAAATGAACTTTAATCTTCCTTTTTTTTTTTTTTTTTTTTATTTGAGTTGGAGTCTCACTCCATCTCCCAGGCTGGAGTGCAGTGGCAATTCACAGCCACCTCAGCCTCCACCTGCTGGGCTCTGGTGATCCTTCTGCCTCAGCCTTCAAGTAGCTGGAACTACAGGCACGTGCTACCATGTCCAACTAAGTTTTTATTTTTATTGTAGAGAAAAGCTCTTGTCAAGTTGCCCGGGTTGGTCTCGAACCCCCAGCTTCAGGCAATCCTCTCACCTCAGCCTCCTGAAGTGCTGGGATGACAGGCTAAGCCACAGCACCCGACGAACTTTAATCTTGCACTATTTTTACTATTTTTTTTTCCTCTCTCTAGATTGCCCAATCACAAAAGAGCAGTGATCTTCCCAAACATTTAAAAGTCAGGCACGGCTATGTACCTCATACAGTTTCTCTTTACCAGACTTCAGAAGAGTAGGAGAACTTCTGTGTTCTGATAAAACAGGTCTATGCAGCTCCCTTCACCATGGAATCTATGTTGACTTTATCAACAGAAGAACTTATCAAGAAGAAAACTCTTAAGAGGTACAAAATCATTTGCATTGTAAGTACAATTCTTAATTTTTGGTCTTTCTAGCTTTGTGACAAATGTAAAGAAGGACATGATTGCCCCATTTCTATTTCTTTGTGTTGCTATTTAAATTTAAATATTTAAAATTATAAGATGTATTCAGCTTTCTCCCTTTTGACAACTCTAGTGCAAGTGAATATTTTAAATCCTATTTTGCACGTAATAAATTTGAGTAACAACAAATTAATGTTTGACTCATCTAAAAAGTTGGAATCCAGGACAGAACACTCTGTAGCACTGATTTTTTTGCATGATTATAATTACTCCCAGCTCACTTTTTTATTGCATGAATATTTTTAAGACAAGAGAGGGAGAAATTAAAATCAGTGTATCTCATATTCTTGACTGAGCTATTGATTTTATTCTATTTTACTTCACTCCTTGCCTGTTTTCTCTTTTTTGTCCTTTTATGTGGTGAGATCTTCTGTCCTCTACTTCCCACCCCACAGAAAAGCTTTTCTAGTTTTATGACTCTCTCTTCTCTCCCATTGCCCAGGTTGGTCTCAAACTCCTGGGTTCAAGTAATCCTCCCATCTCAGCCTCCTGAGTAGCTGGGACTACGGGCACATGCCATTGCACCAGCCTGTTTCGATGCCTGCTTCCTGGCCTCTCAACCAGTACCTCATGCCAACATCAATTGCATTATTTTTTTGCACTGATCTTGCCCCAGCTTTTCCCTGTGTTTTCCACTTTAGTCAATGTCTCTGTTTCTCTAGCATTGTTTCAAGGAGCAAACAAAAAAATGCATTCAAGCATCAAGCCCAGTAAACCCTCAATATATTCTATTTCTTCTTTACCCTTCTGGGTGCTTTCAACAGGTCTTATGCTATTTATTACATTTATCCTATCTTTTTAATTCAGGCAATTACAAAATTTTCCGGAGCAAAACTTGGGCATCATCTATTTCCCTTCTTTGCGTCCTACTAGTGGCTTTTTAAATACATATAAAGAAGCTCAGTATTTTAAAATAATTGTTTTAAAGTACTCTAATGTTTTAAAATTTTGACTGAAATTTCATGTAAACATTTTGAAAGCATCTGATGTGTTTCTAGCACTCTTTATGCAACCAAATGTTGGGTTTTTAGTGATTTTTAGAGCCCAGAGTATTCTTCCCAGTTAGTGCATAACATAAGACAGTTTAAGATACACGTGCACCCCAATATCAAGAAGCTTTTCCAGACTGGGTGTGGTGGCTCACGCCTATAATTCCAGTACTGTGGGAGGCTGATGCAGGAGGATCACTTGAACCCAGGAATTCAAGACCAGCCTGGGTAACATAGCAAGACTCTGTTGTTGTTGTTATTATTATTATTATTATTATTATTTTGAGTTGGATTCCCACTCTGCTGCCCAGGCTGGAGTGCAGTGGCACACTCGTGGTCACCGCAGCCTCAACCTATTGGACTCTGTTGATCCTTCTGCCTCAGCCTTCCAAGTAGCCGGGACTATAGGCACGTGCCACCACGCCCAGTTAATTTTTTGATTTATTGTAGAGATGAAGTCTCGCCAAGTTGCCCAGGCTAGTGTCAAACCCATGGGCTCAGGCAATCCTCTCACCTCAGCCTCCGAATGTGCTGGGATTATAGGCATGAGCCACCATGCCTGGCCCCTATTTTTTTTAAAGCAAGTGTTATTGAGAAGAGAGAAGAACTCCCACAGTGGGAGGGGACCCGAGTAGGTTGTCCTATTAATATTATTATGATCACTGTCATCATCATCTCATCATTATCATTATTTGAGTCAGAGTCTCACTCTGTCACCCAAGTTGGTGCAGCTTTGACCTGCTGGGCTCAGGCGATCCTTCTGCCTCAGGCTTCCAAGTCGCTGGAACTACAGGCACACACCACCACGCCTGACTAATATCTTCATTTATTGCAAAGACGAGGTCTCACCAAGTTTTTCCAGGCTGGTCTCGAACTCCTGGGCGCAGGCAATTCTCTTGCCTCACTTCCCAAAGTGCTGGGACGATAAGATTGAGCCACTGTCCCTGGCCTCCTGAACCTACTTTTACAAAATAAAAATATGTAAAAAAAAAATTACATATTCAGAGTAAACGATTATGGGAGATGAAACATGAACCTTTTACTCTCAAGGAGCTTACAGAATAATGCCGAGACCAAGTCACAAATATATGGAACAAATACAAAAGCACGAAATAAACACTGAGATTAATCAAAGCATTTTAAGCACAACTAGAGATTGTTGATTTTTCCAACAAGTTTGAACATGAAAATAAATGATGGCCGGGCTCGGTGGCTCACAGCCTGTCATCCCAGCACTTTGGGAGGCTGAGGTGAGTAGACTGCCTGAGCCTGCGGGTTCGAGACAAGCCCGGGCAACTTGGTGAGCCCTCGTCTCCACAATAAATAAAAAAATGAGCCAGGCATGGTAGTGCGCACCTGTCGTTCCGGCTCCTTGGAAGGCAGAGGTGGAAGGATTGCCGGAGCCCAGCAGGTTGAGGCTGCAGTGTCAGGAATATGTCACTGCACTTTAACCTGGGCGACGGAGTGAGACTCTGATTAAAAAAAAAAAATCAATAGTTTATGTAGTTATCTAAGCAAAATTTGAAGTTGTGTTTTTTCCTTTTGTGACTGTTTTTGTTTTTTACTTTCTTAAATAATGTGACTGTGTTTGTGTTGCCATTCTTAATGGCAATGCACAGCATTCGTTATGCAGCAAGCTTATCTTTGGACTTCATGTGTGGTCAAAGATGGCAGTGAGAAGGATTCTCTTGAATTTTATCATAGTTTAATCTAATCATGGCATAAAGTTCACCATACCCGAGAGCTTGGTCAGCAGACAATGACACAAACCAGCTTTGGTTAGGTGGTTTCCAAATTACTGTCAATCTATGAGCTGAAGATCAAAGCAGATTACTTGCCAATTAATTAAATGGATATCATATTTTTACATACTAGATATTTTTATTATCCTCTGATAGAGTAGGAAAAACAAACAAATTCAGCTCCCTAGGAATGAACCAGTTAAGGAGTTCACAGTTCTGGACTGCTTTTAGATAAATCATCGCCAAACAGGTGCTTAGTAAAAAAAGAGAAAAATGGTAAAGAAAAACAATTTCATCATCTTAATTCTTCCTTTGACTGAATATGAGGTTAAGCTCATTGCATTTGAATGGTAAATATATTTGAATTTGAAGGTCTGTAATAAGTGGTGTTTTAAAGTTCCTCCCAAACCCCCCTTCTTATTTTCAGGCATTAAATAAAATCATACACCTCTTAAATAAAATAACACACCTCTGAAGCACACCTATTAAATAAAATAACCCACTATTGGAGCTGGTATCCTGTATAACTTGTGTGCTGCAGGTACTTAGAATACTGAGAGAGGGTGATTATTTGTATATCTTTGCATATATTTTTTAAATTGTAAAAGTTACTTTTTCTTTTTGTAATAGGTTCTTCTTGCTTTGCTGGTGATTGTGTCGCTTGCCTTAGGCCTGGGGCTTGGACTCAGAAAACCAGAACAGCAAGGTATACCGCTCAGCCTTTTCTCAGAACATTCCTTGATATCTTCTTTCTCCTGGCCTTAATCCATTGAATCTTGTCTCCTGTCCCAAGCCTTCTCTCCTCTGCATACAGCATTCTCTCTCTAGGCGTCTCCCTCTCCCCACCCCACTTGTCAGGAGCCCACATCTGTGGCTGGAATTATCCACTGTCCCTTCTGGACTTCAGTCTTTCACCCTCATACAAACACCCCGGCTCCTCTGAGGTTCATGATCATTCCAGTGTTTTTCCCTTACCCTTCTTCACTTTTATAGAGGACTTTGATAACTGGCCCACAGACTTTCCATCCTAGCACCCTCTGTAACTGTCAGCATCTGATGACAAAGAATCCAGACACTCGACCTTGAAAATCTTTGTTGCTTCACTCCCATGGCCTCCATGACTACATACGTTGATGCCACGTTAGTATTGTTCCACCTTTGAAATCTCACAAGCTCTTGGCTAGGCAGCACCAAATTCTTGAAAAGTGGTGTACAATAAAAGCTTCAAAATGTTTCTTTCTCATAAGAAGCAAAGAAACATAGGGGAAACATCTCTTTGCTATACCCATTAGTATGAATAATAAATACATTATTTACAAGTGACTATATAAAAAAGAACTTCCTATAATCTTTTTACATATTGTTTTGGTACTTTTACTAAGGTGAAGTATGAAGCCAGCTGCTAGAGCAATCGTGTCCCTTTTCAATTTTGACTGATAATTTCTAGTTTGACTCAGTGGGGAAAGTTTTATTGCTTAGGAAGACTCTTAGTGAAGTTAACTGATAACTTTCTGGTCATGTTTTCACTTAAGAAACACTTAGCTCCCTGAGTATGACTTGAGAACACAGTAGAACTGGAAAGGTAAGTACTAGCCGGAAAATAACTAAGAGAACTTAGTCACTTGGCTAATGTGTTTCTGGGCCATGGTGCCAGTTCTTGATCCAACGACTGTTGGCAGGCAATGCTAGTGGTTTTATTCTGATATTCGCACACACGAATGCTCATAAGTTCTTGGCTCCCAAATCACGTAAACTGATTGCAAAAGGCATACTTAATCTCTGAACAAAACCTCCTATTGTTCCAGCTTTTTTCAGGAAGCTTTAGTACACCCACTGGCTGGCTTCCCAGAGTCATTTTTCCTTATTCTCTTCCTTTCACCTCTGCCAATCAGTCCTCGGGGCATCACTCTCTTCCCTCTCCCACCCAGGGATCGATATTTCACTCCAGCCCCTTCTGTGCCAGCATCCTTAACATATATTCATCCATTTAACTACACATGCTTCTACCACAGTTATTCTCCTAAACCCCAATCCTGAACCACGGTCACTGTTTTCCACTCCCTTCAGAGGCAATATATATTTTTTTCTAATGTGGGTTTTAAAATTTGTGCACGTTCTCACAAGTTTACTGTCTCGTGTATACATTTATTTTGTACTTATTCTTCAAAAATTGAATATTGACTATGTGCTTGGTACTATTCTAATTACTGGAGACACAGTGGTGAAACGAACAGACAACAATCCTGCCAGGAGTTTGCATTCTAGCATGGAAGACAGACAACAAAAACATAAATAAGTGAAATACCTATAATGTGATATGGAAAGTGCTAGGAAATAAGTGAGGGGAAAAAGGGGAATATGAAAGATTGAGTCAATGTGGGGGGTGTATGTGTGAGAGAGAAACATAGGGACACTTTGGGGGAAAACATTCCAGGTAAGAGGAATGTCAAATGCGGAGGCCTAAGGTAGGGGTTTGCCTGGCATGTTTTACTTAAGGAGTAACAAGAAAGTCATGAGCTAGAACTAAAGGAAGGTCATCATAAACAAAGATTAACCAGATAAGGAGGAGCCAGATCAAATAAGGGTCAATGTGTCAGAGCAGGGTCTTCAACTTTTATTCTGAGTGTGGTGAAGTGGCTGGAGGATTTGAGCAGATAGACTCAAAGTTAGGATGTACTCTGGTTTGCTTTTCAAAAGAATCCCTAGGACTGCTGTGGAATGAATAAACGACAAAGAGAAAACAAAAATAGAGAGACTAAGCGTGAAATTATTGTGATAATCTGGACAAACTAGTTTATTTGGTATCTATCCAACATTCCCTCTGACCTATGCTGTCTCCTGGTGGCTGAATTCCAGGTTGGCTTTAGTTGCTCCCCATTACATAAACTCTGCAGGTTTCCTTATAGAACCAGAGTGGTAGCTTTGTCCAGTATTTGGACACTGGACATACTTTAATGGGGTAGAAAGATTGTATTGACATATTGGATCTGGAGTGAGAGAAAGAGGAGTCAAGAATAACCTCAGGGCATTGTCTTGCTAAGCTACGGTGTGGCCAAGTGCTCTTTGAGTTATGGCCAGGCTATGTTTCCTGGCTTTGGTCCCCTCCCTTACCTTGCAGAGATGAGTCTTCTCTTTCTCTCTCTCTTTCAAATTTACTTTCTAAATAAACTATTTTTTCTAATGTAAAAAAAAGAGAATAACCTCAAGATTTTTGGCAAGAAAATATGAAATTTTCATAATTGAGATAGATAAGATTGTAGAAAGAGCTGGTTTGGGAAGAAAAATCAGGAGCTCAGTTTTGGACATGTTAAATTTGAAATATCTACCAGATGTCCAAGAGGAGAAATCAAGAAGGTAGTTGAACGCATGTGGCTGGCTTTAAAAGTGAAGTCCTGCCTGGGTGTATACCGTGGTTGAAAATCAGTATGAGGTGTGAGATTTAAATTATGTAACTGGGTACACCAACTTTAAAGAACTGGGGAGATGAGGGCAAACACACAGAAGACTAGGAAGGAGTGGCCAGGAAAGCTAGGTGATTGTTGTGTCCTGGAAACCAAGTGCAGAAAGATTTCCTAGGAGGAGAGTGAATGTATGCATATAAAGGCCACTTATGTAAATGGTTGTGATATATCTATATCTATGTAATGTTTTTCTTACTTTATCTTTGAGCACTTTTTAAGACCCATCTAAATGGCTGTGTACACATCCATTCTTTTTTTTTGAGTTATAGTCTCACTCTGTCGCCCAGGCTGGAGTGCAGTGGTACACTCACGGCCACCCCAGTGTCAACCTCTGGGCTCCAGCAATCCTTCTGCTTCAGCCTTCCAAGGAGCGGGAACTACAGGCGCGTGCTAGCACACCTGGCTAATTTTTTGATTTATTGTAGAGACGAGGTCTCACCAAGTTGCCCGGACTGGTCTCGAACCCACAGGCTCAGGCAATCCACTTGCCTTGGCTTCCCAAAGTGCTTCTACTACATGGTACACTTTGGCATATATCCAACATGCCATCAGACCTATGCCCTCTCTTGGTGCAGAATATCCAGGTTGACTGTAGTTCCTTCCCACCACAGAAATCCTTCAGGTTCTCTTATGAAGCTGTATGAGATTTGCTTGGCCATATACCAAAGAGCAGAATTTCTGGACCTTAGGGTTTATGTCTTCTAAACTCAGGTAAGCAGTACCAGATTGCTTTCTAGAATGACTGCCACAACCTACCCCACGTCCTCCACACCTCCCAACAACCCTTGGACTTATCCAAATCTCTAATTTTTGGCAGTGTATAGTTGGGTGTAGAATGAAATCTCTTATTTTGTGTTTCTCTGTCCTGTTACTCCAATCGAGTTGGTTGCTTTCTTGGTTTGGCGTATGGTTGATATTTTCATTCGCCTCCATGTTGTTAAAAAACATCCTGGTGCATTCCTAAAGCAGTGTGTATGAGAGATATAACTGAGTTTTTGACTATCTAAAGACATCTTTATCATCCCAATCTAATACTTGATGGTTTGACTAGATATTGAATTCTAAGAAGAAAATCATCTTTTTTTCCTAGAAATTTGAAGACATTACTTTCCTGTCTAATAACGTGCAGTGTTGCTTTTGTGAAGTGTGATACTATTCTGATGTGTGGTCCTTTGTAGATTATTCATGGTCTCTCTCGGGGGCTTTCACCAAGAGAACCCTGTATCACTCAGAATCCTGTTGATCTCTTAGTGTGTGAGTTTTGCCTTGGGAAACTTGATGGGCAACTTTGATGTAATAATTTATGTTCTTCTATTCTGGAAAATTTTTAGATTTGATTTCTTCAATAACATCATCTCCATTTTCCTTCCTTCCCCCCTCCCTTCTTTCTTTTTTACTTTTAGGCCCGATCTCCCTGTTTTAAGATCAATTAATTAGTAGCCTTAATTACATCTGCAAAATTCCTTTGTCATATAAGACAACAAATTCAAAGTCTTAGAGATTAGGTCCTGGAACCTTCTTGGGGATCATAACTCTGCCTATCACACTCCTATATTCAATTTTCATTACTGCTCTCATATTTTTATTTTCAAGTTACCCTGAATGCTGATCTTTTTTGTTTTTCTTTTAAATTATAGCTTTCTTTCTTATTTTATGGATGCAATAGCGTCTCTCTTTTCTGAGTATCTAGCGTGTGCGTGTGAGTGTGTGTGTGTGTGTGTGTGTGTGTGTGTGTGTGTGTGTATGAACTTTCCTGCTCCCTGCATTATTTCTTCTTCAATCAGATTTTTCTTTGATCTTTTTTGTTTTGGTTTTTGTCTTTCCTGTTGGATGCTATCCTGCCGTCCTCAAACGTCTGTGGACCATCTGTTTTCTTTCAGAGGGTGAGGCTTGTTTGTCTTTTCTCGTTATGGTCACCCTCTTCCGTGTCTGGTCCCTGTGAGGAAAGCCACTCTTAATTACTCCAGATTATGAACCTCCTTGTCTGGAGTAGAGGCAATGTGGATAGCCACTGGTCTATACCCAGCTTTTACCCAGTTTCCCTATATTTTGCCTTTTGCCTGTCCCTCTCTTCAGCCGCATAATAGTGCCGCGTGTCTCCCTCTCTCTGCAGTCCTGGAGAAAGTCACTTGACTTTTTACCTTTCTGGGGACACCCTGCTCTTAATGCCTACCTGATGCTTTCTTCGTTCTATTTCTGTCTTTCCATTTTCTTCTCTGCTTACATCTTCTGTTATTTGATTGAGAGTGTGTATGTCTTTTTAAAAACGATTTTCCCTGTTCTTTTATGAGAATTTTGTGGAATTTAGGGGGCTTAAGGAGGTCAGTGAGTCTTACCAACCAGCTACGTTTAATGTGAAAACTGTATGCTAGTTTGTAGTTTGCTTTTTTCAAATAACACCGTAAGCATTTCTCAAAGTCATTAAAATCATAAGCTATAATGTTTTAAAATAATTTCCACTGGCATCCAGAAATGCTTATGATGCTATTTATGTGGATACTTTCATAAATTTTCCCTTCAATGTACATTAAGTTTGTTTCCTTTTTTTTTTCTGAGTTGGAGTCAAGTCTCACTCTGTCACCCGGGCTGGAGTGCCGTGGCACCCTCATGGGTACTCCTGCCTTGACCTGCTGGGCTCAGGCGATCCTTCCACCTCAGCCTTCCAAGTAGCTGGAACTACAGGCATGCGCCATCATGCCCAGCTTATTTATTTATTTGTTTGTTTATCTGAGTCAGAGTCTCACTCTGTTGCCCAAGCTAGAGTGCAGTGGCACACTCACCACCACCTCAGTGTTGACCGGCTGGGCTCAGGCAATCTTTCCGCCTCAGCCTTCCAAGTAGCTGGAGCTACAGACACCCGCCACCACATCTGGCTTATTTATTTATTTATTTATTTATTTATTTATTTATTATAGAGATGATATCTTGTCAAGTTGCCCAGACTAGTCTTGAACCCGTGGGCTCAGGCAACCCTCTCACCTTGGCCTACCAAAGTGCTGGGATTATAGGTGTGAGCCATCACACCCAGTCATGTTTCACCTTTTTGCAATGATAGATAATACTGTAAAAAACATTTCTGAACATAGATCTTTGAGCGATTCTTTAGGATAGTCTGGAAGTGAAATTACTGAGATCAGAGGGTATGAAGTTGTTTTTAACTAATATAAAATTTAAACATATACAGAAGTAGAAATCCTATTTTAATAAATCTCCATGCATCCATCACTCTATCAATTTATGACCAATCTTGTCTTATTCATACCTTTCTCTACTACCGTCTCTCCATATTATTTTGGAGCTACCATTTCATTTCCATAAACATTACATTGCATATTTCTAAGAGATAAAGATTCTTTTAAAAAAATATATCATGGGCCAGGTTCAGTGACTCAGCCTGTAATCCTAGCACTTCGGGAGGCTGAGGCGAGTGGATTGCCTGAGCCTGCAGGTTCGAGACCAGCCTGTGCAACTTATTGAGACCTTATCTCTACAATAAATAAAAAACTGGCCGGGCATGGTAGCGTACACCTGTAGTTCTGGTTACTTGGAAGGCTGAGGCAGAAGGATTGCTGGAGCCTGGAAGGTTGAGGATGGGGTGGGTGGTTGTGAGCGTGCCAGAGTGAGACTCCAACTCAAAAAAAAAAAAGTCCTGTACCCATGCTTTCCTCTCTCTCCTTTGGCCTCCTGACTGAACCTGTTGCTTCTCCATCTGGCCCTGTGTGGCATGGCTTGCCCCCTCCCCTTGAAACTACAAATAATAAACTCTTCTTTCAAGGCAATAAATAAATAAAAGTGCAAAAATAAATACATAAATATTGGGACTCCTTTAGAATACAAAACAGAAAGCAAGTATCGTACGGGGATTACAGATAATCTTCAGTGGGTCTGTGTAGCAAGGTGAAGTCTAATGAGCTGGGCACACACTCCTTGCACAATGAGAACTCTGGATTCCCCCTGTACACAATTGCTGACATGTTGATGACTCTAAGTCAGTACCTTTAGAGTCTCTCTTTCTTTCCTGAGTTTCAGACCCAAATATCCAGACCCTCTCCTACATATATATATATATTTGCTTTGATCTAAAAAATAGAACTCCCCTTCTTTGGGGGCCTTGGTCTACATCTTAAAAGTCATCCTTGGTTCATCCCTCTTCTTCACTCTTTATAGAAAGCTGCCCTCCTATCAATTGCACTTCAATTTCTCTTAGCTCTATTTATACCCCCGTGTCTACGGCTACTATCTTCCTTTAGACTGTTACCATTTCTGGATTGGGTGAATATCTCCTGCTTGATCCAAGAGTTTCCATCCCCGCCTTACTCCTCTTCATTGGTTTTCCAGAATGAGTTTCTAAAACACAAATCTAATTCCGTACCGTCCGCTCACTCTTTTTTTTTTTTTTTGAGTTGGAGTCTCACTCTGTCACCCAGACTGGAGTGCAGTGGCCGCTCCCAGCCACCGCAGCCTCAACCCGCTGGGCTCCGGCGATCCTTCCGCCTCAGACTTCCAAGTGGCTGGAACTTAGGCGCGTGCTACCACGCCCGGCTGATTTTTTGATTTATTGTAGAGATGAGGTCTTGCTGCCCAGGCGGGTCTCGAACCGGCGGGCTCAGGCCATCCACTCCCCTCAGCCTCCCAAAGGCGCGGGATGACAGGCTGAGCCACTGAGCCCGGCCTGCTCACTCTTTACTGACTTCTTGTTGCAAGGCCAGGCTTCAGACTTCTTAGCATTTGCCTTTATCCTCTCTCCAGCCTGTCTTTACCTTTAAACTCGAACTACCCCTTAGCCATCACGACTTTTCTGCTGTTCAGATTTGCCTTTCCTAGTCTCACTGTTTCTAAAATTCCTCATTCTTTCCCAAGATTCAATGGGCTCTTTCCCTTCCCTGGCTAGTTTTTGTCCCAAGCCCTATATACATTCCTTGTACATATCAGTGTCATTTTCATCACATTGCGCTGGCGGGTTGTGTATACCCTAGCAATCATCTACGAGTATTTGTCTGTTCTCGTCTGTGATGAGGACTTCCGTGTGCTTCCAACACCTATGTATGAGATATTGGGTAACTCCTAAATGTTGTGTCCTTATTTCTTTGACTCACCAGGCAGCTGCAGGAAGAAATGCTTTGATGCCTCCTACAGAGGACTGGAGAACTGCCGGTGTGATGCAGAATGTCAGAACCGTGGCGATTGCTGCTGGGATTTTGAAGACACCTGTGTGAAATCAAGTATGAATTCCGAGAATAAGTTTATGAGTGTGTCGGTTGTGCTGGCATTAATGCATGTCCAAATTTTCACCTAAACGCCTTGTGTGTTAGTTGCTTAAGGCTGCCATAACCAAGGGCCAGAAACTGGGTAACTCAAACAAGAGAAATTTCATCGTCTCACAGTTCTGGAGGCGAGTAGCCTAAAATCTAGGAGTTGGCAGGGATGGGTCCTTCTGAAAGTCGTGAGGCTGATGCATGCTTCTGTCTAGCTGCTGGTGAGTTGATGACAATCTTTGGTTTGTGGTGGCTTGTCTTCATCTTCATATGATCTGTGACTCTTCACATCATCTTCCCTGTGTGTCTGTGTCCGAATTTTCCCTTTTCTGAAATTTTTTATTTTTATCATTTTATTTTTATTTTTCTTAAGAGATAAAGTCTTGTTATGTTGCCTCGGCTGATCTCAAATTCCTAGACTCCCGCCTTGGCCTTTCAAAGTGCTGGGATTATAGGCATGAGACACCACGCCCAACCTAAAATTTTCCCCTTTTGTAAGAACTCCAGTCATACTGGATCAGAACCCATTCTAATGATCTCATTTTACTTGATTGTCTGCAAGCAATTTGGAACCATTTCCAAATAAGGTCACATTCACAGGCAGTGCATCTTTTTAGGGGACACAATTAAACAACTAACATCTTCTATGCAGGGTCTTCTTACCATGTCCCCTTTTACTGTGGTAAACATAGAGTTCACACTTTATTGAACTGAAGTTGGGGAATAACAGACTGCAGTAAATGAAATGCTATATAATTACAAAAGTTTCCATGGAGTTTTAGTATGGCTTAAGTTAAACATCCTATTTTGTTTCATTTGCGGTGTTTCTCAAACTTCAGGGTGTGTAAGACTCATTTGGAAAGCTGGTGATTCTTGGTCATTCGGATGTCAGTGTTCCACAGAGCCCAATATGAGGAACAGTAGGTGGAAGAGACAGTTTGCAATGTTGAATTCTCTGAGTAACCAGGGAAGGTAGGAGTGGGGGCGTCTAATAGTTGGAAGAGAGTGAAGATTAGAACAGAGTTATTGACCTTATGTTCTCTGAAAAGGCAAGAGGGAGGGGATAGCCCAGTATAGAGATCTGGGTTCCTTTTACTCAACCCCTAAAAGCCTTTTCTTTCTAAGTAAATACTAAATGCTGGAAAATGAAGAACTCTGTGTCTAACGGAAGCACTTAACAGTCACTTACCTGGTGTGTTTGTCTAAGCACAGGGCTGATGCTGATTTTAGCCACCGTGTCCTAGCAGGTGGCCATGAAAAGCAACCCTACTCAGCTTCTTGCTGCTTTCAGCAATGGGGCTTATTTTATTTATTTATTCTTGAGTTGGAGTCTCACTCCGTCGCCCAGGCTGGAGTGCAGTGGCACACTCACAGCCACCCCAGCATCGACCTGCTGGGCTCCGGCGACCCTTCTGCCTCAGCCTTCCTAGTAACTGGAACTACCGGTGTGCACTACCATGACTGGCTAATTTTTTATTTATGGTAGAGATGAGTCTTACCAAGTTGCCCAGGCTGGTCTGGAACACCTGGGTTCAGGCAGTCCACTTGTCTAGGCCTCCCCAAAGTGCTGGGATGACAGGCTGAGCCACCGAGCCTGGCCCAATTGGGTTTGTTTAAACTGACCTGATCTGAAGGCTGAGAGGACCCCCAGAGACATGGGTTGGGAGCTGTTCTGTCACCACTGTCACTCTCCACTGGGAAGTCCTCTGCCCTTCCTATATTCTCACAGACATGACTGTGCTCCTGTCACTTCTGTTGTCACCCTCTCTTTCTTGCTTCCTGTCCCTCGACAAGCCTGGTTAAAGCTGCTCTTGGGTGGCAATAATCCACCCAAGCTAATGATTCTTCATCACGGTGAGCTCCTGCCCTCCGGTGGGAATAGGGAGTGTTCAGAGCTTCTCCATACTCCCAGTGACCCTGCCAGATAGAAGCGAGTTCCAGCTTATAAAGCTATATTTCTGCCACTCCTGCTAATGGAGAAAAGTGGTGGGCTGCCCCTCATTTGTTATTATATTATGTATTTCCACTTATTAATACAGATGAACCAATCATTTGACTCTATTCTAATAATATAGGGAGAAATGCATGTCTTTTGTATTGGATACTTAAAACGAATGCTCAGAACTGAACTTTGTGATTTTAAAGCTAAATTATGGACGTGCAATGCCTTTCGTTGTGGAGAGAGTAGACTAGAGACGAGCCTTTGCTCTTGTGCTGATGACTGCCTGCAGAAGAAAGACTGCTGTGCTGACTATAAGAGTGTTTGCCAAGGTAAGCCGATGGTTATTGACTCATTTTCTTTGTGAGTTCAGTGGCACTCTGTGAGGATCCCAGAGCCATCCTAGACTGCAAGAATTAAAGCAAGTCAGAGGGTCTTACTCCAAATTGAAGAAGAGGCCAAATGTGTTTACTGTGGGAAGAAATGTGGTTAGCACACTGTAGAGGAAGGAAACTCGTAGGAGTAATGTAGAAAAGCAGAGACAGCTTCAAGTTCCATGTTTGTCTATAAGGCGTGGCTTTTTCAACTGAATGACATACTTGTAGTTTGTGATCCTGAATGGCAGATTCTAAAGTTAAACATGGTAAAAGATGTTATGTAGCTCAGATATCTACCTATCAAGCCAATGTTGTTGTTGTTGAAACAAATGGGTAAATAGCTAAGGACTTTAGGGAGTTATATGTAGAGTCAAGATTAGAATTCAGGTTATTAAATTCCTGATTCCACCTGCTCCTCACTTTATAAGTGATGCAATTTTTTTTTTTTTAATTGTAGAGATGAGGTCTTGCTAAATTGCACAGGCTGGTCTTGAACCTTGGGGCTCAGGCAATCTTCTCGCCTCACCAAAGTGCTGAGATTGCAGATGTGAGCCACCGAGTCTGGCTTAAATTTTTCAAATCATCAGTTTCTTAGAGCACTGATGACATTTATGAAACATGCACATACGAAGAGTTTATAAAACATTGTGCATTTATTCTTACATGTTTAAACTTAAGTTATCTTCAAAGTACTCTCCATTTAATGCGATACACCTATCAAGACACTTTTTCCACTGTTCAAAATAGTTTTGGAACTTGTCGATTTGGATGCCTTTTAGTGCTTCTGTCATTTTCTGTTTCACCTCTTGCACACCGGCAAAACGTTTCCCTTTGAGGACTATTTCATCCCAGGAAACAAACCAAAGAAAGGATTGTTTGAGGCAAGATTAGGTGAATAGGGAAGGTGGGGTATGGGGGTTTGTGCTATTTTGGGTCGAAAACTGCCAAACACTCAGTGCAGTGTGGGTAGGTATGTTGTCATGGTGGAAGAACCAGTCACCTGTTTGTCACAACTCGGGATGTTGCCTCTGCAAATCATGACACACAACACTGGCTGGTACATTGACGCTGATGGATTCTGAGAACACTTACCTAGCGGGGGAAGCCTGTATTATAAGGGGCCCACCATCCAAAAGTTAATTCTGTTTTTTGGGGTCCCCCCTCATGTACATAGCAACAAAATTTCTTCAAACTTTCAACCCCTTTTCATAACATCACATTCAACTGAGCTAACATAATTTAAATATTTTTAGACAAAAAAGAGAGCTTAGGTTTAATTCTCTCTCTCTCTTTTTTTTTTTAGTTAGAGTCTCACTTTGTTGCTCAGATTGGAGTGCAGTGGCACACTGCTCACGGCCACCACAGCCTCGACCTGCTTGGTTCAGGTGATCCTTCCGCCTCAACCTTCCAAGTAGCTGGAGCTACAGGCACGCACCACCACGCTTGGCTAATTTTTTATGTATTGTAGAGATGAGGTCTCACCAAGTTGCCCAGGCTGGTCTCGAACCCGTGAGCTCAGACAATCCTCTCACCTCGGCCTCCCAAAGTGCTGGGAATATAGGCGTGAGCCACCACGCCCAACCTAATTCCCATTTTTGAAATAGGAGGGGAATGTTATAGTAGAAACTTTATTAACTATAATGTAGAATAGAAAGTAAGTTTTGTACTAATAGATGACTCAGTTCTTATATAAAATGTGATTGAAATGCATCTTAAAAGAATTATCAGAAAAGAAAAAAAAGTCTGAAGTGATAACTCCTTTTTAAAATAATAATTGTTCAATATTTAATAGTGAATACTGTATCATTTAAAAATTCCTCTAAACTAACAGAGGCAAGTGTAGATTCTAATCTGCTTCTTTCTCTGATAAGTTCACTGGCCACACTACCTCTGACCTCAGTATTTGTCCGTCTGCTCCAATTTTAAAACTTTTAACTTTTCATCTCATGACCGATTGTTAGATCATGTCATGAAGTTTTCTACTGAATTCATTGCACAACATTGTTTGAATTTAGCAGAAACAAAAGTAATTGTTATAGGCATTGTTAAAGTTTATCATGACCACTAATTGGTAACTCTAATGCTGTTAATTTTAATCACTTCAGTTTATTTATTTATTTGTTGTTGTTGTTGTTGAGAAAGTAGGAGTTTATCAAGTAGACAGAAAAGCTCCTGCAGCAGGAGGGGACCCAAAAGAGGGTTGTCCAGTTTATTTTAAAGATAAATCTATTTCTCACTCTGAGGGTTCAGCACGTTATATCTTAAAATGTTAAATGATTTTTGTCAAAATTTTATCTTCAGAGAGTAGTTAGAGAGAATTTAAATTATTTTTATGCAAGAAACCAGTGGGTTACTTTCATACTTTAAGTTTAGAATTTCTAAATTTCATGATAAATTTCTACCATATAGAGAAGTTGAGAGAATCATATCATATTGTTCCCTTAAGTCCATCACCTATCTTCAGCAGTTTCAATTCATGACCAGTCTTGCCACATACTGACAAACTATAATTTTAAATGTAAGGGGAGCATATCAAAGATTTACTAACTCATTAATGAGATAACCAACTAGAGTAGAAAGTTAATTCAAAGAGAATCAGAGACTAAGTATAAATAGGACTTGACAATGTTGGGATACAAGTCCTAAAACTGTATCTTTTGGTGCATCAGAAATGATTTGCATTTCTATAGGACAACCCATTTGCTATCGGACAAAAATTAGTTATATTGATATCAGTTTCTACTAGTTGTCTGATTTGTAAAATGAATGGTAAAGAGTAAGCTAGACTGGGTGTGGTGGCTCCCTCCTATAATCCAGCACTTTGGGAAGCCGAGGTGGAGGATTGCTTGAGCCCAGGTTCAAGACCAGACTGGGCAACATAATGAGACTCGTCTCTATAGAAAAAAATAATAATTAGCTGAGTGAGGTGGTGCATGCATCTCCTGTCCCAGTTACTCAGGAGGCTGAGGTGGAAGGATCACCTGAGTCCAGTCGAGGCTGCTGGTAAGCCATGATTGTGCCACTGCACTCCAACCTAGGTAACAGAGCAAGACTCAACTCAGGGAAAAAAAATAAAAGAGAAAGCTAGATAAAGAAACAGACCCCTAGAGACTTGAATAATCCATAGGTGAGCTTTTTAGATAATTCCCAGCAGGACCCTAAAATGAAGCCTAGTTATCAGTCCTTCTTTTGCCTATTTCCAAGCTTTAGATGATTTTTCTTTAATAAGTTAAACTTATCATTGCCCCCAACCTCGCTTCCAAAATTGTGGATCGTTTCAAAGCATATCCTAGGGTTAATAGTATTCATTTGTGGCCAGGCACAGTGGCTCAAGCCTGTAATCCCAGCACTTTGGGAGGCCAAGGCGAGAGGATTGCCTGAGCCTACGGGTTCGAGACCAGCCTGGGCAACATGGTGAGACTTTCTCTCTACAATCAAAAAAATTAGACAGGTGTGGTAGCACGCGCCTGCAATTCCAGCTATTTGGAGGGCTGAGGCGGAAGGATCGCTGGAGCCCAGCAGGCCGACGCTGGGGTGGCCGTGAGTGTGCCACTGTACTCCAGCCTGGGTGACAGAGTGAGACTCCAACTCAAAAAAAGGGGGAGGGGGTCATTGTCCTACAGAGTTCTCCAGTCTGGGTTTTGCTAAATACAAATACATCATCTGTGATTTAAGTAATTTGTCATCTTTAACATTTTCTGCAAGTTAGTCGTTAGAGCCAGAGGACTGTTCATATTCAGGGATGATTCGTTTATTTTTGCAAGTATTCTTTGGTGGTGGTGGTGTTACTTTTATCAAGAGGCACTTCAGGTCTGCAGGTGTTTTTTTGTGGATGTCAGCCACTGAAGATCACTGCCTAGATCCATGAGGGGCTGAAAATTGTGATTTTCATATTCCTTCATTTCTATTTCATTCATTAGCTACAATGTTCTATCATGAGAAATACCCATGAAGCAAGTTTTTTTTGTCATTAAGATTTTAAGCATTTGTTAAATGTCTCCCGTTTAGTATTAGCTATTCTCATTGGCCATTTGTTTTGTGGAATCTTTTCTTTCTCTCCCATTTTTTTAAAGACGATGTCTATATTTATTAAGCCCATTTATTCTAGGTTATTTGGGAAAATATTGCCCAGGAGGAAAACAATAACATTATTAAGAAGAAATGTCCCTTTTCACCTAAAGGAATCTCCTTTGTTTTTCTTGGTAAAGATTGGTTTCCTGGTATTCACTTAGTGTAAATTACTGGTCTCTGACAGTCACCAGAAGCCCTGTCTTTGTCAACAAGTAAAAGCACACGTTATGTTATGTGTGTTGAAAGAATTAGCCACAGGACTAAATTCAGAGCAACACAAATGAAGCAGTTCGAGATGGTGTCCTTTGAACCAAGTGTTCTTCTTTTTTCTTGTCCATAGTATAGCATCTAAAGATTTGGATCTTATGTTTTTCAGGAGAAACCTCATGGGTGGAAGAAGCCTGTGACGCAGTCCAACAACCTCAGTGTCCAACAGGGTGAGAATGAATAATACGGGATTTTTTGCTTCCTATAACAGTGGCCCATGGGAATGTAGTTGAGAGACGTGGTGGAATTTCCTCAACTCTATTTACTTTTCAAAACAGAAAAAGTTGACGTAGGATTAGATGTCTTGTGGCTTCCAAGTCCTAATGGACTTCTGTTTATTTCTTACAAAGCACTTTATATTAATTTGCTATATTCAAATCCTACAGCAAAGACTTAAACATTCATTGGGGTATTAAGTAACATCCCAGGGTCCCATGGTAAGAACCGGAATTGAAATTTCTCCTGCCAGGTCTCTTCTGCTAACATCCCGATACCTCAAATTTCTTCTGACTGAAGAAAGGGGAAGAAGTTTGTGAAGGCCTCACAGTGAAAGGGAGACCCTGAAGGGTGGGTGAGGAGGGATATGTCGGGGCACAGGTGATGAATGTTTTGGGGGACACTTGCACCTCCGCGCCCTATATCTCCTCCATGAGTCTGGTGGCTGCTCCCCCAACTGCCTGGGCTTGTAATGTGCCCACATGCCTCAACGTGGGTGTGAATCCCCCTCTCCTCCATCTACCCCTCTACCCTTCACACTTTTCTGGGCCAAGCAGTGGGAGGAAAATGGTGGGGGAATAAAGGAGAAAGAATGCTTGACTTTAGGATGAATCTATGGAGACATTTTATTTTTTTATTTTAACTAATGAACTAATTAGCTAGTTCATTTTAAGTCGGGGTCTCACTCTGTTGCCTAGGTTGGAGTACAGTGGCACAATCATGGTTCACCGCAACCTTGAATTCCTGGGCTCACGTGATTCTACCGCCTCAGCCTCCTGAGTAGCTGGGACTACAAGTGTGCACCACCACACCCAGCTTATTCGTAGAGCTGAGGTCTCACTCTGTTGCCCAGGTTGGTTGCAAACTCCTGGGCTCAAGTGATTCTCCTGCCTCGGTTTCCCAAAGTGCTAGGATTACAGGTGTGAGCCGCCCTACCTGGCCACAATGGAGGCATTTTTCTTTTTTTAAGATGTGGGGTACAATTCAGGGTTAGGGACATAAGTGGTCATTGTACAGGTGAAGTTTGGGCCTACCATTGATCTTCACTTCGCCTGGTTTGGGATCGGGTACCCTTATTAGTATTTTGTGCCCATCCCCCTCCCCAGGCAATGATCTGCTACTGCCAATCCCTTTCATGTAGTATTATGACCAATGTTCAGTGTCCGCCTATGAGTGAGAACATGTGGTACTCAGTTCTTTGTTTCTGTGATAGATCACTGAGTATGATGGACTCTAAATCCATCCAAGTTGCTGTGAAGTCCATAATTTTGTCGTTCTTTATAGCTGTGTAATATCGTGGATGCATTTTAAATTAGTATTATTCCATTTTTAAAATGTGTGTGGATAATGTATCATGCTACTTTGGTTTGTAGCTCAGTCACCCTGTTGAGCAGTTTTGAGGTGGAAGAACAAAGGGTTTAGAATAAAAAGGAGACTTGAGTTTCAGTCTTGAATTTGCCTGTGGAACTTCGCTTTCATCATTTCTCTGAGCTTCACCTATAAAATCGGAATAATAATAATCGTAATGCCAAGTTTAGATGAGCTTATGAGAGAATTAGATGATCTAAAGTAAGGGAAAATTCTTGATATGCTATACAACAATAGGTCAATTTTAGTTCTAGTTCATGGAACATAGTAAGTACTCAAAAAATTGTTAATATTTTTCTAGTGGAATTTTTCTTTAGTGGCTTGTTTTATTAGATGAACTTGATACTTGAGTTTATTAAGGTGTGCCCAGAATCAAGCAGCCTAGATATTTATATGACCTTTTCTCACGGCTCAAATTCCACTGGCAATTCAGCTCTAACAAAAGCATAATAATAATACTAGCTAGCATTCGTATAGTTCTTATTATGTACCAATATGTACATTACACAACAATCATCTTTCATATCGTTCCTCATAAAATACTCTTTGAGGTAGGTCCTGTTATCTCTCTCTTCCATTTATAAGCAACATGGAGGCACACAGCTTGAAGTAACTTCTGCAAGGTTACATGGCTAGTGAGTGCTGGCAGCAGAAAGCAAACCCAGGCAGTAAGGCCCCAGAGAGCCCCTGGGGCCTGATACTCCTTCAAGTCATAACCTGAGCCTGTGACACTGTGCAACTGACCAGAAAAAGGTTTAAGGCGTAGAAGCGTGGGAAGAATTTTTTGGGTCCCCAAGACTCCTCCTCCTGTTGGTAACTAGAAGGACACAGACATTAGGTGAGCAGAAAGGTTTTCACCAAGGCCTTTAAAAAAAAATTTTTTTTTTAATTTTAAAGATGTGGGGTATAATTCAGGGTTAGGTATACAAATATTCATTATGCAGATACCCTTGTTGATGAGACATGCTCACCAAGGTCTTTGTAAAGAGCCCCAGCAAACCTAGGTGACTGAGCCCAGATGATTAAGAAGATTTGCCAAGAAGATACAAATGTTATTCCAGGAAATAATCACTATACCATGATTCATAAAAAAGTACCAGCCACCTGTCTTGGTTATGGAAGTACTGTATAAATTGATATAGATTGTTGGGAGAGGATTGGGACCAACTATTTTAGTATCCTTTGAAAGTTTGTCCTTAGACCTTAGACTAGAACATTTGATCTTTAGGAATGTATCTTAAGAAAACAGTTAAGTGTTTCCACTGTAAGAATGTTCACAACAGCAGAGTGTAAAATACACTCTGTAGCTAGCTTGGAAAGTCAAGGCAGCATTAAGAAAGTGGTATACTAGACCTTTGGATCCTTTTTTTTTGTTTGTTTTTTCAGTCGGAATCTCACTCTGTAGCCCAGGCTGGAGTTCAAGTGCAGTGGCACACTCACGGTTACTACAGCTTTGATCCACTGGGCTTGGGATCCTTCTGTCTCAGTCTTTCAGGTGGTTGGGACTATAGCTAATCTTTTTTTTTTTTTAATTTTTTGACAAGGTCTCACCAGGTTGCCCAGTCTGGTGTCGAACTCCCGGGCTCAGGCAATCCTCTCATCTCAGCCTCCCAAAGTGCTGGGATTACAGGTTTGAGCCACTGCGCCCGGTCTTGGATCCCGTAGTTCATAGACCTTGGTTTTAAGCAGCAATGTTATATTGATGGCATATTTATGAAGGTACAAATTCTAGTCAGAAATATGCTAATGACTTTATTAAAGATGAGTTGTTGTTTTTTTTTTTGAAAGCAGGATTTATTGAGAGGACAGGAAAACTCCCACAGTGGGAGGGGACCCGAAGGAGTTGCCCCAAAATAAGTATTTTAAAAAGCAAATTGCACTAGGTCACTTTAATGTCTTGATGAATTTTCTGCACATTGTTGTTCAGTCTTAATTTTCTATGTTTATTTTTAAATTGGGGCATATCATAGTTTATACACACTGAAGTCCTCATACCTTAAGTGGGTGGTATAATGAGATTTGGAAATTCATGAACCTGTGGAACTCACCAATATAGGATATTTCCAAGATATAGAATATTTTCACCACCCCAGAAAGATGCCCATGTCTCTTCCCACCCTCTGCTCCCGAAAGCCAATTACCATTCTGATCTCTATTATCATAGATTTCTGTTTGAGAATTTCATATTAATGGAGAGTAGGCCATAGGTTTCCTTATGTCTGGCTTTGTTGGCTTAACCTGATGTTTTTGAGATTCGTAAATGCTATTGCATGTACTACATCTCTCACGGGGGCGTTTGCACAGAGTATTTTCCATGAAAAAAAAGTCCATAGGTTCCATTCCCTTTCCGTGTTATCTCTATTTGTTCTTTAGGGCTCAGCTCATGTCATACCTTTGGAGAGCTTCCTCTCACCTTAACCAAGACTGAGTGTGACACCCTTCTCTGTGCTTGAATGGCACTCTGTATGCAATCCTAGCCCATGCCATGCCTGGCTACTTCTCCTTTCCATCCCCTGGATAAGGACTGTAACTCCTTTAGGCCTTAGTTCTCAGCATCTAACATAATTTCTGACTCAAATATTTGCACATGAGTTATTCTATAATAAATGAATAATCTGGGAAGCCAAGTAAGACATTCTCCAGACTCTCTTCACAGTTTCTTTTACAATGGAGAATTAGATGGCTATATTTTTTCTGGGTTTTACTCAAGCACATTAAAATAAATGGAAATTATTTTCTTATTTTAGCTGGTGTCAGCATTCAGGATTTTTTTTTTTATCATACCGAGTAATTTGTCAGACTTTTTTTTTTTTTTTTTTGAGTTGGAATCTCACTCCGCCACCCAGGCTGGAGTGCAATGGCATGCTCACAGCCACACCAACATTGATCTGCTGGGCTCAGGCGATCCTTCCACCTCAGCCTTCCAAGTAACTGGAACTATAGGCACGTGTTACCACGCCTGGATAATTTTTTATTTATTGTAGAGATGAGGTCTCACCAAGTTGCCCGGGCTGATCTCGAACCCGCAGGTTCAGGCAATCCACAGTCTTCTGCCTCTCAAAGTGCTGGGATTATAGGCTGAGCCACCGAGTCCAGCCCAGAATTTTAAAAGAGGTAGTCTTACCAAATTTCTTGAATAAGTATGGTTTTTTTCAAAACTGTAGATGTGATGATCTTTGAGTGCATAGTTGAAAATGATTTCTTTTGCATATTCACTTGCATGTGCTATATTTGGAATTTAAGACAAATTTATTGTGTTCATAGCTGCTATTCATAGTAGGTCCAAATTGGAAAGTACACAAGCAGTCATCAACAGTCAAATGAGTAAATTGTGATTTATCCATCCACTGGAGCCTAGACAACCATGAGAATGACTTATCCATAATTACTTGCAGCAATATGAATGAATCTCAAACATAATGTCAAGTAAAAAAAAACCAGATTCAACAAAATGGTTCTATTTTCATATACATATAAGTACAAGAATCGGCAAAACTAATCTATCCTGTTGGAAGTCAAGATACCAATCATCTCTGGTGGGGATGTGGTTTGCAGAGTTTGGCAACTAAAGGAAGCACAGGGTGCTGATAATTTTGTTTCTTGATCTCGGTGATGATTACAGCAGAGTTCAGTTAGTAAAAATCTACCAAACTATATATCTGTGAAATGCATGTGTGTAATACAAGTACATTTTAAAAAGTGAAATAAACACTAAGCTTTAAAAAGACAGTCTCTGACCATTGCCCAAAAGTTACCTCTATCATTTTCACTTAAATGCTGGTCTAAAGGGGATTGCAATGCTTTTTAGGTGTATATAAATATCCTGAGATAGAAAAAAAGTCCAAAAATGTAGAACTTTACATTAAATAAACATCTAATAAACTATAGACTTTCTAAATTGTAGATCACAATTATCTCCAAAAGATGGTAGAATTCAGTAATCATTTTACCTGACCCAGAACTGTTTTCTTACTGTACTTTCTAACATTTTCTAATCTAGAGAATTGTAAGCAGTACAGAAAAGTGTAGTTTTTTAACAACCAAAATAATAGGCACATTTTTTATTTTTCATTTTCAGGTTTGACCTACCACCAGTGGTCTTGATTTCCATGGATGGATTTAGAGCTGAATATTTGCAAACATGGAGTACTTTAATGCCAAATATCAATAAACTGAGTAAGTCTTCTACAACTAGTGGCATACAAATGACAAAGACACGTAGTCTCTAAAATAACACAACTTCTTTCTGACTTTTGACGTTAGTGGTTTGTCTTATTTAGCCCAGATCTTCTCAAGATCTTGATGATCTTGGTATCAGTTTTCAGCAGGGAATGTATTTTATCAATTTTCGGCAGGGAGTATATTTTTATACCTGGTAGCTGCTCCTACCTTTTTCTGGTAGTGAGTTCATCTTTCTGCCTCAGCCTTCCAAGTAGCTGGAACTACAGGTGTGTGCCACCATGCCTGGCTAATTTTATGATTTATTTTAGAGATGAGGTCTCACCAAGTTACCCAGGCTGGTCTCGAACCCCTGAGCTCAGGCAGTCCACTCACCTCTGCCTCCCAAAGTGCTGGGATTACAGACGTGAGCCACCTCACCCAGCAAGATAAACTACTTTCATCTGCAAAGCAAGACGCATTGTTTCCTCCGTTTCTCTCTTACTCCTTTACAGACCTTTAGAAAAGAGATGATAGTTGTCCAAATCTAGGACTTATCACTAACTGATGAATTATTTTGTTCTTGAAAGTTAATTAACACTTCTCAGGTTCTGTCTCCTTATTTAAATTTCTGGATATCAAATCCCATATCCAAAAGGGAATTTAACTAGCCAGGTTGCCTGAACCCCTTTTGATGTGGAAGTTTTTTATTTGCTCATCACAATGAGAATTTGAAATGATATCAATGACAACAATATTCAACCATAAGAGCTTTCTGCTTTCTAAAAATGAACCGGGCATGGTAGCGCGCACCTGTAATTCCGGCTACTCGGAAGGCGGAGGCGGAAGGATCGCCGGAGCCCAGCAGGTTGAGGCTGCAGTGGCCGGGAGCGGCCACTGCACTCCAGTCTGGGCGACAGAGTGAGACTCCAACTCAAAAAATATTTTTATTTTTAGATTTTTTTAGAAGGTCTTGCCAAGGCTAGTCTTGGACTCCTAGCTTCCAGTGATCCTCCTGCCTCAGTCTCTCAAAGGGCTGGAATCATGGGAGTGAGACACTGCACCCACCCAGCCAGAGTATTTTAAATATTTTAAATGAACATTTTATTTGTTTGTTTGTCTGTTTTTGAGTAGGAGGCTCACTCTGTCACCCAGACTGGAGAGCAGTGGCACCCTCACAGCTACTGTAGTCTCGACCTGCTGGGCTCAGGCGATCTTCCCACCTTAGCCTTCCAAGCAGCTGAAACTATGGGCACCCGCCTCCATGCCTGGCTCATATTTTTTTTTTATTGTAGAGACAGAAGCTCACCAAGTTACTCAGGCTGGTCTTGAACCCTGGGCTCAAGGCATTCCTCTCACCTCTGCCCCAAAGTGCTGGGATTACAGGCATGAGCCACTGCGCCTGGCCTATTATATTTATTTATTTACTTATTTATTGAGTTGGGGTGTCACTCTGTCACCCAGACTGGAGTGCAGTGGCATGATTACGGATCACCGCAGCCTTAACCTTCTGGGCTCCGGCGATTCTTCTGCCTCAACCTCCTGAGTAGGTGGGACTACAAGTATGTGCCACCACACCTGGCTAATGTTTTTGTAGTGACATGGTCGCACTATGTTTCCTAGGCTGATCTCAAACTCCTGGGCTCAAGCCATCCTCCTGTTTGGCCTTCCAGAGTGCTGGGATTACAGGCATGAGCCACCACATCTGGTCTAAAATGGTCATTTAAATATTTCAAGTTTAAACATGCAAGAATAAATACACAGATTTTTATAAATAAAAATTCCGTTTTGGGGAGGGTCCACCCTCTTATAGTCTAGATGTGTAGTAGGTGATACTCTCTAGGTTTGTGTAAGTACCCCCTATGATGTTTGCACAATGATGAGATCCTCTAATAACACATTTTTCAGAATGCATTCCTTTCATTCAACACGTGACTGTATTCCTAGTTTGTTGAGAGCTTTTGCCATGAAAAAGTATTAAACTTTATCAAATGCTTTTCCTGCACCTATTGAGATGATTATATTATGTTATCCTTCATTTTGTTAATGTAGTATATCACATGAACTGATTTTCATATGTTGTACCATTCTTGCATCCCAGAGATAAATCCCACATGGTCATGGTATATATATAATTTTCTTAATGTGCTGTTGAAGTTGGTTGGCTTGTATTTTGTTGAAGATTTTTGCATCTATGTTCATCAGGGATGCATCTATGAATATCAGGGATATTGAATTTTTTTCTTATGGAATCTGTATGGTTTTCATATCAGCGTTATGTTTGCTTTATATGTTGAAAGTGTTCACTCATCTTCACTGTTTTGAAAGAAAAATTGGCATTAGTTATTTAAACGTTTGAAAAAATTGTTCAGTGAAGCCATCTGGTCCTGTTTATTTTTTTGGTTCAGAGGCTTTGATTACTGATTTAATCTCCATATTAGTTATAGCTCTATTCAGACTTTCTATTTCTTTATGTTCCAGTCTAAGTACATTGTATGTTTCTAAGAATTTATCCATTTCTTCAGGTTATCCAGTTTGTTAGCATATAATTTGTTCAAAATACTCTCTTATGACTCTTTATTTCTGCAGTATCAATTTTAATGTCTCCTCTTTGTGATTTTATTTGTCTCCTCTCTCTTAGTCTAGTTAAAAGTCCATCAATTTTATCTTTTTTTTTTGAAACTCTTAGTTTCATTAAAAAAAATTGTTTTTTTTTTGAGTTGGAGTCTCTCTCTGTTGCCCAGGCTAGAGTACAGTGGCATACTCACAGCCACTGCAGCCTCGACCTGCTGGGCTCCAGTGATCCTTCCACCTCATTCTTCCAAGTAGCTGGAACTACAGGTGCTAGCCACCACGCACGACTAAATTTTTTGATTTATTGTAGAGATGAGGTCTTGCCCAAGCTGGCCTCAAACCCCTGATCTCATGCAATCCTCTTGCCTTGGCCTCCCAAAGTGCTGGGATTATAGGCTTGAGCCACTGTCCCTGGCCTATTGTAGTTTTAATATGCATATTCTTTGGCTGGTTTACCTATGCATCCGTTCAATCTTTTGCTCTTTATAGTTTATAGTTACTATAAGCCTGGTTGCATAGGCTTATCCCATTTATATTTTTAATTTATTTTTGTTTGGTACTCTTTTCCTAAAAAAAAAAAAATTTTTAACAAGTAGAGTATGCACAGAATGACCATTAAAAAATAATATTAAAGAATATATAGGCCGGGTTCGGTGGCTCAGCCTGTCATCTCAGCACTTTGGGAGGCCTAGGTGAATGGATTACCTGAGCCCATGGGTTTGAGTCCAGCCCGGGCAACTTGGCAAGACCTCATCTCTGAAATAAATCAAAAATTAGCCTGGCATGGTAGCACACGCCTGTAGTTCTGGCTTCTTAGAAGACTGAGGCGGAAGGATCTCTGGAGCCCAGTAGGTTGACGCTGGGGTGGCTGTGAGCGTGCCTGGGTGACAGAGTGAGATTCCAACTCAAAAAAAAACAAAAAAGAAAATATAATGCAAACAAATAAATGAAACGTCTTTCCTGATCTTTCTACTTTGGCTTTGCAAAAGCAGCCACTCTTATTTGTCCTTCCAGGAGTAGTCTGTTTGATCATAATTTAGATTATTAAGATCTGTAAGAAACAATGTTAGAAGATCTTGCTTTCTATGGGCTTTTCTCCAGTAGCTCTGGTTGAAAGGCAGCTGATATAAATTGGTTGCCTGAATCTGCATAATCAACAGATGTGTCCTGCTTAGAACATCATAATGGTGTGGTGTCATATTTTTATAATACTGGTAGCTTAGTTGTATTCTATTTTGTACTTTGTAGCTTTAGACATTTAAGAATCTGAGTTTGTCACCTATGTTTCAAGGAAATAAAAACAGAGACTGACTTTATATTTCTGTTCATTGTATGACGTTCTTTTCTCACAAATTTTTAAAATTATGTAAGCGGATTAGATCTCATTTTATTTTCTTTTTTTAAAAAATATTTTTTATTGTGATATTGTGGGGGTACAGTTAAGAGTTAGGTATACAAATATACTTCGTTCAGGCACCCTTGTTGATAAGAGGTGTCTCCCCGTTCATTTTATTTTCTTATCATATGGCTTTTAAATATTATTAAATGTGTCTTTCTATAATTGAGGTCAAGGTTTTCTGACTGGTGGTATTGACTAAAAAAGAAAATAAAAATTATAAAAGTTATGTTTTATAGATCAAGTCTTGGATTGATTCTCAAAATTAAGTGCATGGAGTGTTTGTGTAAAATGCAGATTTTTTTTTTTTGGAACTCTTTCCTTCATCTCCCATCCAAGAGTCCTATTTAGTGGACTTAATATGGGGCTCTAGAAGATTCTGAAGGAGGAAATTCATAGGTCAGAGGCTGGGAAGGAGACCAACTCCATGACTATTTTAGGAAACATTCTTTGTGTGCAGCTGCAAAGCTTGTTGCTTTTTGTTTTAACCTAATAGAACCATCATGGTGGAGCTTTCTTTCAGAATTAGAGACAACAGAGCTTTGGTATGGAAAATTTCTTGAACTTCACGGCTGCAGAGGAAATAACAATGTGCCCGGTGGTTCTGACCTCCTTAAACAGGGTTATTGCACAGATTGAAAACAACAGAACAATGAAGCAAATTTATTGCTGTACTTTGTGAGAAACAGATCACAGGAAGCTTCATCGATCAAATGGAAACTACTGAGAATAATAAGCAGTAAATTTAGCTTATTTTTATAAACAATACTGTTTCAGGGTAGATGAAAACCCCCGTTGATGGTGACCAGGTCCTTGGTGCCACGGACAAAGAATTGGATGAGACACACACAAAGAGAGCTTAAGCAAAAAGTAGTTTATTTATAAATGTAGAGAGGACGTACACACCAAAGAGAAGATGGAATGGCCCGAGCTGGAGTAGCTCAAGAACCTGGAGTTAAACAAAGCCAGGACCTTATATGTCCTTTAATTTTGCAAAGTTTGCAAAAAGAAAAAAAAAAATTGATAAATGTTTCTGGGGTTAAATTTGATAAATGTTTTTGGGGAGGGATGACATTTCAGGTTACTGCACATGTCTCTGCCTACCATCCCATAATTTTATTTTATTTTACTTTATTTTTTAATTTTTATTTTAAAGATGTGGGTACAATTCAGGGTCAGGTATACAAATGCATAATTTTAATTGTATATATGAGATGCAGTCCATAGGCATTATTAGCCTTAACTAGCTCTTTTGCATGGGTAGGTTACAGAGAGTTCAATAAAGTCCCTTTAGAGCATGTGCCACACATGGGATTAAGTTTTATGGCCTTCTTATCTTGTCCTGGGAGGTTGATTAGCATTTCAGTTAATGGCTTCTTTCTTGTTTTTTCTGTCTTGGAAGGTGGATTAACCTTCCAAGATTACAGGTCTGGCTTCTTTCCTTTTTCCATGGCTTCTTATCTGTTGAAGCTCACCTTCCTGTCTCCATCCTATCTCCTGCCTCAATATTGCATAACATGGCTTAGATGGTTAAGTCAAATACCTTTTCATTTATCTAGACAGCTGTGTTGATGTTTGTTATATTAGATACTTGACATATAAGAACTATCACTAGCTGCAAATGCTATATAGAAATTCTTTTTTTTTTTTTTTTTTGAGTCAGAGTCTCATATATAGAAATTCTTATTCTAATTACCAAAGTTGACAAGAGGGGAACAAAAGCAAAGCAAAACAAAACAAAACACAAAAAATTGACAGTGTATAATTTAGAGTACCTTGCTTGCTTGCTGACCAAATCTGGTCCATTTTGCTCATCTTTGCACAACAATTGTTTTACATTTTTATTTAATCAATAAATTAACTATTTTAAATTGGAGTCTCACTCTGTTGCCCAGGCTGAAGTGCAGTGGTATGCTCATGGCCACTGCAGACTCACCTGCTGGACTCAGGCAATCTTTCCACCTTAGCTTTCAAGTAGCTGGAACCACAGGCACGCACCACCATGCCCAGCTAATTTTTTGATTTCTTGTAGAGATGAGGTCTTGCTAAGTTACCCAGGCTGGTCTCGAATCCCTGGACTCAAGCAATCCTTCACTTCTACTTTCCAAAATGCTGGGATGACAGGTGTGAGCCACAGTGCCAGTGTTACATGTTTAAATGGCCAGAAAAAAAAGAGAGACTACCTTGTGACATATAAAAATCATGTTAAATTAAAATTTCAGTGTCCATAAATGAAGTTTTGTTGGAACATAGCCATGCTTTGTTTATGTATTGTCTATGGATGCTCCGTGGCAGAGTGGAGCTGATGTAACAAAGACCATATTGCCTTGCAAAGTCTAATATATGTATTATCTGGCTCTTCACAGAAAAACTTTATTGACTTTGTGTAATATATGCCGAGAAGGAAGAGACAAATTGCCGGTGGTTAAAAATTGATGAAAGAAAAGAAAGGGGTGAGGGGCTGGCTCTACAGAGAGAAACCAGTGGCCTTTATTTTCTCGTAGGCCACTTAGACAACCCCAGTCAAGGTTAACTGGTCGCTGAGAAGCAGTTTAGGGAGTTTGACTGGCCTTGATATGCAGATGTGGGCGCTGTTAGAGGCTGCTGGTCCCACATTCTTGAAGTGCACATGTCCGCACTAAACCAGTCTCTCTCAGGATATCACTTGTCTCTGAAATGCAATCTTAGGAAAGCAAACATTGACAGCACCAAGAGGTCACATAGCTCTGGGATGCGGGTCTCGGGAAAGCAGATATTGGCAGTAAAGCAATTAGTAACAGGCTGCTGTTTGAGCAGAGTGCTTGCTTTTGGGGCCATTGCAACTTTGTGCTCCGTTTGCGAGGTTTTTGTATTTTGTTTTTTAATTTTTATTTTGAAATTGTGGGGTACAATTCAGGGTTAGATATACAAGTGTTCATTGTGCAGGTACCCTTATTGATGACGTGTGCTCCCCCTTTCCCAGGGGGTATCGACTACTGTCAATCCCAGCTTCCCACCCCCCACCCCCTCCCCGCAGTTTCTGGCTACTTTCAATCCCTTTCCTACAGTAATGCGGTAGGTGTTCAAGGTCCACGTACGAGTGAGAACATGTGATATTCATCTGTTTCTATGAGAGATCACTCAGTATTATAAGCTCTAATTCCATCCATGGTGCTGCGAAGTTCATGATTTTGTTCTTCTTTATGACTGCGTAATATTCCATTGTGTATATGTACCACATTTTTTTATCCAGTCCTCTTTTGATGGACAGCACGGTTGGTTCCATGTTCTTGCTACTGTGAACAAGGCTATGATAAACGTACGTGTGCAGGTATCTTTTTTATAGAATGATCTGACTTCTTCCAGGTATATTCCCAGTAGGGGGATTGCGGGATCATATGGAAGGTAAATGTGATTGTACAAAATACAATCACATTTCTATACACCAATAATAAACAAACAGAAACCCAAATAAAAAACACAATTCCATTTACGTTTGCGAGGTTTACATGACGAGTTGTTTTAACTACACCCCCCTTTCCCATCCCCTGCAAACCCAATCCCTTTGATTTAGTTCATTTCTTGGAATGGAGGAAATTTAGGGGTCAGAATTTCTACCTCTTGCTATCTTCAATTTTCTCTTTATTAAGTTTTTTATTTTTCTAGGAAAGTTTCATGTTCAGATCTTTAGTTGTCCCAAAAATTTCTGAGGAAGAAATAACATCCTGATTTCTCACCATACTTTGTTACAGAAACATGTGGAATTCATTCAAAATATATGAGAGCTGTGTATCCTACCAAAACCTTCCCAAATCATTACACCATTGTCACGGTAAGTGCTTTGCCCAGTGGTAAGACTGACAGGCCACAGATAGAAAACTGACCACACCAGACAGACATGCTTGGGCAGGAAGTGGCCAAGTCCCAGGCTACACACTTCACAAGCACCTGTGAGGATAGTTTGTGGTTTACTTCAGGCTGGGAAGCTGTGGCTCAATGTAAGAGCAGTCAAGTGCCGGGAGGCGTGAACTATGAGTGAGTGTCCTATTATCAGGTTAATTTACCTTTGGATAGACCTTTAGTTGTGAGAAGTACTATTTTCCTCTGGCATTTTGACCACCATTCATTTATCTGAAGTCTGCTGGGAACAGCAGGCTGTGTAGGGGGACAAGCACTTTGGTGAGGAAAATTTCATTCTTTCCTAATCTTTTGATCATAATTATCCTAATAAAGTCTTCTCTTTAATAAATGAATCCATACGGGCTGCATCTCTGTAGATAAAGCAACTAAAGCAAGTGAATTCTCCTCAGTGGATAAAAAGATGTAGGTGGAATGATTAAAATGAACTCAAAGAAAAATGTTTAAGAGTTATAGATTGGCTGAGCGTGGTGGCTCATGCCTATAATCCTAGCACTTTGGGAGGCTGAGGTGAGAGGATTGCCTGAGCTCACAGGTTCGAGACCAACCTGGGCAACTTGGTGAGACCTCATCTCTACAATAAATAAAAAATTAGCCAGGCATGGTGGTGCGTGCCTGTAGTTTCAGCTACTTGGAAGGCTGAGATGGAAGGATCACCTGAGTCCAGCAGGTTGAGGTTGCGGTGGCCGTGAGTGTGCCACTGTACTCCAGCCTGGGCAACAGAGTGAGACTCCAACTCAAAAAAAAAAAATAAAAAGAGTTATAGATTTAGAACACATCTTAAGGAGTTCTCTGCCTCAGCCTTTATTACCACAGGATATTTTTGTCTTTACCACTTTGCATTTTAATCTTTTATTACTGTGGAACAGTAACTACAACTTACTTAAATTTCAGTCTCGAAGCAATTATATGTATATATGTGTGCGTTCTCATTATTTGCAGATTCTATATTTGTGTGTTTACTTACTTGCTAAAAGAATTTGTAACCTCCAAATTCACAAGTGTGGTGCATTTATGGTCATTTGTGAAGATCCCAGAGAAGCATAGCCATTTGAGAGGCCAATGCACACACTCCTAGTGAAATCTGACGAGGTGACATTCAGCCTTCTGTGTTAGCTCTTATACTCAACAAGTGTCATTTTCACAGTCCATTGCCATGCCTTTTATAGGTTTGTGTTTTTTGGCGGTGATTTCACCGTTTAAAATGGTTACCGTACATTGTGCTGAAGTGGTACTTGGTGCTTCTAAGAGCAAGAGGGTTGTGAATTATCTTATGGAGAAAATATGTGCATTTGATAAACTTTGTTCAGGCATGAGCTATAGTGAGCCAACAATATATGTTAAATAAGATGTCTTTAAACAGAAACACACACAAAACAAGATTATATATTGGTCAGTAGACAAAAATGTTGTAGCTAGAGGCTGTCAGGAAGCTAACCCTTTATTTTCCCTAGAAGCAATGGTTCCATATTCACTAATTCAGTGTTCATGGCAACTTTATTGAATATAACTATGATAAATAACAAAAAGTTGACCATATGTATACATACACACATAGACATACATAAATAATATATATGACACACATATATACATATATGTATGCAAGAGATTATACATACTACTTAAATTTTCCATAAATTTTTATTTAATTTATATATTTGTATACATATATGCATATATTAATATATATGCATAAATAGAGATAGTAATGTTCTGAAATAATGAGCCTAAAATCTATCTAAAAGTAGTTTCACTCCAGCCTGGGCGACAAGAGTGAGACTCCAACTCAAAAAAAAAAACCAAAAAGTAGTTTCAACTACAGGAGATATATGAAGTCTTCGATGGAAATATATGGAATAATTGAATGAGTATGCGTGATTAGATTGAATAAATGATTAGATTAATGGATGGATGGATAAATAGATGGTAGGGAACACAGAAACGGGGCTGCCTTCTGAAATCTGGTAGCATACTTTAAGCCAATTAACTAGGATATAAACATGTGAAAGCGTCTATCTAATACATTTATTACTATTTTTTTTTCAAATCAAGAATTGGACAAGACACACAAACAGTGAAAATAGAGAGAGAGATTTATTAAGCAGGAGAGGCAGTACACTCCAGAAAATTAGAAGTGGGCTCAAGCATGAGAGTGGCTCAAAAGCCTACTATCATTGACAATATAATGGGTGGCTAATAATTATTGCCATATGGAAAGCTTTAATTAAGAGACAGTTAATTAAGCAGTTGTTGAGCACACAAGAGTTATATTAATACCATCAAAGCAAACTGTCTGCCTAATGTCATCTATTTGCTGCTATAAACCATGGAAGAACTAGCACGTACGCACACGCACGCGCATACACACACACACACACACACACACACACACACACACACACACACACACACACACAGTTGACCTTCTGTATCTGTGAGTTCTGCATCCATGGAGTCAACCAACTGTGGATTAAAAATATGTATTTTTAATTACATCTGTACTGAATGTGTACAGAATTTTGGGGGTCATTATTCTCTAACCAATACAATATAACAACTATTTGCACAGAATTTGTATAGTATGGTAAATTCCCTACATACAAACGAGTTCCATTCTGAAAGAATGTTTGTAAGTCCAATTTGTTTGTAAGTCCAACAGTTAGCCTAGGTACCCAACTAACACAATTGGTTATATGGTATTGTATCGTAATAGGTTTTTAATACTTTTCATACATATAATGCATAAAAAACAATAAAGAAACCATTTTAAATCTTACAGTACAGGACCTTGAAAAGTACAGTCACACAGTAAAATACACAAAAGCACAACCACTTATAGAAAATGTAAGCACGTGAGAATGTACGCCAGACATGTGAACTAACTTAGTGATTGGACATGCAGACCCATGTTCACATCGTTGGAAAGTTCGCAACTTGAAGGTTCGTAGGACTTACTGTATATTATACATAATCTAGAAATGACTTAAAGTATATAGGAGGATGTGTACAGATTCTGCAAATCCCATGCCTGAGGGAGGTCATGGAACCAATCCCGCATGGACACTGAGGAATGACTGTATATCTCCTGATATTTGGGTTCAGATCCAGGTGTTTTATGTTGAAAAGTATAAAGTGTCCTTCCTACATATGAGTGACAGATCTCATGCTGTTTTAATTTAAATGCATATTTTACTAATCTATGAAGTTAACTTAAATCCTTTTTAAAATGATCATTTTAGGGCTTGTATCCAGAATCACATGGCATCATTGACAATAATATGTATGACGTAAATCTCAACCAGAATTTTTCACTTTCTTCAAAGAACCAAAAGGATCCATCCTGGTGGTATGGGCAACCAGTATGTAGCGTTCTCTATATGACCCCAAAAGTAACCTCCTGTTTCCCAGTGTGTCAATGGAGCAGTCTTCTCGCTCCACTTTGAGTTTTACGTGTCTGTCTAGTATCTAAGGGCTGAGGGTGGGGAAGCATTTCACCCCTAGTTATAACTTGAATTTTTAAAACATTTATGATTGTTAAGTCAAATATCTTATGTTACATCTTAGGCGTTGTGTTATAAATATCTCAATCTGGAAGTTACTCAGAAAGATTATCTGTTCATGTTTTTCCTCATTCTGTTTTATAATTATTTTACAGATAAAGAGAAATTGTACAATTTTACCAGTTTGGGGAAAAAAAGACCTTTCTTCTCACTACCTTGGTACAAGGCAATCCTTGGATGATTATATATTTTCACTGAAGCAAAGACAAATTTTAAATTTTTTTTTTTTTTTTTTTTTGAGTTGGAGTCTCACTCCAATGCCCAGGCTGGAGTACAGTGGCACCCTCACGGCCACCTCTGCATCAATCTGCCAGGCTTCGGCAATCCTTCCACCTCAGTCATACAAGAAGCCAGAGTTACAGGCACGTGCTACCATGCCTGGCTAATTTTTTGACTTATTGTAGAGACGAGGTCTCTCCATGTTGCCCAGGCTGGTCTCGAACCTGCGGGCTCAGGCAATCCACTCGCCTCTGCCTTCCAAAGTGCTGGGATTACAGGCTGAGCCACTGAGCCTGGCCTTAAATAATTTTAATCAATGTTTCTTTGGGTGCTGTTGCCCAGGCTGGAGCGCAGTGTCACAATCCTGGCTCACCACAGCTTTGACCTCCTGGGCCCAAGTGATCCTCCCGTCTCAGCCTCCCCAGTAGCTGGAACTACAGGCACACACCACCATACTCAGCTAACTTTGTTCATTTTTTGTAGAGATGAGGTCTCACTATGTTGCCCAGGCTGGTCTCAAACTCCTGGGCTCAAGTGATTCTCCCAGTTCAGCCTCCCAAAGTGTTGGAATTACAGGCATGGGCCACCGTGATTGGCCTAATATCACTGTTAATATTGTTTAGTTTCTAGGAAGGTATACCATTTCTACCCAAACGAATTATTGACTTGCCTTTTTATCCTAAATTTCTCTCAGATGTGGCTGACAGCGATGTATCAAGGTTTAAAAGCTGCTACCTACTTTTGGCCAGGATCAGATGTGGCTATAAATGGCTCCTTTCCTTCCCTGTATAAGACTTACAACAGGTAGTAAAGCACTCGCAGACATTGACATAGACATGATCAGGAATTTCTTGTCTTAATCTTGCTGGTAATTCTGTTATTCCAGTTGTTTGAGTCAAACGTCTTGGAGTCATTGCTCATACCTCCCCGTTAAGACCCTCATTCAGTCTGTCAGCAATCGCTTTTGCCTCTGACTCAAAGTCTGTGCATTCTGAGACGTTTTTGTTACCCCCAGCCTCACCACTCAGGTCCAAACTATTATCTCTCACCTGTTTTACAGCAATTGCCTCTTTACAGGTTCCCCTGCTTCTGAGCCTGGATGATCTATTCTCATCCCACCTGCCAGAATGATTCCTTGAAAATGCAAGTCCAGTTACGGCACTCTTTGGCACCAAAAACTTCATTGGTTCCTTGTGCTTCCCAAAGTAAAAGCCTGCAAGGCTCCTTGTGGCAAGACCCTACCTCCCCCTTGCTTCTCAGACTTTGTCTTCTACCGTTCTCCCAAGTGCTCACTCTGACCTCCTTGGTGGGCCTCAAAACACTAGGCTTGCTTCTACCACAGGGCCTTTGCACCTGCTGTTCCCTCTACCTGAGATGCCTCACTACCCGGAGCCCAGTGTCCACTCTGTCACCTCCTTCAGGCCATTGTTCAAAAATTACCTTCTCACATTGTCTTAGCCTAATCACATTAAGATTTAAAATTCCAAACCAACCTCCTCCTGGTTTTTCACACCCCTCCTGCAACTGCTCTGTTTTAAATTTTGTCCATAGAGCTTATTGCCTTTTAATAAGCTGTATAATTTATTTGTGTATTAGGTCTACCATTTGTTGCATGTCTTCTTCTCTGGAACATAACTTTTGGTTTGCCCACTGATAAATTCTGTTTTAAATAAACAAATAGGCCAGGCTCGGTGGCTCAGCCTATAATCCCAGCACACTGGGAGACTGAGGCGAGCAGATCGCCTGAGCCTGCAGGTTTGAGACCAGGTTGGACAACTTGGAGAGACCTTGTCTCTACAGTAAATCAAAAATTAGCCGGGTGTGGTAGTGCACGCTTAGTAGTTCCAGCTACTTGGAAGGCTGAGGCGGAAGGATTGCCTGAGCCCAGCAAGTTGACGCTGGGGTGGCCGTGAGTATGCCACTGCACTCCAGCCTAGGCGATGGAGTGAGACTCCAACTCAAAAAAAATAATAATAAACAAACGAACAGTGTCTGCACAAGATGCTCAATCTATGCAAGTGCATAAATGAAAAAATGAAATGAATGGATCGCGATCAGTGGCTTTCATTTTAGTTTAGTTTAGTTTAGTTTAGTTTAGTTTAGTTTAGTTTAGTTTAGTTTAGTTTAGTTTAAGACAGATCTCCCTCTGTCGTCCAGGATGGAGTGCAGTGCCACACGATCTGCAGACTTGGCTTGTAGAGACAAGGTTGCACTATGTTGTCTGGGCTGGTCTTGAACTCCTGGGCTCAAGAAATCGTTTTGCCTCGGCCTCCAAATCGCCGGGATTACAGGCGTGAGCCACAATGGTCTTATTTTAGCTGGGAGAAAATTAAAGGAAAGTATGAGAGGAGCGAAACAATGGGCATTTAATTTCTATTTCTAGTGCTGCAAGGAAATCTATTCAGAAGTATTGAAAACAGAAATCCCTTTGACTAATACTGGACCTCTTTCAGTATTGTGATCATATAAGAACACAAAATGAATGGCTGAAGATGTTAATCTTTCTGAGTAAGAATGTAATGAAGTTATTCTTGGTTTTATTAATTTCTAAAAATTATTTCTACTTCTTTTTCAGAAATGTCCCATATGAAGAGAGGGTCTTCACGTTGTTACAATGGCTGGACCTGCCCAAAGCAGAAAGGTAATGAAGTCTCGTGCCAGAGAAGTGTTGGCATAGTGGGATATGTGTGGGTAAAAAAATGAAATGACTTCCTTATTTTAAATGACCATTTTTGACTATTTTTGAAAAAACTTGGTATTGCCTTTTAATGAGCACTTTTTAAGAATTATTCCTTTCCAGCCTAGGCAACATAATGAGACATCATCTCTGCAACACATCAGAAAAATTAGCCAGGCATGGTGGTATGCACCTGTAGTGCCAGTTACTCAGGAGGCTGAGGCAGAAGGATTGTCTGAGTCCAGGAGGTTGAGGCTGTGGTGAGCCATGATTGTGCCACTGTACGACAGAGGAAGACCCCAACACGAATACATATATATGTTTTTTTTTTTTTTCCTGGGAGCTGGTAACTTTTTGTTCTTAAGAATGCAATTGGCCAGGCTTGTTGGCTCAGCTTGTAATCCCAGCACTTTGGGAGGTCGAAATGAGTGGATTATTTGCCTGAGCCCACGGGTGTGAGAGCAGCCCCAGCAACTTGACGAGACCTCGTCTCTACAATAAAATAAAAGATGAGCCAGGAGTGGTAGCACGTGCCTGTAGTTTCAGCTACTGGGAAGGCTGAGGCAGAAGGATGGCCAGAGCCCAGAGGTTGGCACTGGGGTGGCTGTGAGCGTGCCACCACTGCACTCCAGTCTGGGCAACGGAATGAGACTCCAACTCAAAAAAAAAAAAAAAAAAAAAAGAATGTGATTGGCACTATAGAAAAACAGAGAGTTGGGCTCAGTGGCTCAGCCTGTAATCCCGTGCTTTGGGAGGCTGAGGTGAGTGGATTGCCTGAGCTCGCAGGTTCGAGACCTGCCTGAGCAACTTGGTGAGACCTCATCTCTACAATGAATCAAAAATTAGCCGGGCGTGGTAGCGTGTGCCTGTAGTTCCAGCTACTTGGAAGGCTGAGGCGGAAGGATCACCTAAGCCCAGCAGGTTGAGGCTGCGGTGGCCGTGAGCATGCCCCTGCATGCTAGCCTGGACAACAGAGTGAGACTCCAACTCAAAACAAAAAAACCAACAGACAAAAAACAGCCATTAAAAAAAGAAGTGGGTGTGGAAGTAAGAGGTCAGCACAAAGTCAGAAACCAGAAAATACAAAGGACTGGGGTACACAAAGGGTGGTCTTAACTGCAAAAACAAAACAGAATTTCACTAATGGGGACATACCAATGCTTACATCCAGGAAGGTCTTATTTACTCCTGTTAGGAGTCCTAGCCTTGCTGGAACCAGGGACCACCAGACTTGGACAAACAGAAGGAAGCCAAGGAGAAAGAATGACCAGCAAGTTCAAGATCTAGAAACTCCCCAAATCCAGCCTGTAGGTTTATTCCACATTATGATGTCTTTCTCTGTTTCAATTTTATCCCCAGACCCAATTTTTACACCATATATTTTGAAGAGCCTGATTCTGCAGGGCATAATGATGGACCAGTCAGTGCCAGAGTAAGTTTTTTTTTAAAATTCACCAATCATCTAAGTCTAACCCAAAACTTGTAATGGTGTTCTTTAATTTCTACTGAACACAAATATATTTGATATACACACAAGAAGACCAAATTGTTAAAAGTCTAAAAGGGATGCTTTAATCTGCATTGTTAACCAAAAATAATTAAAACTCTAGAAAGAGCAACTGCCTTATTCACTTCATCATGATTCATTTGATGAACACATCTTGCATACTTAAATGTGGCAGTGGTTTCATATAATGAAAACATCAAGGTTAGATACTGCCGAAGCCAATTCAACATGCTAATATGGTTTGTTCCTAGATGAGTTACCTGCAAGTTCATGGTGGAACATCCAGCTGTTCATTCATGCACAGTTCCGTTCGGAAGTTCCTGAAAATTGGACTTAATATGTTATTGTCTCAGGCAGAATGATTTCCCTTTTAGGCTCTCATGATCATTGGGGTGGGCTGTCTAATATAAGTTTCTTCATTATCTAGGCCTTTCTGTGCTGATTTTACTACACATATACAGTCCTTAAATATTTGGACTGTTTAGCAAAAAAAAGCCTCTCTGTCTTTACCCCAGAAAGCCTCTGTTGTTATGGACACAATGCAAAGCTACAAAGACTCCCATGAGGGTGACATTTCCCCACATTGTGGAAACTCACTTAACAACTATCCTCATGTGGAATGTAATTGTCCTCAGTTGGAATGCAAGCATATTTACCCTGGCAGTATGCCTTTGCCACTTCTCAGAAAAGCTATTTTTCTTCCCATTAGACCAAAATAATAATTTTTTAATTATTACTTTATTATTATTATTTTTTAACCGGAGTGTCACTCTGTCACCCAGGATGGAGTGCCGTGGCACACTCACGGCCACTGCAGCCTCAACCTGCTGGGCTCAGGCAATCCTTCTACCTCAGCCTTCCAAGTAGTTGGAACTACAGGCATATGCCACCATGCCCGGCTAATTTTTTGATTTATTGTAGAGATGAGGTCTTGCCAAGTCGCCCAGGCTGGTCTTGAACCCGTGGGCTCAGGCAGTCCTCTCACCTCAGCCTCTCAAAGTGTTGGGATTATAGGTGTGAGCCACCATGCCTGGCCCTTTTTGTTTGTTTGTTTTGTTGTTGTTGTTGTTGCTGTTGTTGTTGTTTCTGAGTTGGAGTCTCATTCCGTCGCCCAGGCTAGAGTGCAGTGGCACACTCACGGCCACCGCAGCCTCGACCTGCTGGGCTTAGGCAATCCTTCCACCTCAGCCTTCCAAGCAGCCAGAACTACAGGCGAGTGCTATCATGCCCGACTAATTTTTTGATTTATTGTAGAGACGAGGTCTCACCAAGTTGTCCAGGCTGTTTTCAAACCTGTGGGCTCAGGCAATCCTTTCACCTTGGCCTCCCAAAGTGCTGGGATTACAGGCTTGAGCCACCACATCTGGCCCCTTTTTTTGTTTAAGTTGAAGTCTTACTCTATCACCCAGGCTTGAATGCAGTGGCATGGCTGTGGTTGACCACAACCTTGACCTTCCAAGTAGCTATGACTATAGTCATGCACACCCAGGTTTGTTTGTTTGTTTGTAAAAACAAAGTCTTGCTATGTTGCCTAGGTTGGTTTTGAACTCTTGGTCTTACCAAACTGCTAGGATTACAGGGGTGAGTCACTGCACCAGGTTAAACATGATTCTTAATATAGGGTCCTGCTCAAGCCTCAACACACTACGCCTTAGGTCTCTTCTAGAAGCCTTCCCACACCACTCTAGATTATTACAGAATTTTGCACCTTTTCAGGTTACTCTATGGATGAGAGGTATAGGAACTACCTAGACAGAGTCACCCTTTCTTCTTTTCTACTGTAACTGTTAACCATGTTTGCTCGGAAGGTCAAGGTTGTGGTCAACCATGGCTATGCCACTGCATTCAAGCCTGGGTGACAGAGTAAAACTTCAACTTAAACAAAAAACATCTGAGCGGGCCACTTGATTTTTGTTTGTTGAATGGACCTATACAGCAGTCTTCAGATTAGGCATCACTTCCTTTTCTTCCATTCAGTGCCTGAGTTTAGCATCCAAATACATTTTCTTTCTTTTTCTTTTCTTTTTCTTTTTTTTGAGTTGGCGTCTCACTCTGTTGCCCAGGCTGGAGTGCAGTGGCATGCTCACGGCCACCCCAGCATGGACCCACTGGGCTCCGGCAATCCTTCCCCCCTCAGCCTTCCAAGAAGCCGGAACTACAGGCGTGCGCTCCCACCCCTGGCTAATTTCTGATTTATTGTAGAGATGAGATCTCGCCAAGTTGCCCGGACTGATCTCGAACCCATAGGCTCAGGCAATCCACTCGCCTCGGCCTCCCAAAGTGCTGGGATGACAGGCTGAGCCACCGAGCCCTATCGTCTTTTCTTTTTTAAATTAATAGTAGAGATGAGGTCTTGCTATGTTGCTTAGGCTGGTCATGAACTCCTGGCCTCAAGCGATCCTCCCACTTTGGCCTACCAAAGTGCTGGGATTATAGGTATGAGCTACAACACCTGGCCTAAACTATAATTTTGAAAAGTGCTGCCAAGGAAAAGATCAGGGTGTCCTTAGAAGCCTAGGAGGAGATCCCAGCCCAGTCTGGGGCAGGGTGGGAGTTGGAGCTGGTTAGGAGATTCTCCTTGAGTGACAAAAAGGAAACAGAATTTGCAAATGGCCTAACTGAGGAACAAGCTGTGCACACTGGAAGAATACATAGAATGAACAAAAGGACAGACTAATTGCTGGATGACTCCACAAATTGATAACATGGTAATGGTAAGAATAATAAGAGTAGTTAACCTTACTGGGTGTCACTCTGTGGCAGACACTATTAGGAGTGCTGTGTTCTGGCCGGGCTCAGTGGCTCAGCCTGTCATCCCAGCACTTTGGGAGGCCTAGGCGAGTGGATTGCCTGAACCTGAGGGTTCGAGACCAGCCTGAGCAACTTGGCGAGACCTCGTCTCTACAATAAATCAAAACATTAGCTGGGTATGGTGGTGCATGCCTGTAGTTCCAGCTACTTGGAAGGCTGAGGCAGAAAGATCGCTGGAGACCTGCAGGTTGACATGGAGGTGGCTTTGAGTGCGCGTGCCACTGCACTTGAGTCTGGGCGACGGAGTGATAATCCGATTCAAAAAAAAAAAGTGCTGTGTTCCTATCAATATCTGCAGCATTGTGAACCAGGGGAGAGGACTAAGAGGAAGCCCAGAGGAGGTGACAGGCACCGCATCCTGTGGGTCCTTGCAGGCCATAAAAAGTGCAGTGGGGAGCATTGAGGCATTGTAATCTGGGTAGTGACAGGACAGGATTCATGTATATTTAGAAGTCACTCTTACTGTATGAGAGGACAGGGTTGGAGCAGGCAAGAGAAAGTGGGCAGAGACAGGTTAGCTTTTGCAACAGTCCAGAAAAGAGGTCATAATGACTTGGAGTGAGGGTAGTGACAGCTGCCACGAAGTCACATTTGCCATTCATTTAGGAAATGGGCTTGGCACCACTCAGTGTGAGCCGGGGAGGGGATGGCGATCAGGGTGATCTCCTGGGTTCTTTTATGCATCAGCAGGTGGTTCCATTTACATTAACGAGATCGCTGAAGGCAAGTAAGCTTGGGAAAGATGTTCATTTCACAGCTGAGGTGTCCAGGAGTAGACAGATTGAATATAGGTTTATAGAGCAAAGGAGGGGAAGATCCAGGCATTCGGCAGCGTGTAGATGGTGCCTGGAGTGACGACATCCTAAAGCGGGGGTGAGGAATGACAGCCGAAGGGTTAAGACTAAGCCTCACTTAAAACTTGGGAAGAAGAGAGAGAACAGATGGAGAAAGCTGAAGGTGTCGTGGCTTTTTAAAAATTATTGTTGGCCGGGCTTGGTGGCTCAACCTGTAATCCCAGCACTTTGGGAGGCCGAGGCAAGTGGATTGCCTGAGTCCGTGGGTTTGAGATCAGCCCGGGCAACTTGGAGAGCGCTCATCTCTACAATAAAAATAAAAAAATGAGCCAGGCATGGTGGCGCACCCTGTAGTTCCAGCTACTTGGAAGGCTGAGGCAGAAGGATGGCCTGAGCCCAGAAGGTCGACACTGGGGTGGCCATGAGTGTGCCACTGCCCTCCAGTCTGAGCGATGGAGTGAGACTCTGATTCAAAAAAGGGAAGAAAATTATTGTTATTTTTAATCACATGCCTTTAACTGAGTTAATAGGCTTATACCTTAAAGGACAAGGCTATTTGTTTATTTTGACTCATTTACTGAGTTGAAATCTTATTAATGTGTTCCAGATGTTTTGGTTATCAAAACCTTCTTGCTCTGCTATCTCTTTAAGGCCTACTTTGAAACCGTTTCTGGTGGACCTAACATTTTTCTAGAACTTCTTAGGGGTGAAGAAGATGACCCTCTTACTGCCAGAAGCCAGGCTGAAAGGACAATGTAAATAATAACTTAAAATTTTTAAGGAAATCTTTGCTTAAGAAGTTTTCTTTAGTTTTTAAAATTTGATAGTGTAAACACTGTTTACATGGGAAGATTATTGTGGCCTGGTATAACTCAAGAAGGTTTTATGACATGGAAACATCAAGGGTGAAAGACTTGAGCAGGCAGGAGGAGGTTTGAAACACAGTAAAACCAGGAATTTCTTAGCAACAAATTTGTTACAATGAGTCTCTAGGTTTGAAGATGAATTAGACACAGAATGTTCTGACTGGTCATGCGTAACTTTAATTAGTGGCCTACATACTTCAGAGAGATTCAGCTGTTATTCACTATTGGTAAGTTACTACATCTTAGGGTAAAATGAAAAGTTTCTTCTCTATCTCTTTTAACTACAAAAGCCACATTTATTACTACTGCTAATTATTTTACTATCCAAAAAGCTGCTCATTTATTGCCCATTCTGGGCACTTCTTGTTTCTTTCTTTGGCTGGGCGAGCCTTGGGGCCGACATCTGGTCACTTCCCGCCCTGTGGAGTTCTGTGGCGTGTGTATTTCGTGACAAACTCTAGGTCTGGGAAACATGTAATGAGTTGGGCGGTGATCTGTCGCCGGTAAGAGCTCACACTCTCCTTGGACCAGACACATACACAGATTGTTTCAAACTGGGAGGAGTCCGATGGCAGCAGTGTGCCAGGACAGAAGAGGGAGGGGCTCGTGGTGTGGTTGGGGGAGTGAGGAGGATGACTGGGGACAAGGCAACAGGTGGAAGCCAAGACTGTCACTAAGATGGAAGGCCAGGAAAGCGTCTTGGGGTTGATGATGGATTGAACCATAGATAGATGGCTTGTGTTCAAGTCCTGATCTGTCTTTTATTAACTGTGGGACCAGGAATATGTTACTTAACTTTTTTTTTTTTTTAAGAATGTAGGGTATGGCCAGGCATGGTGGCTCAAACCTGTAATCCCAGCAATTTGGAAGGCCGAGGTGAGAGGATTGCCTGAGCCCGCAGGTTCGAGACCCGCCCGGGCAACTTGGCAAGACCTCATCTCTACAATAAAATTAAAAAATTATAGCCGGCTGTGGTAGCGTGCACCTGTAGTTCTGGCTACTTGGAAGGCTGAGGCGGAAGGATCGCCTGAGCCCAGCCGGTCAACACTGGGGTGGCTGTGAGTGTGCCACTGCACTCCACCTGGATGACCGAGTGAGATTGCAACTCAAAAAAAAACCCCAAAATGTAGGATACAATTCAGGATTAGATTTACAAATGGTCATTGTACGGATAAGGTTGGGTCTCGCTTTGGTCCCCATTTTGCCTGGTTTGAGATAAACTTTCCTGCCTTTATAACTAGCAGTTCCAGTGACACCCTCTGTGAATGTTTGCTAGGAGGATTTCATGAGATCATGCACTAAAGCACTTAAAACTATGTGCCTTGTAAAATTCTTTCACAAGAAAGAAAAAAAAGTAATCATTGTTATGATAGTACTATGACAGATTAAATATCTTTTCCCAATCCATTGCTGTTTCACTATCTTATTCACTTGAAAAAAAATAGTGAAAAGTTACATCAGTGAAATTTACTTAAACCTTAAGTCAGGTCAATGTGCTATATTGATAAAGTGTAGAAAGTTGAAAATCACAAGAGTATAACCTACAAAATAAAAGAACTCAAATTCCGCTACTCAGAGTTAACCACCGTTAATAGTACTTTGATATATTTCTGTTTAGTTTTCTTTCTTTCTTTCTTTCTTTCTTTTTTTTTTTTTTGAGTCAGAGTCTCACTCTGTTGCCCAGGCTGGAGTGCAGTGACAATACTCATGGCCACCCCAGCGTCAACCTGCTGGGCTTCAGCGATCCTTCCACCTCAGCCTTCCAAGGAGTCAGAACTGCAGGCGTGTGCTACCACGCTCGGCTAATTTTTGATTTATTGTAGAGATGAGGTCTCACCAAGTTGCCCGGGCTGGTCTCGGACCTGTGGGCTCAGGTAATCCTTTCAACTTGGCCTCCCAAAGTGCTGGGATTACAGTCTGAGCCATTGCACCCAACCTCCATTTAGTTTTCTATGCATGCATGTTTACTAAGAAATGCTAAATTTATTTCAAAACAAAATCAGGATTATACAAGATGTATGAATGTGAACACAGTTTGGTTTTCGTTTGTTATGTTTCACTTGTATTGTGACTATTTTCCTGTGCCACTGCTGTTTGAGAAGTGTTTTTTCATGGCTGTATATTATGCTTTCTTAAGGATGTGGCATCATTTATTTTTCTTTGAATTTAGTTTATGACTCAATAATGTGTTGAATGTGTTTGTATATAAATCTCCATTTGTACTCTAAGTGTTTACTTTGGACAAATACTCAGAAGTAGGATTATTAGATTACAAAAGATGCCCCTTTTTGATCCTCTGGTAACTCATTGTCACATGACCCTCTGGAATGTGTGTAACCATTAGACTCTCTTGAAAGTGTCCCTCAACTCCTCTCTCTAACATCAGTCATGACTGAAAACTTTCGTGATTGAATAATGCTTCTTGACATTCAACATTGTTTCATGTATTTATTGGCCAGTAGTCTATCTTCATTTGTAGGGAATGTGGTTTAATTTTTTGTTTACATAATTTAGAGAATTGGCATTTGGTAAATGTGGTAAGATGGGTGCTGAGCTCTGATATTCTATTTCAAAAGTCAGCTATTTCCCAGAAGGTGATGTGTTCAGTTTTTCCTTCAGTAGATCATGACTGATTTAATTAAAACAATTCATGAAAACAACCTTACTCCAATTTTTTTTTTAGGTAATTAAAGCCTTACAGCAAGTCGATAATACTTTTGGAATGTTTATGGAAGGCCTGAAACAGCGGAACTTACACAATTGTGTTAATATAATCATTTTGGCTGACCATGGTATGTTTTTTTGGGGTTTTTTTTTCTAAATAATATTATATCATTGATTATATTTATCATTTCAGAAATCATACAAAAATAATAGTGATATTTTAAAGTCTGTATTTCCAGATCAAAAAACTCTTGAAGAAGCAAAGAATAAATTCTGTGGCAGATTGTGATGAAAAGAGGACTAAATTGAAACTGGTAGTTTAATTATTCCGACATCCCCTGAAAACCTATTATATATATTATTTTCTTTCTTTCTTTCTTTCTTTGAGTTGGGAGCTCACTCTTGCTGCCCAGGCTGGAGTGCAGTGGCACTTTCAAGGCCACCGCAGCCTCGATCTGCTAGGCTTAGGTGATCCTTCTGCCTCAGCCTTCCAAGTAGCTGGAACTACAGATGCACACCACCACACCCGGCTAGTTTTTGTGATTTATTGTAGAGATGAGATCTCACCAAGTTGCCCAGGCTGGTCTCGAACCCCCGGGCTCAGGTAATCCTCTTGCCTAGGCCTCCCAAAGTGCTGGGATTACAGGCTGAACCACCACGCCGGGCCCATATATATTATTTTCTAAAAGACATAATACAATTTTAAATTTAAAAAATGCCAGTCTCTCTCAGCATTTTCTTCCTAGGAAGGGTTTTGTTGATTTAAAACAAAAGTGCCATCTATTTTTATAAAACAATATAGTAAGAGAATAAGGAAGAGTTAGTGGTATTTAACAGGGAGTTGATTGGGTTGTCATTCAGTCTCAAAAGTGCTCTGGAGCCATTTTTTCAGCCGGTGATTTATTCATGTAGTTTGGCTATAGTTTTTTAATACATTGACCAGTTTTGCCACGTCACGTGTGGTTGGATTTTCTTTCTTTTAGTTATGTGAATAGATGTGTATCTAATTATAGCTTTTTGTCTCTAAAGTCCCTGTCACCTCACATTTCTCTACTTGAGGTTACTCTGGCTTAACCTGAATTGAAAGGAAGTGAAACAGTGGCCACCGTCACACAGGATACATCCACGCAGTTTCCAAGTATATGTTCCTTAGTTCCACAAATATTTTAAGTTCTTGCTCAATGCCGAGTGCTCTCCTAGATACAGAGTAGTCCTCTCCTAGCTGGGGTGGTCAGACCGTCTTCTCGAGGAGGACATTCAAAGTCAATCTCTAGCACCTTGAAGATACTAGGCATGGGCACAAGGAAGAAAAAGTGTGTCTTCAGAACTCTTGTTTCCATTGTAGAACATCAGGATCATGGAAAACACAGTGATGCATTTTTAAGATTTTAGGGTTCACTAACATCCTTCCCTGTTGCTTTAAAATTAGGCCGGGCTCGGTGGTTCAGCGTATAATCCCAGCATTTTGGGAGGCCGAGGCAAGTGGATTGCCTGAGCCTGCAGGTTCGAGACCAGCCTGGGCAACTTGGTGAGACCTTGTCTCTACAGTAAATTAAAAAAAAAATTAGCCGGACGTGGTTGTACGCACCTGTCATCCCAGCTACTTGGAAGGCTGAGGTGAAAGGATCACCGAAGCCCAGCAGGTCAACTCTGGGGTGGCCGTGAGTGTGCCACTGCACTCCAGCCTGGGCAATGGAGTGAGACTCCAACTCAAAAGTAAAATAAAATTTATAAAAATTAAAGGGAGCCCTTTTAATGCATATCTTGTCAAAAGAAATTTATAAAAATGAAAATGTGTATGTAGTCTAAAAAAGTTTAATGACCAAATCTTTTTATTTTATTTATTTATTTAGAAAGTAGGATTTATTAAGAGGACAGAAAAGTTCCCACAGTGGGAGGGGACCTGAAGGGGTGGCCCCCAAATCTTTTTAGAGCACAGTTGCTTATATAAATTTAAATAATATACTTTTAAAATAAATATTTTCTAATCCTAGTTCTCTTTTTAAAAATTATTATTTATTATAGAGATGTGGGGTACATTTCAGGGTTAGGTATATAAACATTGATCATGCAGGTACCCTTGTTGATGAGGTATTTTCCTAGTTCTCTTAACGTACTGTTTTATAAAAGTGCATGTTGCTTTTTGGTTTAAAATTGTATCGTGTTGTCTTATATACAAATCAGATAATATCAAGATTTGATTAGCCTCCTACAGAGGACTTTCTTCTTCAAAATTTACTTGGCTGGGCTCGGTGACCCAGCCTGTCATCAGCACTTTGGAAGGCTGAGGCGAGTGAATAGCCTGAGCCTGCGGGTTTGATACTAGAGATGGAGTGAGATTCCGACTCAAAAAAAAAATTACTTTACTTGATCTACATTGAACAAATGCTCTGTTTATAATTTCTGTGTACTCTTTTCTCATAAACGTGACCCCTCTCCACTGCCATTTAGAGCAAAGTAATAAGGTAAATTGCGTAAGCTCTCAGTGAAACTTGGTTTGAACTCTGTAACATGAAGTGTCTTCTATTTGACATGACCAAAGACAACCAACTGTTATCATCTAATACATTCAGTGGATTTTTTTTTCAGGAATGGAGCAGACTTACTGTGACAAGATGGAATATATGACTGATTATTTTTCCCAAATAAACTTCTACATGTATGAAGGGCCTGCCCCCCGCATTAGGACTCGAAATATACCTAATGACTTTTTTAGTTGTAAGTATGAAGACACCCACATTTTTTTAGAAAAGGGTAATCATGAGCATGAATAACCATAGCCTCCAGATTCTGAGAGGATGCGGGGATTATCAGAGCCCCTACTGACTTCTTGGAATGACCACAGATGCAGATGTGAGACTCCCGTGTTTCAGTACAGTCAGTCATAAACGCTGTGGCAATATCTAATATTGTTAGGTTAAAATACATTCTGCTTCATTCTCAAATGCTAAAACACTTATTTGCTTGAAATAAATTTTGATTTAATTTTCCCAAACCATGGTTATTAATAACCATGCGTATGTGTCAAATTCACCTGAATTGTTCACATTTTTTTCAATTGTCAAGAATCAATTGTAATGCATTTTTTCTTTTGAAACAGTTAATTCTGAAGAAATTGTTAGAAATCTCAGTGTAAGTACACATTCTCCTTATTACATATATTTAAGTTAATATACTGACCTTAATCTCAGTTCTATGAAATTTGTATTCTGTATTTCTAAGTCTAGACCATTTGTAATTAATTTTTTAAACCTCTAATCAACATTATTTTATAAGCATATTAGATGTTTTAATCTCAGTTGTTTTAATCTTGGAGTTGACACTTCTATAGGAGATTAGTTTGGGGGTATAAACTTCTATAGCAGATTAGTTAGGCAGTATTAGTTTGGGGGTATCAGGCACCAACTCCTGGTTATCAGGGAAAGGACTGTGTCCCCATTCAACAGCACTGTCTTGATGAGTTTCTTTTCCCATATTCTGTGTTTCTTCATATCAGGAGATAGTGAGTCACAGACTCTTCTAGAGTCTTTTTGTACAGCTCAGAAAAATAATCTCTATTCTTCATAAGTATAATCATAACTGCTTTTGATTGGTTCCCACATCCTAGCTTGTAAGTAAATGAGTAGGAGAAACTGCAGATGGCATAAAGCCATATTTTTCAAAGTAGGGTTCACTACTCCTGGAGAAGGCTGGAATATTCTTCTGTGGTAGCTTTAAGAGTTATATATTCAAAATATCTTCTCAAATACACATGTATGGAATTCATTAGTTCACTGCTGCTTGGTATGAGACTCAATGTCTCCAAGTACAGGTGGCATCCAGTTACAGGCATACTTTCTTTTATTGTGTTTTACTGTATTGCTCTTGGCAAATGTTGCATTTTTTACAAACTACAGCTTTGTGGCATCGAGCAGTTCTATCAGCATTATTTTTCCGATAGCGTGTGTTCACTTCGTGTCTCTGTGTCACATTTTGACAATTCTTCCAACATTCCAAACTTTTTCATTATTCATACCTGTTATGGTGATCTGTGATCAGTGACCTCTGATGTTACCGTTTTAATTGTTTTGAGGCACCCTGAGCTAGCCCCAGTAAAAGATGACAAACATAATAAATGTGTGTGTTATGACAGCGCCACCAACTGGCCATTCGCCATCTCTCTTTCTTCCGTTGGGATATTGAAATTAGGCAGGTTAATAACACTGCACTGGCTGTCTAAGTGTTCAAGTGAAAGAGAGAGTCACACCCACATGCTTCACTTTAAATCAAAAGCTAGAGATGATTAAGCTTAGTGAGAAAGGCACACAGAAAACCGAGACAGGCTGAAAGCTAGACCTCTTATGCCACTTAGCCAAGTTGTGAATGAAGGCAAAGAAAAAAAAATTAAGAGTGCTACTCCAGTGAGTGCACGAACGGCAAGAGACCAAAGTTTTGAAGCTGAGATGAAGACAGTTTGAGTGGTCTAGACAGAAGATCAGACCAACTCTACCATTCTCTGAAGCCAAAGCCCAATCCAGAGCAAGGCCCTAACTCTCTTCAGTTCTGTGAAGGATGAGAAAGGTGAGGCCTCTGCCAAAGAAAAGTTGGAAGCTAACAGAGCTTGGTTCATGAGGCTTAAGAAAAGAGGCAATCTTCATGACATCAGAGTGTAAGGTGAAGCAGCAAGGGCTGACATTGAAGTTACAGCAAGTTATCCAGAAGATCCAGCTAAAATCATTGATGAAGGCAGTTACACTAAACAAATTTGTTTCTGTAAATAAAACAGCCTTCTGTTGGAAGAAGACGCCATCTAGGACTTTTGTAGCTAGAGAGGAGAAGACCAATCCTGTCTTCAAAGGAAAAAAAGCTTCAAAAAATGACTGATTCATTAGGGGAGAATGCAGCTGGTGACATTAAGTTGAAACCAATGCTCCTTGATCATTCTGAAAAGTCTAGGGCCCTTAAGGAGTATGCTAAATTGGCCCTGCCTGTGCTTTATACATGAAAAAACAAAGCCTGGATGACAGCACTTCTGTCGACAGCATAATGACTGTAAATTTTAAGACTACTATTGAGAATTACTGCTTAGTAAAAATAGATTCCTTTAAGATATTATTAGTCGTTGACAATGCACCTAGTCACTCAAGAACTCTGATGGAGATGTACAAAGAAATTAATGTTTTGGTCATGCCTGCTAACATAATATCCATTCTACAACCCACAGATCAAGGAGTCATTTAGAATCTTGAGTCTTATTATTTAAGAAATACATTTTGGCTGGGCTCAGTGGCCTGTAATTCCAGCACTTTGGGAGGCCAAGGCAAGAGGATTGCCTGAGCAACTTGGTGAGACCTTGCCACTACAGTATATCACACAAACCAGCTGGGAATGGTGGTGTGCATCTGTAGTTCCAGCTACTTGGAAGGCTGAGGTGGAAGGATCCCCTAAACCCAGTAGGTTGAGGCTACGGTGGCTGTGAGTGTGCCACTACATGCTAGCCTGGCTGACAAAGTGAGCCTCCAACTCAAAAAAATAAAATGGAAATACATTTCATAAAGGCTACAGTTTCTATAGATGGCGATCCTTCTCATGGATCTTAGCAAAGTCAACTGAAACCATCTAGAAAGGATTTGCCATTCCAGCTTCCATTCTAGCTGGGCCGGGTACGGTTGCTCATGCTTATAATTCCAGCACTTTGGGAGGTCAAGGTGAGAGGATTGCCTGAACCCACGGGTTCGAGACCAACCTAGGCAACTTGGTGAGACCTCATCTCTACAAAAAATCAAAAAATTAGCCAGGTGCAGTGGTGCCTGCCTGTAGTTTCAGCTACTTGGAAGCCTGAGGCAGAAGGATCGCCTGAGCCCTGCAGGTCGAGGCTGTGGTGGCTGTGAGCATGCCACTGCACTCCGGCCTGGGCGACAGACTCCAACTCAAAAAAAAGAAAAAAGAAAAGAACGTTTGTGATGTATGGGAAGAGATCAAAATATCAATATTAACAGGAGTTTGGAAGAAGTTGATTCCAACCACTATAGATGACTTTGAGGGATTTAAATTCTTCAGTGGAGAAAGTGACTGCGGAAGATGTGGTGGAAATTGCAAGACAATCAGGATTAGAAGAAGAGCCTAAAGATGTGACTGAATGACTGCAATCTCATGATCAAACTTTACTGACTGAGAGTTGCTTCCTATGGACGAAAGTCGTTTCTCAAGATGGAAACTATTCCTGGCAAAGATGCTGTGAACATTGTCGAAATGACAACAAAGGATTTGGACTATTACATAAACTTAGTTCATAAAGTAGTAGCTTTGGAAAGTTTTGAGAGGATTGACTCTAATTTTGAAAGAAATTCTACTGTGGGTAAAATGTTATCAAGCATCATAATTTCTATAGATAAATCTGTAGAAAAGAGGGGTCAATCAGTGCGGCAAATTTTATTGTTGTCTTATTTTAAGAAATTACCACAGCCACCCCAGCCTTCACTAACCACCACTCTGATCAGTCAGCAGCCAACAACATCGAGGCAGGACCCTCTACCAGCAAAAGGATGAAGTCTTGCTGAAGGCTTAGATTGTGAACTTTTTTTTTTTGGCAATAAGATTTTTGTTTTTGTTTTGAGTTGGAGTCTCACTCTGGCACCCAGGCTGGAGTGCAGTGGCACCTGATGGCCACCACAGCATCGACCTGCTGGACTCAGGTGATCCTTCTGCCTCAGCCTTCCAAGCAGCTGGAACTACAGATACACGCCACAATGCCCAGCTAACCAGTAAAGTATTTTTAAGTTAAGGTATGCACTTTTTCAGATGTAATGCTATTGCACAGTTAATAGACTACAAGATTGTGTAAACATAGCTTTTATACACAGTGGAAAAGCAATCCATGTGATTTGCACTATTACATGGTCTACAATGGAACCCACAATATCTCCAAGGTACGCCTGCATTGTAAAATATGTTAGGGTGGACAATAAGAAACACTGGGTAAAGCGTGGTTAATATAATCTGAGACCTGCTACAAATTACTCTGTAGAGTAATACTCACTCTCTTAACACCTAGTATTCTGATCTTGAGTTAATATGATAGACCTGACGTGGTGGCTCACGCCTGTAATACCAGCACTCTGGGAGGCCGAGGCAAGAGGGTTGATTGCTTGAGTCTAAGAATTTGACAACAGTCTGAGCAACATAGTGAAACCTCATTGCTACAAAAAAAAAAAAAATCAAAAAATAGTGGGCATGGTGGCACATGCCCGCAGTACCAGATACTCGGGAGGCTGAGGGCGAAAGTATCACCTGAGGCTGAGAGGTCGAGGCTGTGCCACTTGATCATGCCACTACACTCCAGTTTGGTGACAGAGTGAGACCTCCACTGAAGAACACACAGGGCAACTCCTTGGGGTCCCCTCCCACTCTGGGAGCTTTTCTGTCCTCTTCATTTATCCTGCTTTCTAAAAAACAAACACACACACACACATACACACACGTTGGACAATCTCGTCCCCTACTGAAGTGTATACATGCAGGGTGTTCATGCTGAGTTGAATGAGTAACTCAGATTTTTCAACAAGTGGACAGACTCTCTAAGACTCTCCACGCACATATATGGTTCTGTTGGTGTGGATAGGCAACTCTGTGCAGGCGTTGGAAATTAATTAAATGGCATCACAGGTATGGACTGGGCCCGGAGCTAAGAAGTCCTGTTTTACAAAATGGCCCACCAGTCCCAGGAAAATGTTTCATGTGGTGGTACAATGTCCCCAGGAGTGCCATTCTGTGGGCCTCCATGGAGTGTATTTTGGACAAACATAACCAAACATGAACTGGCAAACGCTTAAATTCTGCAACAGCCTGGCTACTGAGAGACATCAGCATCGACTTTGTTCTTAGATACCATAACAAAAATTTTGTTTCAGCTTTGGTGACTTCATTTCAAATTCTCAAATGCAAAAAGTAACCCATATTTCTTCAGAGGCTGACAAGTGTACCCTCGATTTTATCTGGATATACCTAGACTAGCCAGCAGCTGGGAAAGGGTGCCCTATTATGCTCAGGGACAAGTTCTAGTTCCTTGTGTCCTGGGGAAGCTGAATACCCACATGTGCCTCCCTGGAAGTTACAAAAATATTGGCTTAGGAAAGCAGGAATGATAAATGAAAAAGTGGAAAAATAGGAGGCCTGGAAAAGATACTGCAATTGGTTAAAAAAAAAAAACTGGCAAAAATATATGTGCAATAGGTGACACAGTAAGACTCTCAACTCAAAAAGCAAGGAGAGGAAAAAAAGATATATATGTACAATAACTATTTTGTTCTTTCCTCTTTCATTCTGTAAACCCTCCTTGCTCTCCTATTTTCTGTTTCTTTTAAATTTTGTTTTTGTAAACTGTGTGTTTTACAGCCCCTCTTTCTTGTCTCATTATAATTCGAGCATGAAATAACAGTGACACAGACTTGTTGACATCTATATGAGATACTGTGACTTAAAACCAATGAGAAAAAGAGGAAATAGAAAATCATTCATTTCCTTTATGTTTATTTTTTTCCCTCTTGTTTCTCAAAAGGGTCATGAGGGAGAGAAAGTTCCTTTGCGGTTCTATTTCTCACTTCCTCATTTTTCTTTTGTGTAAGTAGATACTAACAGGATTTGCATTTTTAAAGTTTTAAAATATGCCATGTTGTTGAAGTAGTAATTATTATTATTATTTTTAAGTCAAAAACATTTTTATTGTAATTCATGTATTTTTTTTTTTTTTTTTGAGTCGGAGTCTCACTCTGTCGCCCAGGCTGGGGTACAGAGTAATTATTAAAGAAAAAAAAATTGACTCCAATTTGTGAGGAATCCATGAATTTTTTCCCCTCTCTCTTTCTTTATGTATATATAGATGAATGCATATATGGAGACTAGGAACTATAGTAGATTTCAAAAGCTGTTGACTTGATTTGAAAACTAAGCAAATGCACGTTATTCAATAAGTATTTAATAAGTAAATTGAGGTCATTGGGAAGGAATTTTGCACAATTAAACTAATTTTTTTAACCCATATCTGCTAACATGTTATATACATTTTATATATATCTTAGACTCAAAAATTGCAATTACCACTCTACATCTAGATCTATTTTCTGTAAAAAAAAAAAAAAAAAAGACAGTGGTTTATGGTAGCTTAAGATATACACCAAGGAATAAAAACTTAATACATCAAACACCAAACCACAATCTAAATCAGATTTTAATTGCAACCTAATTATTGTTGCAACAATAAATATCATAATTATGGAATCTGACTGCCTTGATAATAGGTATAATATTCATCCTTTAGTAGCTAAGCTTAAATCCCCTTACTTTTAAAAGATGCTTCATGTGGAGAGTGGTGGCTCACACCTGTAATCCCAGCACTTTGGGAGACAGAGGTGAGAGGATTGCCTGAGCCCAGGATTGCTCAGGACTGCCGGGCTTGGTTCAAGACCAGCCCGGGCAACTTGGCGAGACCTCATCTCTACAATAAATTTAAAAAAAAAAAATTAGCCAGGAGTAAAAAAAAAAAAAAAAATTAACCAGGAGTGGTGGCACGTACCTGTGGTTCCAGCTACTTGGAAGACTGAAGCAGAAGGATCGCCTGAGTCCAGCAGGTTGGGGCTACGATGGCCATGATTGTGCCTCTGTACTCCAGCCTGGGCAACAGAGGGAGACTCGGACTCAAAAAAAAAAAAAAGAAAATTCACAAATTGTCTTAAAGATGAAATGTTTGAATTAGTTTGTATATCTCACACGTCATGAAGAAATACTTACTTGTTTTACAGTGCCAAAAACCTGACCAGCATTTCAAACCCTACTTGACTCCTGATTTGCCAAAACGACTGCACTATGCGAAAAACATCAGAATCGACAAAGCTCAGCTCATGGTGGATCGACAGTGGCTGGCTGTGAGGTTCGTGTCCCTGTTTACTCATCTCGCGCTTTTGCAACCTACCCTGCATGATAAATGGACTTGCCCTTACCCTGCTGTTATGACTGTACAGTTCCTAAAAACCCTTCTCATGCCATGTAGCCTGTCTGCGTTTGAAATTGTTGTTTTCAGACTGCTGATCTCTGCATCCTAACTTCACAGTATAGGTGAGAAGGAGGAACAGGGCTGGGTTGTTCCAGCCTCTGTCCCAGAGGCTGTTGATTCCCGCACATTCCAGCAGATGATGTCACCTGTCTTCCAGGGTGGTAGTGAGTGATTGGTTAGATAGCCCTTTAAGATCTTTGTCGGCCATTGCCAAAACATCTTGGCCATTGCCTTGCTAAGCTATGGTGTGGCCATGTGCTCTTTGAGTTATGGCCAGGCTATGTTTTCTTAAGCTTTGGCCTCCTTCCTACCTTGGGGAGGTGAATCTTCTCCCGTCTCTCTCTCTCTCTCTCTCTCTCTCATTCTCTAATTTTCTTTCTAAATAACTATATTCTCTAATCAAACAAAAAAAAAGATCTTTAGGCTGGGTGCGGTGGCACACACCTATAATCCCAGCACTTTGGGAGGCCGAGGAGAGAGGATTGCCTGAACCCATTGGTTCGAGATCAGCCTGGGCAACTTGGTGAGACCTCATCTCTACAATAAATAAAAAAATTAGCTGGGCGTGGTGGTGCATGCTTGTAGTTCCAGTTACTTGGAAGACTGAGGCTGAAGGATCACCTGAGCCCAGCAGGTCAAGGCTGCGGTGGCCGTGCCTGGGCGACAGGATGAGAACTCCAGCTCAAAAAAAAAAAAAAAAAAAGACCTTGGTCATCTTTGTCGCTTTTATAAAAGAGCACTTTCAGAACTGTAAGGCCAAGCTAAGGAGTTAGTTGTACTATGGATTTCTTATTCCTTTTTATAATTGTAATCCGTGGTGATCACTTAGCATTTGCAAAATGTAAGTGCGCTTAGAGAAAACAAAAGTCATTCTGGCTCTCCATCCTAAATAACCAACTCATTCATTGATTTAACACTATCGTATTGAATGTTTGCTATATAGGTGCCAGGCCCTGTTCCAGGCATTTGGGATACACCCCTGATTCTTGCCCTTGTGAGGCATATACTCCAGAGAAGACTGATAATAAGCCAGTAACAAATAAATATTCACTTTCTGGTGGCTAAACGAATTATTCTCATTTTTGTATTTCATTATACTATTTTCCCCACATGCATAAGTGGATATAGACAGTAATCGGGATCATACTGTATTTTCTGACCTTTTTTTTTTTTTAATATGCAATAAATATATGCCATGAGCCGGTACATATTTACCAACCAGCTCTTTAAAAGAAAAAAGGAACCCAGATTTGTAGCATTTGCCAATTTCTGTGGTGTAAATACTTCCATGATGGTCAATTTCTTTTTCTTTTTTTTCACTTTCAAATGTTTTATTTTAAAGATGTGGGGTACAATTCAGGGTTAGGTATACAAATACTCATTATGCAGGTGCCCTTGTTGATGAGGTGTGTCTCCCCTTTCCCAGGCAGATTCCCACTACTACCAAACCCGCTCTGGCCTATCTTATATGTGTACATATGTGCAGGATAAGGAACCAGGGATTTGGCTAAGTCTGTTCCACTAAGTCTGTTCCACAAAAAAACCTCCCTTCTCGGCCAGAGAACGTGCAGTTCCACACTCGGTCGCTAGATGGCACTGGCCTCCCTCCTTGGGCTCAAACTTTCTTAGCTCTTTGTAGAGATCAGTGGTTGTATTGCAACTCAGGACATTCTCTAAAGGTACTTCCCTCAAAAAATATGAACAGCATTAAGCTTTACTAATATCCAAAACTTCAGATTGTTAGTAATGTAGACACGAGATATATGCATAAATATATGCCCACATGTGGGTGGGTTCTCCAACTATTTACTGCCCAGGAGAATGAGATCAAAGATGTTAGGCCACTGGTACAGAATGAGACAGGGTCAAAAGTGATAGTCTGGACACCAGAATATCTCTGAAGGTCATCCATTCTCGACCTATGAGTTCTGTATTCTTTTACACAACTGGCAGCGAGATATGAAAAGAGCTGCAGCCTGAACATCCAAGGTCCAGCTCCCCATCCCTCTAGTAGTGGGAACTTGGAAAAACTAATATGTTAGTAATTTTCCTCATCTGTAGTGCAAGATTACTTTGTTTTTTAAAAATCCCTTGCCGTCATCATATGAAGTAAACTAACATACAAGCAAAGGTATTCTTGAATATAGCCTTAACTAGAGCAACTGAGGAATCTCACCCGGTCACATCCTGGGTTCACTGCATGTCCAGCTCTTAAGGTTACCTATTTCCTAAGTGAAAGGGTGTCATCTTTCACAATAATGTGCATTATTAGGTGATTAGATTAGATTCCCTTCACACAATTATAGGAAATTTTAACAGGCTGTATAATCTATTTCTATCCTTATCATCCTTATTTTGCCTAAAATGTAATCGATTTTACTAATTTGGGGAAACCCAATGCTTTGAAACTGTAGGAGAAATATTGTTTTCTGTTTTTTGCTTTTTTTGACTTGGAGTCTCACACTGTTGCCCAGGCTAGAGTGCAGTGGCATGCTCCCAGCCACCACAACCTCAACCTGCTGGGCTCCGGCGATCCTTCCGCTTCAGCCTTCCGAGGAGCCAGAACTATAGGCGCATGCTACCACGCCCGGCTAATTTTTTGATTTATTGTACTGCTGAGGACTCACCATGTTACCTGGGTTGGTCTCGAACCCGGGCTCAGGCAATCCTCTCGCCTCGGCCTCCCAAAGTGCTGGAATTATAGGCTTGAGCCACTTCGCCTGCCCTGAAATATTGTTAAAGTGTTTTGTTTGTTTTTAAAGAACATGAATAACAGCTGTTTATTGGAGCAGCTGCTGACAAATATATCTCAGATACCTTTCTAAGAACTAGAACAAACGAGGATCCCACCGTAAGGATCTTGTCCGGTAGGAAGGAAGATAACAGTTATCTTCTGGTGTGATAACTGCTGCACTAGGACCAAGTTCAAGGTTCGAGGAAGCAGAAAGGGTGATCACATACACTGGTGTGGATGCGAAGGAACATCAGGGAATGCTTCCTGGCAGGGGTGATTCCGGTTCTGGGTTTCGAAGACTCAGGCTGGCATGGGCTAAAGGTTTCCCTGCAGCAGGTCTGCCCTGTGCAGTCTGTGCAGTGCACAGAGGACGCAGCCAGGAAGGCGAGTGGGAGTGGAAAGTGGATGCTGTTCTCTGACGGGGGCTGTGGTGGCACCTACTTGTCAAACCTCGAGCACTGCCAGGCTGTGGACTTCAAGAGGCCGTGGCTCATGCCTGTAATCTCAACACTTTGGAAGGAGGATTGCTTGAGCTTAGGAGTTCAAAACCAGCCTAGGTAACATAGTGAGGACTCATCCCTACAAAAAGTAAAAAATAAAAAGTAGCTAGGCCTGGTGGTGCACACCGGTAGCACCAGCTACTCAGCTGGCTGAAGTGGAAAGATCTTCTGAGCCTGGGAGGTTGAGGCTGTGGTGAGCCGTGATCACGCTGGTGCACTCCAGCCTGGGTGACAGAGTGAGATCCCCAGCTCAAAAAAAAACAAAAAAAGCACTTCTTTCTCTAAATGATCTGCTGAGTTCCAGTGATCCTTCTGTCTCAGCCTTCCAAGTAGCGGGAACTACAGGCGCACACTACCACGCCAGGCTCCTTTTTGATTTATCGTTGAGACGAGGTCTCACCAAATTGCCCGGGCTGGCCTCGAAACTGCAGGATCAGGCAATCCTCTCACCTCGGCCTCCCAAAAGTGCTGCGATGACAGGCTGAGCCACCGAACCCGGCCAGATGGGGGCTTTTTAAAACCCAGTAGCAGCTCTTGGGCAAAGAAGGGTAGAGGGTAGGAGGCAGGTTTCCAGATAAAGAACTAGATGCCAGCAACTTCTGAGGTTCTGTCTTGCTGGAGCACCATGTGGATGAAGCAGCCATCTGCAGGAAGGCCCTTGTCTATCGTGACCGAGGATAGTGACTTTGGACTTGAAGAAGGCAGGATGCCATTGGTAGCTACGAGGGGGCTTGAGGTGAATACGGTGAGACTGCACTTTGGGGAGCTCCTTCTAGCTGCTGCTTGGAAAAGGATGGTCCAGAGAGAACAGAGCATGCATGTTAGGAAGGCATGTGGGACCCATTTTTCAGCATCATGACAGCCCCAAGGAGGCTGGGGAGACTTGGGGACGGTGAAACTAATTATGTGGCATCACCGGGGAGCTGTTATGGTTCACTGCATGCTAGATCTTCCAAGATAGTTCTGATACCTCACATTCTGTGCCTACATTTGTTCCCTTTAGAACATGTGTTTCTATTTCCAGCAATGATATATAAAATTAGAGTGCTCTCTCTCTCTCTCTCTCTCTCTCTCTCTCGTTCTCCTGTCTCTCTCCTTCTCCTTCTCTCTCTCTCTGTGTGTGTGTGTGTGTGTGTGTGTGTGTGTGTGTGTGTGTGTGTGTGTGTGTGTGAAGATTCAGCAGTTCTGAAGGCAGAATGATCAATTAGGGAACTTGTCCCAGGTCAGAGGTAATGAGGATCAAGATGAGGATGGTAGTACTAGAAGGGGAAAAGGAAGGACCAACAGGAAAGATATTTCAGGAAGACAGGTCTCAGTCACTGATGGGCATCAGGGGAGATGCCTTGCTTATCTCTTACTGGGGTGTCAGACACAGCAGTGGCAGGAAAACCCAGCCTTGATTTCAGCCGTGTTAATTATTTAGACGTTGAGATGAGAACAGAGAACTTGTTCCAGAAGATCTCATATAGGACTTGGAAGTTGAGCTAAATCAACTCATGTTTTCCAAATGCCAGCTACCGTCTTTCCATACATAATTTCCAGAGCCCAATTTAAATGGTTGGAAGATGTGAACATGAGCAGTTAGAGAGCAAATTTCCAAGGTTTTCATCTGAAAGCAATTTTTTAAAAAAAGATTTTTCAAACACAATCTTTTGCTTCTGAATTAAATTTTGCAATATTTACTATAGTTTTTTTTTTTTTAATTGAGCTAGGTTAGGAGATAGAAATATTTTTAAAAACTAGATTTCGGCCGGGCTTGGTGGCTCAGCCTGTAATCTCAGCGCTTTGGGAGGCCAAGGTGAATGGATTGCTTGAGCCCGCAGGCTCGAGACCCACCTGGGCAAGTTGGTGAGACCTCATCTCTACAATAAATCAAAAATTAGCCGGGCGTGGTAGCACGCGCCCGTAGTTCCAGCTACTTGGAAGGCTGAGGCGGAAGGATCGCCGGAGCCCAGCAGGTCGAGGCTGCGGTGGCCGGGAGCGGCCACTGCCCTCCAGTCTGGGCGATAGAGTGAGACTCCAACTAAAAAAGAAAACTAGATTTTTTTTTTTTAAAGAAAAAGATGACCGGACTAGGTGGCTCAGTCTGTCATTCCAGTACTTTGGGAGGCCAAGACGAGTGGATTGCCTGAGGCTGCAGATTTGAGACCAGCCCAGGCAATTTGGGGAGACCTCGTCTCTACCATAAATCAAAAATTATTTGGGCAGGGTAGCACGCGCCTGTAGTTCTGACTCCTTGGAAGGTTGATGGAGAAGGATCACCGGAGCCCAGTAGGTCGATGCTGGGGTGACTGTGAGCGTGCCACTGCACTCTAGCTTTGGCAACGGAGTGAGACTCCAACTCAAAAAAAAAAAAAAAAAAAAAAGGTATATACGATCCATTTTTTAAGAAAAACTTTTTAGAAAATTTTACCAAAAACTTAGTTGAAAAGACTGTCTTTTTTCTTTTATTAATGTACACCACACAGAATTTAAAACTTAATTATCTCCAGTCAAAGCATTCCATGATCTAGGGAAGCCAAATATCAATGGAAGAAGAACAAAAACGCTTTTGAAAGCAAGTTTTACCCTATGTCAACAATTTTGTTGGAATTGACTAAGGCAAGGGCATGAAGTGACTCTCTCAGAGTTTTCACACTTAAAGCCCTTGAGAAGTGGGACCCTTCTTGCTTTCCCATTCCAGGTACCTGACTCTCCCCTTTCTTCCCTCTGTTGGGTGCAGTTGTGTGTGACCTGGACAGCCTGTGATTTATTTTTTAATCTGTGATTCATTTTTATTTTCTATTTAAACTGAGTGAGAGTCAGTTATGAAATGTGTAAATGTTGATTCTCTTTAGACACTAAATTACTGTCCTGTTTTCAGTGGGCCAAACAGAAACCGTGTGTGTGTGCGCATGTGTGTGTGTGTTTGTGCGCGCATGTGTGTATTTGCCCCCGGGTGGGAGGTAGAGGGTGGGGAAGCAAATGAGAGAAACCTTGTAAAGCCAACCTTTGGCAATAGGAGTCTTTTGTTCCCTTCAGAAACCAAATTTGACCCAGTATGACACTGCTGCTTTAAAAGGTCTAGGTTCAGAGCCGGGCTCGGCGGCTCAGCCTGTAATCCCAGCGCTTTGGGAGGCCGAGATGAGTGGACTGCCTGAGCCCGCGGGTTCGAGACCCGCCTGGGCAAGTTGGTGAGACCTCATCTCTAAAATAAATCAAAAATGAGCCAGGCGTGGTAGTGCGCGCCTGTAGTTCCAGCTACTTGGAAGGCTGAGGCGGAAGGATCGCCAGAGCCCAGCAGGTCAAGGCTGTGGTGGCCGGGAGCGGCCACTGCACTCCAGTCTGGGTGACAGAGTGAGACTCCAACTCAAAAAAATAAAAAAATAAAAGGTCTAGGTTCATTTATCACTATTTTTTTCCAAGTGTGAAAACCAACTGTGTATAAAATTGTTAATGCTACTCAGTTCAGAGATTAAAATATAAAAAGTTAGACAAAACCAAATTAATTAAATTTGTAAAGTTATTCAAATAATAGAGCAACAGCCTATGGAAGAAAATCCCAAAAGTTAAAAATAAACTCTGAATCTACAGAATATCCTAGCTTCTCCTTACCAAGTACACTCATGCATTGCATACAGATGTTTCCATCAACAATGAACTGCTTATATGACAGTGGTCCCAGAAGATTATAATACTGTATTTCTACTGTACCTTTTCTATTTTTCATTTTTTTAAGTTGAACTCTTACTCTGTCGCCCAGGCTGGAGTACAGTGACACGCTGGCCACCGCAGCTTCGACCTGCTGAGGTCAGGCGATCTTTCCACTTCAGCCTTCCAAGTAGCTGGAACCACAGTCTCATGCCACCACGCTCAGCTAATGTTTTTTGATTTATTGTAGAGATGAGGTCTCAGCAAGTTGCCCAGGCTGGTCTCAAACCCCTGGGATCAGGTAATCCTCTCACCTCGGCCTCCCAAAGTGCTGGGATTATAGGCGTGAGTCACCACGCCCAGCCTCTATATTTCAATATGCTTTGATACAAAAATACTTACTGGTGTGTTCTAACTGCCTGCAGTATTCAGTACAGAAACATGCTGTGCAGGTTTGTATCCTAGGAGCAAGAGACTATTACCAAACAACCTAGGTGTATAGTGGGGCTGACCACTTAGGTTTGTGCAAGAACACTCCATGATGTTCACACAACTGAATCATCCAAGGCCGTATTTCCCAGAAGGTAGCCCTGTCCTTAAGCAATGCAAGACTGTATTCTAATTAATGTGTCCTAAATTCTTCATTCATGACTTTATATTATTTTTCATATACACCTCCACTGTAAAATAGAAATCAATATTTTCGACCAGGCACAGTGGATCACGCCTATAATCCTAGCATTCTGGGAGGCCGAGGTGAGAGGATTGCCTAAGCTCACAGGTTCGAGCCCAGCCTAGGCAATTTGGTGAGACTTCATCTCTACAATCAATCAAGATATCAGCTGGGCATGGTGGCATGTGCCTATAGTTCCAGCTACTTGGAAGGCTGAGGTGGAAGGATCAGCTGAGCCCAGTAGGTCAAGGCTGTGGTGGCCATGAGTGTGCCACTGCACTCCAATCTGGGCTACAGAGTGAGACTCTGACTCAAAAAAAAAAAAAGAATCAATATTTTCCTGCTGTCTCAAAGATTTATTCCTAAAGCACTGAAATGCTAAAATAACATATTTTTTCTATTCGAATCCTATATTTTTATTTGTTTTCTTTTTAAATTTTTAATTGACACCTAATAATTGTACATGTTAATGGAATACAGGGTAATATTTTGATACATATATACAGTGTGAAATGATCAAATCAAGGCAGTTTAGCATATCTATCGCCTCAAATATTTAGCATTTATTTGCTCAGTACACATTCAAAATGTACACTAATTGTTGTTAATTGTATTCACTCTACAGTGCTACAGAACACTAAAACTTATTCCTCATATGTAGCTGTAATTTTGTGGGTACTGCTTTATGTATAAAGAGCCTATTCTCGTCTTTTGTCTATAAAATACATAGTAATCAGACTATTACTAATTATGCTTTAAGACAAATTTTATTTCATAATTTTGTATGACTTTTAAATTTTAATTTTTAAAATTTTCAAAACAGTTTTAAAAATTTTATTGCTTTTGTTATTATCCTTTTGTCCTATGTATAAGAGGTAAAAGACTTGTAAATTCTATTTATAGACCCCAGAACTCTCCTTTATCTCTTGTTCCTTTATACCTGTGAATTTGAGCATAAGAATAAATTTATTTATACTGCTGCTGACAAAAAAAAAAATTATTTATTTATTTATTTATTTATTCATTTTGAGTTGGAGTCTCACTCTGTCGCCCAGACCGGAGTGCAGTGGCCGCTCCCGGCCACTGCAGCCTCGACCTGCTGGGCTCCAGCGATCCTTCTGCCTCAGCCTTCCGAGTAGCCGGGATTACAGGTCTGCGCTACCACGCCCGGCTGATTTTTTGATTTATTGTAGAGATGAGGTCTCACTGCCCGGGCGGGTCTCGAACCCGCGGGCTCAGGCAATCTACTCACCTCAGCCTCCCAAAGATGCGGGATGACAGGCTGAGCCACCGAGCCCAGCAAAAAAATTACTTATATAAAAGCAGAGACTACATGAAAGTCCATTACAGTTGAGTATACAATAAGGTCTCATATCAACATATTGATCAGTGAGTAACAATATTTTTTCTTTATAGGAGTAAAGCAAGTTCATATTGTGGAGGAGGCACCCATGGTTATGACAATGAGTTTAAGAGCATGGAGGTAATGTACTGTATTTTTTTTTTAAGCAGGATTTATTGGGAGGACAGAAAAACTCCCACAGTGGAAGGGGACCCGAAGGGGTTGCCCACATACTGCTTTTTAAAAGCAGATCTTTATTGAGCACCTACTTTATGACATACGATGTCCAAGACTCTTGAATATATCTGCGGACAGGGCAGGTGAACATCCCTGCTCCGTGAAGCTTTCGTTCTTTTTTGTTTTTTGTTTTTGAGTTGGAGTCTCACTCTGTCACCCAGACTGGAGGGCAGTGGCCGCTCCCGGGCACCTCAGCCTCGACCTGCTGGGCCCCGGCGAACCTTCCGCCTCAGCCTTCCGAGTAGCCGGAATTACAAGCATGCGCTACCACACCCGGCTAATTTTTTGCTTTATTGTAAAGATGAGGTCTCGCCAAGTTGCCTAGGCGGGTCTCGAACCCGCAGGCTCAGACAATTCACTCACCTCAGCCTCCCAAAGGGAAGCTTTCATTCTAAGAGAGGAATACACACAATAGGCATAAGGCCTGTATTACTTGGTATGTTAGGTGGTAAGCATTATGCGAAGTAAAGGAAAAGTAAAGCAGAGTGCAGCAGAAATGGGAAGTGTTTGGGGCAACATGCAGCTTAAAATAGAATGAAGTCCAGGTGCGGTGGCTCAAGTCTATAATCCCAGCACTTTGGGAGGTTGAGGAGAGAGGATGGCCTGAGTCCAGGGGTTCGAGAGCAGCCTGGGCAACTTGATGAGACCTCGTCTCTACAATATATCACAGAAAAACTAGCCAGGCATGGTGATGTGCGTCTGTAGTCCCAGCTATTTGGAAGGCTGAGGTGGAAGGATCACCTGAGCCCAGCAGGCCAAGGCTGTGGTGGCCGTAAGCGTGCCACTGCGCTCCAGCCTGGGTGACAGAGTGAGACTCTAACTCAAAAAAAAAAAAAAAAAAAAGGAGTGGAAAAGGGGAATTATTAAAGTGACATTGGAGCAGAGACTTGAAGAAGGTGAGTGAATTCACTTTTCAAATATTCAGGAGACAAGTGTCCTAGAGAAGAAACAGCCAGTGTAAAGGCCCTGACTTGGGCGGGGACCTGAGTCTGTGAGTAAAATGCAGCTGAAACTGGCCCATATGTAAAACTCTATGATTTTTTGATTATCTCATCTAGCTTCATTTATCTCTCTCTCTTTCTGTCTCTCTCTCTCTCTCTCTCTCGCTCTCTCTCTCTCACACACACACATACACTCTCTCTCTCTTTTCAAATAGAACAAAATTGTGTTTGGCTTTTTATGAACATGTTGCCTTTTAACATTATCATGGTGTGTTATATCTCTTTGTAAATGCCTGAAAAATCTCGAGAGACAGTATTTTTTTATTAGTGAGGGTGCTCTATGATGACTAAATCAATTGCTACAAGAAAAACATACGCCTTCAACTCTTTGCGGATTATTTTGGAAAAAATATATATTTTTAATAGGAACATATGTAATCTGTTATCAAAAAGACTTACTGACCTATGTTTCATGCTTTTCTTCCAGTTGTTTACATTTTAAAGTAATTAGATGTCATAAATAACATAATTAAGTTAACTTTAACTCATTAAATGTAAATCAAAATACTTGATTGAGTCTTTTCATCCCAAAGGTAAAGGGGAGAGGTATTTGAGAAATAAGTGGGTTAGAAAGTTATGTAAAAATTTAAAGTTCAGAAACATTGACATTTTTTGTCATGTACTAACATGTTTGTGCAATGATATGAAAGGACTATGAAAAGAATAGATGATGCTATATGATTCATTTTTAACATATTGCCCAGAGATTGCGGAATTATGCTGACAGTGGGTGTCCACTGTGGCTCATGTCTTCCCTCTATGACACAGAAAGTGATATGGAAGCAGGTAGAGATAGGAAAAGTAATCACAGCATGGATTATATTTGATTGGGATTGGTACAACATCAGAGATGGAAATGATATGAAAACCACTTTCAAACCTGAAAAAAGTCTTTACAGAGAGAGGCTAGCAAAAATTGGAGAGTTGTTACAGAAGGAAAATTGTGTCTCTATCTACTTTTTTTTCTGCCTCAACCTCCTGAGTAGCTGGGACTACAAGTATACGCCACCATGCCCGGCTACGTTTTTTTTATTTTTTTGTAGAGATGAAGTCTCACTATGTAACCTAGGTTGGTCTTGAACTCCTGGACTCAAGTAATTCTCCCGCCTCAGCCTCCCAAAGTGCTAGGATTACAGGTGTGAGCCACTGTGCCTGGCCTCTATGTTTGTTTTGTGGTTTATGTGACATCTAGTAATAATATGACTATTTCCACCTAAGGCTATCTTTTTGGCACATGGACCCAGTTTTAAAGAGAAGACTGAAATTGAGCCATTTGAAAATATTGAAATCTACAACCTCATGTGTGGTAAGTATATTTAAATAAACTCGCCAGCAAAAGGTGGATCATTTTAAATATGTGTAATTTGAAAATGGTGATATTTGAATCTCAGAGGCTAAATCCTCTTCAGAAAGAAGAAAATAAAAGAAACAAGGAAGAATTACGTATCATTCAGAATTATTCAGCTACATGAGTGAATTTTTCTGTCTGTTTCTTTCTTCTCTTTTTTTTTTTTTTTGGTTTTATTTTTTTTGAGTTGGAGTCTCACTCCACTCGTCACCCCTGGAGTGCAGTAGAATGACTATGGCTACTGCAGCCTCAACTTGCTGGCCTCAGGCTATCCTTCCACCTCAGCTTTTCAAGTAACTGGGACTATGGCATGCGCCACCACACCCGGTTAATTTTTTGATTTATTGTAGAGGCAATGTCTTACCATGTTGCCTAGGCATATCTTGAACTCCTAGGCTCAGGCAATCCTCCCACCTCGGCCTCCCAAAGTGCTGGGATTACAGCATGAGCCACCGTGCCCACCTAATTCTTTTTGCTGTACTACAAATGATAAACTTTAGAACTCAGGAATCCAAGCTATTCTATTAGTTAATTACTGGATGACAGTTTAGTTTAATAAAACTTGAATAAATAAAGTAACACTTCCAACCTTTCAAAGCAGTATAAATATACCTAAAAACACAAGTATTTTCTTGTAATTGCAGAAAGAGGGCTTCTGGCATAAATGGATGGTAAGAAAGTCCTATTTGGATAGACGCTTATTACCACACCCAATTTAAAAAAAAAAAAAAAGCCCTTAGAGCAGTAAGGTTTTGGGAAGTGTAAAACTACTTTTTACCTACTGCTTGCCTCGGGCCATTGTATTAAAAAATCATTGACCTGGACAAGGCAGTGAGTCAGCTGTAATTTCACTGTCAGCTTTAGGAATTGGCCTGTGGTAATTGGATGTGATTTAGAGACCAAAAGGTACCCATTTAAAAATGGTGTGTCATACCTTCAACAACCTCCTTTTTTGTTTCCCGTGGCTAGGTTTGTGATCTGAACTGTGCGCCCTTTGCCTGGATGGTTAGAAGACACTGGATAGGACTCTCGTTCCCAGATAGATCTGTGAGGGGGTAGTTGGCAGGAGCCACTTAAAAGGCTATTTTTGGACCAGGTGTAGTGGTTCAGGCTGTAATTTCAGCACCTTGGGAGGCCAAGGCAAGAGGATTGCCTGAGCCCGGGGGGTTCGAGATCAGCCTGGGCAACCTGCTGAGACCTCATCTCTACAGTAAGTCAAAAAATAAGCTGGGCATGATAGCATGCGTCTATAGTTCTGGCTACTTGGAAAGCTGAGGTGGAAGGATTGTTGGAGCCCAGCAAGTCGAGGCTGTGGTGGCCGTGAGTGTGCCACTGCACTCCAGCCAGGGCAACAGAGTGAGACTCCAACTCAAAAAAAAGACTTTTTTTGGTGAAATAGGTATATATTTTGTTTTCATATAAAAACATTAGCAAATGTTCACCAAATAGTAAGCAAAATACACTAGTTTGATATTTATTTATTTATTTGTTTATTGAGTTAGAGTCTCACTCTGTGGCCTAGGCTGGAGTGCAGTGGCAAGCTCACGGCCACAGCAACCTCAAGCAGCTGGACTCTGGTGGTCCTTCCGCCTCAGCTTTCCAAGTGACTGGAACTACTGGTGCATGCCACCACATCCGACTAATTTTTTGATTTCTTGTAGAGAGGGGATCTCGCCAAATTGCCCAGGTCAGTCTCAAACCCCTGGGCTCAGACTGTCCTCTTAACTCTGCCTCCCAAAGTGCTGAGATTATAGACGTGAGCCACTGCGCCTGGTCAGTTTAACCTTTGAAAAGTGTCTGTCTACTCAAGTCATGTTTGTAAAACCACCCGGATATACAATTAAGAGAAGCCCTCTCTGCTTAAAAAAAAAAAAAAAAAAAAAAAAGGCCAGGCTCAGTGGCTCACCCTGTAATCCCAGCACTTCGGGTGGCTGAGGCGAGTGGATTGCCTGAACCCACAGGTTCGAGACCAGCCTGGGCAACTTGGCGAGACCTTGTCTCCACAATAAATTACAAAAATTAGCCAAGAGTGGTAGCGGGTGCCTATAGTTCTGACTACTTAGAAGGCTTTGGCAGAAGGATCGCCGGAGCCCAGTAGGTCGACCTGGGGTGGCTGTGAGTGTGCCACTGCACTCCAACCTGGGCGACAGAGTGAGGCTCTTACTCAAAAAGAAAAAAAAATATTTAGCATATTTAAACTTGTTATTTATTTATTCATTCATGCATGTATGTATTGAGTCAGCATCTCATTCTGTTACCCAAGCTGGAGTGCAGTAGCAGGATCACGGTTTACCACAGCCTCAACCTCCTGGGTTTAGGCAATCCTTCCACCTCAGCCTCCTGAATAGCTGGGACTATAGGTGCCTGCCACCATGCCTATCTAATTTTGTTTTGTAGAGACAAGTCCTCGCTATGTTGCCTAGGCTGGGCACAAGCAATCCTCTCACCTCCGCCTTCCAAAGTGCTGGGATTACATGCGTTAGCCACCTTGCCCTGCTAAATTTGTTTTACTAAGAGTGTAGCTGGCTGAGTGTGGTGGCTCACATTTGTAATCCCAGCACTTTAGGAGGCGAGGTGAGAGGATTGCCTGAGCCCAGGGGTTCGAGACCAGCCTGGGCAACTTGGTGAAACCTCTTATCTACAATAAATCACAAAAACTAACCAGGCGTGGTGGCGCATGCCTGTAGTTCCAGCTACTTGGAAGGCTGAGTCAGAAAGATCACCGGAGCCCAGCAGGTCGAGGCTGCGGTGGCCGGGAACGGCCACTACACTCCAGTCTGGGCGACAGAGTGAGACTCAGACTCAAAAAAAAAAAAAAAAAAATATATATATATATATATATATATATATATATATATATATATATACACACACACACATATACACACACACACACATATATATATACTTAAGGGAACAAAGTGGTAATTTACCAATGAAGCTTTTCCCTGGAGGAACAGAAACATTTCATGAACGTTTCTATACCTCATCTGCAGTGAATGTTCCCATTCTTTTTTTAAAATAGAGACAGTTCTCACAATGTTGCCCAGGCTGACCTTGAACTCCTGGACTCAAGTGTCCTCTTACCTTAACTTCCTAGTAGCTAAGATTCCATACATGTGCCCCTGTGCCTGGCTAGTTCCTATTTAGCAAGAATAGATGCTGGAAACTCTGGGGAAGCAAGTCAGTAAACTGAATGGCAGTACACAACTTGATTACAGCAGAATTCATGAAAGGAAGTGAAACAGTGGGCGTTTGTTTTTCCCCATCTCCCCCACAGGAGCTGTCGCCTGTTAATTTAAAGCCACTTTGAACTTCTTTTTTTTTTTTTAAACAGATCTTCTACGCATTCAGCCAGCACCAAACAATGGAACCCATGGTAGTTTAAACCACCTTCTGAAGGTGCCTTTTCATGAGCCAGCCCACGCAGAGGAAGTGTCACAGTTTTCTGTCTGTGGCTTTACGACTCCGAAGCCCACAGATACTCTAGACTGTACATGCTCTAAACTACAAAACGTAAGTAACAACTTCATGCATCTATGAGAGTGTAAGGAGGCAAGCTTAGTTTAGATCAGGGTAGCTGACAACCAGGATAGCTGACTTGGTTCGTGCTCTGACTTGGATATTCATTTAGTGGATGTATGAGGTTCCTCTGAACCTTATCTGGAAATGAGGGATGATCATGCATATATTCTAGGATTATGTGAATACACTTTACAAACTGGAATGCACTCTTTGGAAATTAATTGCTGATTTCATTGTCAGCTCACTGCCCTTAACCATTCAAAATAATAATCTTGGAGCTCTCATGACTCATCTTCTTACAACTTAAGCATCAGATGTTCTAAGTACTTGCCTATTTAGAATAGAGACAACTGAGAGGGTATAAGAGTTGTAAACTAGTGTTTGACACATCTACCAGGGTGGGTGTTTTGGGGTATTCCTTTGGGTAGCAGTGGAGAATCTGACTGACAGTTGACACTGGGGAGGTCTTTTTAGTAAATCGGGTCCTGGGCTGAGTTCAGGAGCAGGACTTCAGATCCTAGAAGGCTCTCAGCAAGGTGAAGTCCTGGTGCTAGGAGAAGCCCCAAGGGCAAGAAGTCTGAGCAGCAGCTCAGAATGCAGACCAAGCCAGTATGTGAGAATCAGAGCACCTGGGTGGGGTTGGGATTTCAGAAAGAAATTGGAGCCCGGTTATCAGGAGTCCATCAAGTCAAAACCAATGTCAAGGTGCATTGGATGCCAAGCTCAAAATGCGGTTGTAGAGAGCTAAATAAATACCTGCTGCCCCAGGGAAGAATTTGTTCTTCTAGTCAGGAGTAGTGAAGACTTCACATTTTCTAATCTCAAAATAGCATTATACCACAGATATGAATAAATAACCAACCAAACAAGGCTTTGAGGGACAAAAGTCTGGTCAATTTTCTCAATGAAGATCAAATCCACAGCAAAGATCAGAGTAAGGGTGGGAAACTACTGCTCCTTATACCTCAATGAAACTGCTGTTAATAATAGGCTGGGTATGGTGGCTCAAGTCTGTGATCCCAGCACTTTGGGAAGTGGAGGCAAGAGGATTGCTTGAGCTCAGGGGTTTGAGACCAGCCTGGGCAACTTGGTGAGACCTCGTCTCTACAATTAAAAAAAAAAAGCCAGGTGTGGTAGCGCACACCTGTATGTGGTTCCACCTACTTGGAAGGCTAAGGTGGAAGGATCACCTGAGCCCAGCAGGTCAAGGCTGTGTGACAGAGTGAGACTCTGACTTAATAATAATAATAATAATAATATTACAAAGGGGTGTTTTATTTTTATTTATTTATTTTTTGAGATAGGGTTTCACTCTGTTGCCTAGGCTGCAGTGCGGTGGCACAATCACAGCTCACCATAGCCTCAAAATCCTAGGCTCAGGTGATCCTCCTGCTTCAGCTTCTCAAGTAGCTGGGACTACAGGCACGCACCATCTCACCCAACTAATTTTTCTATTTTTTGTAGAGACGGGTCTCACTTTGATGCCCAGGCTGCTCTTAAACTCCTGGCTCAAGTGATTCTCCCACCTCAGCCTCCCAAAATGCTGAAATTATAGGCATGGGCCACCGCACCCGGTTTTATTCCCTGTTTTAGGGATAAAGAAGGCTCAGAATAGTTAGGTAAATTGTCCAGGGTCATAAAAGCTTGCTTATCTAATTGCAAGTCCCAAGTTCTCTGTAAAGAATGCCCCTAGCAGGGGCCATGCTTCCTAGGATCACTTACTCATGAGTTGGTTAGAGATGCAGCCCTAGCCCAGGTTTACAGAATCTGAATCTGCTCAAGTGACTTATGTGCATGTTGAAGCTTGAGAAGCACTGGGACATTGCCATTGCAACTCAGCCCTTGATTCCAGCTGTGGTCAGAATACTTTGCCCCCATTTCTAAATTACATCTTTGCAAACTACACGCCCCCACGCACACACGAGGATGTGGGGAGCGGTAGTGTCTCTGTATCTCTGTATCTCTGAGTAGTGGCAGAATCAGAGTTTATGCTCAAGTTATTAGTCTGTCTTCATTGTTCGATAGCAAAACACTTCATGTAATTATTGCAGAAATAATCCTGATCAACCTTTAAAACATGTGTTTTTACTTTGATTTATTTCCCCTCACCAATCCCCTCATTATTCTTGCAGAATACCCTTCTAGAAGAAGTGAATCAAATGCTAAATCTCACCCAAGAAGAAAGTAAGTCAATCGAAAAAATGCTAAATCTTTGATGTTTATTTAGACCTAACAAAACACAACGTTGTCTTTTGGAGCTTCTCCAAATAAACTCACAGACGCTTCTGAACATAAAGATTTTATTACCAATATATAAAGAGAGAAGCCGGGCTCGGTGGCTCAGCCTGTAATCCCACGCCTTGGGAGGCTGAGGTGAGTGGGTTGCCTGAGCCCGCGGGTTCGAGACCTGCCTGGGCAACTTGGCGAGACCTCATCTCTACAATAAATCAAAAATTAGCCAGGTATGGTAGCACGTGCCTGTAGTTCCAGCTACTTGGAAGGCTGAGGCGGAAGGATCGCCGGAGCCCAACAGGTCGAGGCTGCGGTGGCCGTGAGCGGCCACTGCACTCCAGTCTGGGCGACGGAGTGAGACTCCAACTCAAAATAAAAATAAATAAATAAATAAAATAAAGAGAGAAAAAAGATCTACAACAGATCTAATAACAACAGTAGCAAGCTTAGAGGTGGTTCTAGTGACATAAAGTCCTTGAAATGGTTGTGCCTCTCCTATTTCTTTAGATGTAAACAGACCAAACTGCCTGGGTTTGAGCCCTTCCTCTGCTGCTTCCTGGCTGTGTAACTGGGGCAAATGATTGAACCTCTCTGTGCCTCAGTCTTCTTATCTATAATAACTGTACTCACCTCATGTAGTTGTAAAGATTTAAAAGGTTAAGATGTGGAAAGAATTTACAGCAGTGCCTAACCTGTAGCAATATTATTATTACCTGTTATTTTTTTCAAGTAGTCTTGCATTAAACTCACTAGGTCTCAGTTTCATTTATAAAATGAGGATAACTACTTTACAGAGTTGCTATGAAGATTAAATGAGTTAATATATGTGCTGTATGTGCCTGGTCTACAGTTAAGAGTTCAGTCAATGTGCTAGTCGTTTTGATCATCTTTTTAAAATCTACCTGTTGTTATTCCATGGCATGAATAGCCTGCAGTTTTTTAGCAATCAATAACTGACATATTTTTAATTTTAATAGCATACAAGTAAAAATAAACAAGTTCATCAGAACATTGTTTTAGTCTGTTTGGGTTGCTATGCAAAATGCCATAGACTGGGCAGCTTATAAACAAAAAATATATTTCTCATATTTCTGGAGAATGGGAAGTCCAAAATCAAGGGATCAGTAGATTTGGTTTCTGGTGAGAGCCCACTCCTCATAAATGGCCTTTTTACTCTAAACTCATGTGGCAGAGGGGTAAGGGTCTCACTGGGGTCTCTTTTGTAAAAGCACTAATCCCATTCATGAGAATTCTGCCTCCTGACCTAATCACCTCCCAATGCCTCACCTCCTAATACCACCACCTTAGGGGTTAGGATTTCAATGCATATATTTTAGGAAAACATAAACATTTAGATCATAACAGACACTTTTATAAAATTCCAATATCTTTCTTATGACAATGACTAAAGTAGGTGATCTTTGTTATAAAGTATGTACTTTTGACTTTGAGGGCTTTTTTTGTTTTTTGAGTTAGAGTCTCACTCTGTAGCCCAGGCTGGAGGGCAGTGGCATGCTCACGGCCACCCCAGCGTCGACCTGCTGGCTCAGGTGGTCCGTCCACCTCAGCCTTCCAAGTAGACAGAACTGCAGGTGTGCGCTACCATGCTGGTTAATTTTTTTTTTTTTTAATTTATTGTAGAGATGAGGTCTCACCAAGTTGCCCAAGCTGGTCTCAAACCCGTGGGCTCAGGCAGTCCTCTCACCTTAGCCTCCCAAAGTGCTGGGGTGACAGGCTTGAGCCACTGTACCGGGCCAATTTTGAGGTTTTATCTCTTCACATACATCCTGTGAGCTATAAAAAATAAGGAAAGAGTAGAGAGAGCAGGCTTCAGATCCTGGCTTAGCCTCTTGCTTGGCCAAGTAACTTATCTAAGCCTTAGTTTTGCAATCTGCAAAATGGAATTATCACGCCTATCTCATAGTGTTGTTGTAAGAATTAAAAGAGGCTAAATATGTAAAATAGTTGTTAGAGTATTTGACACATAATAGGCCATAAGAGAGCAGTAGTTATTGTATGCATAGAAGCACTAACTAATTTCACAAATCTTTGCATTTTATGTTATTTTGATTTTAGTAACAGCAACAGTGAAAGTAAATTTGCCATTTGGGAGGCCCAGGGTTATGCAGAAGAACTTAGACCACTGTCTCCTGTACCACAAGGAATATGTCAGTGGATTTGGAAAAGCTATGAAAATGCCCATGTGGAGTTCATACACAGTCCCCCAGTGGGTAAGTCCCTGAGTCCATCGACCCATGTAGGCTGGGAAAATTTGTAATTCTTTAATATCTAAGAGTTGAATGTTGTTTTGCAATAGAGATCCCGAAGGGAGCTTACTGGTCTGTAGCTTATAAGACGATGTCCCAGCTATTGCCTCAAGCTATAAAAGTTTTTTTGTTTGTTTGTTTTTTTGAATTGGAGTCTCACTCCTTTGCCCAGACTGGAATGTAGTGGCCACTCCAGCATCAACCTGCTGGGCTCCAGTGATCCTTTAGCCTCAGCCTTCCAAGTAGCCGGAACTACAGAAGTGTGCTGCCACACCTGGCTATTTTAAAATTTTATTGTAGAGAAGAGGTCTTGCCAAGTTGCCCGGGGTTGGTCTCGAACCTGCGGGCTCAGGCAATCCTCTTGCCTCCCAAAGTGCTGGGATGACAGGCTGAGCCCCTGAACCCGACCTATAAAAGTTTTTTAAAAGCTATACGGCTGCAAAAGAGGGATGCATTGTGTTTGCCTGGAGAAATTAGAAAATGTTTACAGGCCAATTTGCCCATTGGTAAGGCAAGAATAAAGAACATTTCAGTCAGAAGCAACAGGAAACACAGAAGCATGATATTCATCTGGTATTCCCTCAAGTACATGATGGTGTACTTAGAAGAAAATGAGATTTTTAAAGGGCTTAGCATTTATTTGATACTTTAACAAGTACTTTGCTATCTGCTGTGTGCAATAGGCACAAGGAACACAACGTGAATAAGATATAGTTCTTTCACGAAGGGTTAGCACTCTAATAAGTCAGGCTAAACCTACATGGACAGATGTGTTATGTCACAGATCCTTTCAGACTGTGATAGAATCCACTTATTTTAACCCTCTTCTCTCTTCACTCTCTGGCAAACTCCCTTCACTAAATGGTGCCAGGACAACTGACTACCTATAAGGAAGACAATATTAGATCCCTACCTCACAACACACACAAACTTAAATTGCTGGTGGATTTGTCGTCCAAAATATGAACAGTAAATCCATATTTATTTTGTGCGTATCTTTATGATCTTGGATAGAGTAGGATTTCTTAGGACCCAAGAACAACAATAAAAGCAGAAATTGATTTATTTAGGCTGGGTGCAGTGGTTCACGCCTATTATCCCAGCACTTTGGGAGGCCGGGGTAAGAGGATTGCCTGAGCCCATGGGTTCAAGGCCAGCCTGGGCAACTTGATGAGATCTCATCTCTACAATAAATCAAAAAATCAGTCGGGCTTGGTGGCTCGTGCTTGTAGTTTCAGCTACTTGGAAAGCTGAGGCGGAAGGATCACCTGAGCCCAGCAGGTTGAGGCTATGATAGCCGTGAGCGACAGAGTGAGACTCTTGACCCCCCCAAAGAAAACCCAATTTATTTGACTACATTAATGTGTGACAAAATGACAAAGTCATGAATGGGATAATACATTTGCATTGCATATAAAAACAACTTGGGCAACCCCCTCGGGTCCCCTCTGCTCTGGGAGCTTTTCTGTCCTCTCAATAAATCCTGCTTTCTCACTAAAAAAAAAGAAAGAAAGAAAGAAAAGAAATAACTTCTGAGTATCCAGAACAGTAATTAAGATTCACCATAACTAATAAATCTCCACCAATAAAAAAGAGAATGGCAAGCATCTTAGTAAATTTAATTTAATTTTTTTAATTAAAAAAATGTGGGGTAAAATTCAGGGTTAGGTATACAAATGTTCATTATGCATGTACCCTTGTTGATGAGTTGTGTCCTCCCTCCCCCAGAAGATTCCTACTACTGCCAATCGCATCTTAGTAAATGAGCTAAGCAGTTGAAACTCAGTAGCAATAATGAAAATATAAATTAGAACAAAGCGTCAGTCTGCCAAAAATCAGTCCAACCACCCCTTCAGGACATGGATGGTTTTATTTACTATATTTCCAGCACAGTAGAGTTGCCCATTAAATACTTATTGGAAGAACTAATTGCAACCATTAGTTTTAAAGACTTTAAAGGACAAAGCTGTATTACCAACCAAAAGGGTCAAGAAATAACCAGGAAGCTGTTTTTATAGAGAGAAGCTTAGTATTTTATGTCCAGACTAATGGCAGACCCTAGTTATTTCTGTTCTTGCTAAGAGCACCCCCTCTTTTATGCAAAGAAAGTAATTGGTCGCATCTGATTTATCTACTCTTCTTGTTCCAATTCAAGATTTTTGAAGAAAAAGAAGCATATTTTTCCTATTTCTAAGTAAAGCTTTGTATTTTCTGAAAGCCAGCTCTGTTGCTGTCAATGGTTCAATTGTGGTTGCTGGTAACAGTTCTAATGTTGTTTGTTTCCCAATGTGGGAGAATATTTTACTGACAGTTACCTGAGTTCATACGTACTGATGATGGCAATATTACTTCTTAAGATGTACGATATTCAATTGTTTGTGATTTTCTTCAACATACAACATTCCTTAAAATAATTTCTATTTTGTTTTTGTTTTTGAGAAGGGCGGCATATTCAAAGTTAGTCTTATTATTCAGTTCTCTATTTTGAAAAGCCCAGGTACAGGGATTGTGTGGCATTAATGGGAATGTTTATATTTTTAATACTTTCCCCTGCTGTCTTGCATTCCGGAATTTATATGAGCTTTGGCGGAAACAAAAGGCGAAGAGATTTTGAAGTGGGCTCAGAGTAGGAGTTTCGTACAATTCTTCTTTGTTATTATTTTGAAACTTGCTTCTTTGTTACCAGAAGTTCCTGGCCTTTGACTGATCCCACAGAACTACTTGTGTATTTCTCCATCCATGTGACAGGATGGAATTCTAGCAATTTTCTGCTTTCTAATTCAGAAATTACTCTGTTAGTGTGTTGTGGTTCAAGAAAATTACATACGAGGATGTTTTGGGATTCACATAAAAATGTTGTAAATCAGCTCTGTGTTTGAAAAATCAGACTTTAAATAAGCACTTTTTGGAACATGGACCCAACTGGCCTGTGCCTTTAAGTTTCGTGGAGCTTTTGTTTTCCTGTGGTTTTGGTGGGTTTTCTAATTTTTGTTGTTGTTATCGCAGAACAGTTCTGGGGAAGTAGTTGTGATTTGAAATCGCAGTCCTACAACAACTGTTTCAAAACCATTAAGGTTGGTCAGGCTACACACGGATTTTGCTTCTGGGGCTATGGAGTACGAAGATGTGAACTAGGTGAAAAATTGAACATTTTGAAAATAAGAGTAAGAATTGCGTTTGTCGGCTGGGCACGGTGGTTCAAGCCTGTAATCCCAGCACTTTGGGAGGCCGAGGTGAGAGGATTGCCTGAGTCCAGGGGTTCGAGACCAACCTGGGCAACTTGGTGAGTCCTCATCTCCACAATAAATCAAAAAATAAGCCAGGTGTGGTAGCACGTGCCTGTAGTTCTAACTACTTGGAAGGCTGAGGATCGCCTGAACCCAGCAGGTCAAAGCTGCAGTGGCTGGGAGCATGCGCCACTGCTCTCCAGTCTGGGCCACAGAGTGAGACTCCAACTCAAAAAAAGAAAATAAAATAAAAACTAGGAACATTATTGCATGTTATGAACATTTCTTTAAACTTTTTACTTTCCCTGTAGAAAAAAAATCATGCAACCAGGCAAATAGTTAAAAACATATCGTTATTATACTTACCATAAGCAAGATCCTAATTACCTGGTATTCAAATAAGTTTTAGCTTTACATTCGGCCTACAGATAAGGAGCATTTACAACTTAAATAAAAATAATTTTATTGTCTGTTCAAACTCATCCCGATGAGGAGTAAAAGCATCTCATGTTCCTATGTACATCATCTACTTCTCTGAAAGGATTTTGAAAGCTAGGGAGTTCAGATTTTGTCTGTGTGTCTGAATTCTAGTTTTTGTTTTCCTGACTTTCTATCCCTTGGCTTCAAAAATTCCAGGGAACTCTGAGAAGATGGCAGGATTGAGGCTGTTTTTGTGTGTAGGGTGGTGGTGATGGTATCAGTGGTGGTGGTTCACTAAAGCCTTCTCTCATGAGACCGAGGCTCAGAAATGACACGCCCGTACCGCTTCTCCGTCTCTCTGGAAGGCTGCCTATTGCATAATCTCGCCTGGATAAAAGAGACCACATCCTCATTCCTAGTCTCCATGCCCTTCTAGTTGAAGGTTCAAGTTTGGTATGTAAGAAATAAATCTCAAGGTTTTCAGTTAGCAGATCGTATGTGGCATTTTTAACCCCTTTATGTCTGAAGCCATCCCATCCATCTCCCCAGTCCAAAGTCTTTTGTTACTTTCGAGAAAATGGTAAACATTTTTGCCCGACTAAACGACTTGAGTACAACTTTTACAGCTACAATCTAAAAACTATCCTGTACTTCTCTCCTTAACATTTTTATAATTTGAACTAGGCATCTCAATCTTTTATGGAAAATGCAGCTAGGGCTACATTTACACACTGTGTAAGTTTCAACTGAAACTTACTAATGTGAAATGTTGGAGTAAAATGTAAACATCTGTGTTAGGAAATATCAAACCGACAGCGTCCCAGGTGACTACGGGGCTGACTATTAGCAGCTGATCTTTGTTATTCCCCCATTTCACAACAAACGTATGCACCCCTTTTTAACAAGTGGAAAACCTGGTTATTCGGAACTGTTTACTAGGATGTGTTTTCAAAAGAATATAAACAAGTGTTTTTAGCTTTCAAGACTCTGCCACCTAGAGAGAGTGAAACAAATGGTGAGCACTCATTCAATGCCCTTAGCTCAAATATCTTCAAATTTGTTGGTTTACCTCTTGTTTTGATGAACTATATCACTCAGGAGCTTATTGAGAAAGAAAGGAGGGAAGACACATTTTTGAGACTTTGTGGGTCTCAAAATTTTTTTACTGTCTATACACTTGATCGGTGCTTTAGCTGGCTTCAGAATTTTAGAAATAACTTTTCTTTAAAATTAAGACTTCCTTAAAATTAGACTTCTTGGATGGATCCCCTGATACGTTTGTATCTTCCCTGCTTTTTTCTATTTCTTTGTCTTTTTTTTTGAGTTGCATTCTCACTCTTGTTGCCCAGGCTGGAGTGTAGTGGCACGCACACGGCCACCATAGCCTTGACCTTCTGCCTCAGCCTTCCAAGTAACTGGAACTACAGACACACACCACCACGCCTGGCTGGTTTTTGTGATTTATTGTAGAGATGAGTTCTCACCAAGTTGCCCAGGCTGGTCTCGAACCCCCAAGCTCAGGCAATCCTCTGGCCTTGACCTCCCAAAGTGCTGGGATTATAGGCTGAGCCACTGAGCCTGGCCCTCTTTGTCTTTAATTCTACTTTTTTGAGACATATTTCCAACTTCATTTTCTAGATCTTATTGAATATTTTCTATTTGCTATCATATTTTTAAATCCCAACAGCTCTTTCTGATATCTTTTTCCTTTTAGTTTTTTCTTTATGAATGCCATATATACCCTTATTTCTCTGAGAAGAGAGTTTCCTTCTCTCTGCATTGTCTCTTTTTCTTCTCCCCATCGTCTAATTTCTAGATTCTTGGCTGCCAGCTTATAGTTTAGGGATGAGGCACTAAATTACATGCCCGGGGCTTCTTAGCTGGTAAACGTCACTATAGGTTGAACTGTAAGAGAACCAGCCATATTGTTGGGTGCTCTCCTCTGAAGTATCTAGTTTTCCTTTTGGATGGGTTTGTTTCCCAAAAATAGGACACTTCTAAACTGACCCAGTGGGTACAACTTGTAGGCTACATAGGGCAATGAGACTAGAGAGAGTCTTGTCACTCAGTGTGTAGAGTTTTATTTAATCCCACTGCTTTCTGTATGGCAGACCTGCTGTTTGCTATGCCTTGTGTCTTCGTCAACCCTCTGGTTCAAACTCTCCATAGAGTAAGCATACTCTCTGACCTTTTGTTTGCAGACTTTGGATCTCCCCTCTGTCTCCAGCCTTACGCAAACCCCTGTCTTTAGACGACTCCAAGTTCTGCCCTTCTGGGGTTCTACAGTATAAATCTGCTTCTTGGTGCTTTCTCCAAACATAGGCTCCTGGGAGCCAGTGTCTACTGGTCTACTAAGCCAGGTTACTGTTATTTATTTGATACCCAGCTTCTGAACATTTTCATCTCTGACGTGTCTTTGTTATGACTTTTCTTTTCTTTTTTTTTTTTTTTTTGAGTTGGAGTCTCACTCTGTCGCCCAGACTGGAGTGCAGTGGCCACTCCCGGCCACCGCAGCCTCGCCCGCTGGGCTCCGGCGATCCTTCCACCTCAGCCTTCCAAGTAGCCGGAATTACAGGCATGCGCCACCACACCCGGCTGATTTTTTGATTTATTGTAGAGATGAGGTCTCGCTGCCCAGGCGGGTCTCGAACCCGCGGGCTCAGGCAATCCACTCACCTCAGCCTCCCAAAGGCGCGGGATTACAGGCTGAGCCACCGAGCCCGGCTATGACTTTTCTTTTAATGGAATTTTAGAGGGGAGAAAAATAGATATATGTGTTCATTTAAGTTGAGAATTTCCCTCAATGACTTTGTGTTTTCCAAGTGCAGCGCTGCAGTATGTTAGGGGCACAGTCTCTGCTTGGCTTTCCCTGGACTCCCCTCATCTGTGACTCTTGTCTGTGTCATACATCGGTGTGGCATTTTCCTGCCTATGAATATAGCGTGCAATGTGTGTTTCCTTTTTCTGTGCGAATTGAACTCATATGTTGTATACACCATAGCTTTTAGCTCAATGCAGTGAATAAAGGAAGGATATTCCAATTTCACGTAACTGTTTTAAAATATGAATTATTGCAAGTTTTACTGAGAAAGATATCCCACTGTGGTCAGTAGAGAGCATATAAATCAAAATCTCTGAAAAAATTAAACAAATAGCAAAATGTTCACTTACCCATGATGATATGTGAAGAAAAATATGATGATCATGTAATATAGTATTCCCCTAAATACTTGAGTTAGGCAGCATGCTTATAGGATGCTCACTGGTGAATAAATTATTGTACTCATTTTAAACTCGGGTTACTTACAAGACTGGGCTCGGTGGCTCAAGCCTGTAATCCCAGCACTTTGGGAGGCCGAGGTGAATGGATTGCCTAAGCCTGCGGGTTCGAGACCAGCCCGGGCAATTTGACAAGACCTTGTCTCTACAATAAATAAAAAAAATAAGCTGGGCATGTTCGCGCTCACCTGTAGTTCCAGCTACTTGGAAGGCTGAGGCGGAAGGATCGCTGGAGTCCAGTATGTCGATGCTGCGATGCTGGGGTGGCCGTGAGCGGGCCACTGCACTCCAGCCTGGGTAACAGAGTGAGACTCCAACTCAAAAATTAATAATATAATACAATACAATAAAACAGGGTCACAAAGAAATGATAAAATTTTATGATGAATGAAGCAGAACTGCAAATTTATTTAAATCCAAAAATCAGTATATTTGGACAACTACACATTGTTTGAATTAATCTTAGACTGATTAGAAGTTCTTGTCCAGCTGAAAAATCATAAGCTTAGTTTATATTTGTATTTTAAAAATAAATTTTGTGTTTTTTATTTTCAGTTTTTATTTACAAGTACAACGTATATGATCACATAAAAGCTAGATTCTAAAAAAGGGTTTGGTTTTTAGCAATGGCTCCCGTTATTTCCTCTGCTCTCAATTCGGCTTTTACTCTGCAAATATTTTTTTCCGAGGTGTATTTGATTTGCCCTCCCAATGTCCCGAACCAGAAGGAACCACAGAAGAAAACACTGCTGAAGACATCCATTCCCCTTGCTTGCGTAGACCTGATTCACTAAGAAAATAGGAAAAGCTTAAATGAAAAACACTCTAGGGAAGTGACAAACCATATAAGGCAAATGGGTGAGCCGCAATTGTGGGCGTAATTCTCTTTCTCTCTCTTTCAACAGGGAGACACATCGCCTCTTCCTCCCACTGTCCCAGACTGTCTGCGGGCTGATGTCAGGGTTCCTCCTTCTGAGAGCCAAAAATGCTCCTTCTATTTAGCAGACAAGAATATCACCCACGGCTTCCTCTATCCTCCTGGTTAGTAGAACGCTTTTTTAGAGCTGTAGCTTAGAAAGCCCTCATCAGCTGGATGTGGGCATGTGCCTTAAACATATACTCCTCACCAAAACTACCTGCTTGGGCTGAGCTAGCTGCCGCGAGAGGCTTCTAGTGGTCGTGGGCTGGCCAGAGCAGCACTGCAGCTGTAATAAAGACCAAGACGTTTTGCAGTGGGACACACACACCAGCTCTCATCTGGCCCAGATGTTTAGAGAGTTCGGCAGGTTTAAGTTTAATTTTAAAGCGGAAGATTCTTCTAGAGGTACGCAGGCATCCAAACAACCCTTTCTTCTGGATCCTGCCCCAGTTAAGGTCTGCAGAGAATACGCAGCTGTGCCTGTGAAGACGAAGCAGGCTGGAATTCTGGCCTGTCCCTCGTGCTGTACGTCCAACGGTTTTAAACTGCAAATGAAGCTGCCAAATGAACTTAATGTTGTTGTTTTTTTTCCCCACGACAAAGATCTCTCTTAGGAACATGCAAAAGCCAGTGTGATTTTTCTAAAAAACGTCTTCCTTGCGCAGCAGGAAATGTCATTTTCATTAACTTGCCCATGAGATTTTCAAGGATTACAGCTTCTGGGAATGGGTTTTACTCTTGGCATATGGCTGCATTTTTGTTGAAGCTATGACCAAAGATGGTTAATTTAGAGATTTATAATCTAGAGATTCTCAAATTTGTAGTGGGAAAAAAGGCCTAATGAAAGCAAGTAGCATATTGATGTAAAATCCCTAATATAAAATTAGGATAAAAAAATTAATATGTTTTGGTGGAATATCTAGATGCAATTAATGGTATCAAGTTTATTAAACCTCACAGTAAACCTTAAAAAGTTGCAACATTGTACTAATAAAATTTTCAAATTTGGCATATAAAGTTGTATCTGTTAAGTCAAAAGATATTCGTTGATGTATAAATGTTTGCCTTGACAAGGAAATGACATTAATAACTAAACAACTTGTCTCAAAAAAAATCAAGGATACAATAGAACTCCCAGCCAGGTGCGGTGGCTCTGCCTGTAATCCCAGCACTTTGGGAGGCTGAGGCGAGAGGATTGCCTGAGCCCGTTGGTTTGAGACCAGACTGGGCAACTTGGTGAGACCTCATCTCTATAATAAATTACAAAAACTAGTCGGGTGTGGTGGCATGCATCTGTAGTTCCAGCTACTTGGAAGGCTGAGGTGGAAGGATCACTTGAGCCCAGCAGGTTGAGACTGTGGTGGCCGTGAGCATGCCACTGTACTCCAGCCTGGGCGACAAGAGTGAGACTTCAACCACCCCCACAAAAAAATAGAACTCCCTTCTAATTCTCCACTATAAATTCTGACTATGTATTTGGTGGAAATAGAAATTCTATTACGAGCACATTCTTATTTTTCTCTGAAACACAAGTAATATTATGTGGACTGCCTTTCCAGCTTTCAAGGCTTAATTTAAAAAGTAGAAAAGGCTAGGCACGGTGACTCACACCTGTAATCCCAGCATTTTGGGAGGTGGAGGTGAAAGGATTGCCTGAGCCCAGCCAGGGGTTCAAGACTAGCCTGGGCAACTTGGTGAGACCTTGTCTCTACAATAATTCAAAAAATTAGCTGAGTCTGGTGGCATGTGCCTATAGTTATAGCTACTTGGAAGACTGAGGCGGGAGGATCACCTGCGCCCAGCAGGTTGAGGCTGTGGTGGCCGTGAGTGTTCTGCTGCACTCCAACCTGGTTGATAGAGTGAGACTCCAATTCAAAAAACAACTAAAGTAGAAAAGGTTTCCTGGGAGTGGTCTCAGGACCGTGAACAACATATGCAGTCTTAAGAAAATAAATGTTACTTGTTTTTCGTTGCCTTTTGGTGCCTATCTATTGGCCTCTTAAAAATTAGCTAACAGGGCATGGTAGCATGCCTGTCCCAGCTACTTGGGAGGCTGAAGCAGGAGAACCACTTGAACTCAGGCATTCAAGTCTGCAGTGAACAATCACTGCATTGCTTCACTCTGGCCTCAGTGACAGAGTCAGATCCATCTCAAAAAACCATAACAGTAATGATTAGTTAAGGTACTAAGTACAGTCTAGATATAGAAAGTACAATCGAAAGCTTATATAAGTGGAATCATGCAATATTTGTCTTTCTGTGATTTCCTTATTTCCCTTAACATAATGTGCTCAAGGTTCATTCATTCTGTCGAATATTGCAGAATCGAAAATAGTCAAATTCACAGACTCAGAGAGTCAAGTGGTGGTTGCCCGGAACTGGGGGAGGGGGAGATGGAGAGTTTCTAATTAACAGTTAAGCAAGATGAATGAGCTTGGAGATCTGCTGTACAACAAAAGATTGTACCTAGAGTCGACAGTACTGTAGCGTACAGTTAAAAATTTGTTAAGAGGGTAGAAGTCATGTTGAATGTTCAAGTATCATAAGAAACGTTTATAGGTTTAGCAGCTTTTAATCCTCACAGTAACTCTGAGATAGGTCATGAGACAAATGAAGCACCTTGCTCGGGGGTGCAGCATGTGAGTAGCAGATTTGGGGCTCCCATCTGGGCTGTCTGCTTCCAGAGCACTGTTGCTGAACACGTGCCGTGTAGACACACACCCCTAAATTCCCAGAGTCCGCTATTCGTGGTGTTCCCTTCAGCAGTCTTCATTGAGTGAAAACTCATTTTCTTAAGAAAATTTTATTTTGGAAGAGAGATTTTTGTTTTTTGAGTTGGAGTCTCACTCTGTCTTCCAGGCTGCAGTACAGTGGCAAGCTCTTGGCTACCGCATCCTCGACCTGCTGGGTTCAGGCTATCCTTCTGCCTTAGCCTTCCAAGTAGCTGGAACTACAGGCGGGTGCTACCATGCCTGGCTTATTATTGTTATTGTTATTATTTATTGTAGAGATGAGGTCTCACCAAGTTGCTCAGGTTGGTCTTGAACACCTGGACTCAGGCAATCTTCTCACCTCGGCCTCCCAAAGTGCTGGGATTACAGGCTTGAGCCACCACGCCTAGCGGAAGAAAGTTATTTTTAGTAGCATTATTATTTTGTGCACAACCATGGATCCATGTCTGGAATTATATTTGTTTCCTAGGGCTGCTGTAACAAATTAGCATAAACTGTGGACGTAAAACAGCAGAAATCTATTCTCCCATAGTTCTGGAGGCCGGAAGTCTAAAATGAAGGTGTTGGCGGGTCACACTGCCTTCCAGCACTCTGGGAGAGAATCCTTCTTTGCCTCTTTGCTTCTGCTGGCTCCCACCTTACTTGGCTTGTACTTGTATCACTCTAGTCTCTGCCTCTTCACATGGCCTTCTCCCCTGTGTCTCTCCTCTTCTCGAATCTTCCTCTCCCAATAAGGACACCAGTCACTGGATTTGGAGCCCATCCTAAATCCAGGATAATCTCACCTAGAGACTATTAGTTACATCTGCAAAGACCTCATGTCCAAATAAGTTTACATTCACAGGTATGTGGGTTTAAGACTTGCACACAATTTTGGGAGGGGTCACAATTCAACCCACTGTAAGTATCAAATGTATAAAACTGCCCTCATTATCAATAACCTCTACTAGAAAGTACTCAGTATTTCTGTGTTTTTTGTCTGTTAATAAATGTACATTAATGCATAATAGTAACATGGTTATTATGCAGTATGCCGTGTTTTCTTTTATAGTTAGATTTAATAAGATCCATTTGTTTTTCAGCAATCAATAGAACTTCTGATAGTCAATATGATGCTTTACTTACAAGTAATATGGTCCCTATGTATGAAGAATTCAAAAGTAAGTATGTATTTATGTTATTAATTTTAAAATATTGTATTGTAATTTGCTCCCAATATTACCATTTAGTTCTAATGTTTTAAATATAGGTCCAGGATTGATTCTTGACATAGTTTCTGTTCAACTTCAACTTTGAGTGACTTCTTGCTAGAATTCTGATCATTTATTTTTAACCCTTAATTTAACTATAAAGAGCTATTCATAAAACTATGTATTACTGCAACTCACCACCAGTAAATGATAGGAAAATGTTGTCCCAGAATAATAATGAATGAGGCAACTTGTGTCTTCTGATGATTTTTTTTTTTTTGAGTTGGAGTCTCACTCTGTCGCCCAGACTGGAGTGCAGTGGCCACTCCCGGTCACCGCAGCCTCAATCTGCTGGGCTCCAGCGATCCTTCCGCCTCAGCCTTCCAAGTAGCCGGAATTACAGGCATGTGCTACCACACCCAGCTGATTTTTGATTTATTGTAGAGGTGAGGTCTCGCTGCCCAGGCGGGTCTCGAACCCGTGGGCTCAGGCAATCCACTCACCTCAACCTCCCAAAGGTGCGGAATTACAGGCTGAGCCACCGAGCCACTCATTGTCCCATTAGCAACTCAGCCTTAGGGAGGAATTTGGAGACAAGACTAGAGCTATAGCAACAAAAGGGTATCATCAATGTAGCTATTTATTTTTGTTATATGTATCATTTTGTAGAATTACTCAATAACCATTGGCAATTATTGAAGCAGAATTTTATGATTTAATAGAAAATAGAAATAAAAAACATTTTCATGTTCAATACAGGTAGGCATTTTTAATTCTTTATTATTTTATTTTTAGAAATGTGGGACTACTTCCACAGTGTTCTTCTTATAAAATACGCCACAGAAAGAAATGGAGTAAATGTGGTTAGTGGACCAATATTTGATTATAATTATGATGGCCATTTTGATGCTCCAGATGAAATTACCGAGTAAGTAATTGGAAGTTTTGACTTGGCAATAGGGTACTAGAAGATGATATCCCAGTGTTAAAAATAAAAACTCAGCATTTCAAATATTACATAATATATCCTAGATAAATTTTATTGTTGGCTATTTTCAGTCTAGTCTATCCAAATATTTAGCAGAATTTTTATATGGCAAAAATGTAACCTAATGGGCAAATAAAACATTTCTGGAAAAACTTTCTTTAGCCAAAACTTTATTTGGAAAATTTCTAAACTAATGGGCAAAAATAACATGAGATTTTGTAATGGCCAAAGAGATAGAGAAAACTTGATGTACTATCAAAAAACATAAAACCAGTCCAACAATAAATCTGAGAATCAAGTAAAGGCAAAGGTAAATTTTATAAAAATAGTGAACAACTCATAAGAGCATTTCTTGGGGGGGAGGGTGTAGTTAAGTTTTATACAGAAAGTGAGTCATACTAAACTATGTTTTAATACTAAGCCTGGTCATAACTGGTTGCTAATAATTCATTTTCAATGAAGCACACAGTAATAGAGTTTTAGAGAGAAGTTTCATCCATCATTTCTCTTTATTGCCAAAATATGAGAAGGACCAAACTAAACATTTGTACTGTCTAAGCCTCTATTTTGTAGAGGAGGGGTCCTCTACCCCCTGGGCTGTGGATTGGTGCTGGTCTGTGTCTTGTTAGGAACTGGGTGCACACAGGAGGCGAGCAGTGGGTGAGCAGAGCTCTGTCTGCTGTCAGATCAGCAGCAGCATTAGATTCTCATAGGAGTATGAACCCTATTGTGAACTGTACATGTAAGAGATACAGGTTGGCCAGCCTTGGTGGTTTAGCCTGTAATCCCAGCACTTTGGGAGGCCGAGGTGGGTGGATTGTCTAAGCCCACATTCAAGACCAGCCCAGGTAACTTGGCAATACCTCATCTCTACAATAGATCAAAAATTAGCCAGATATGGTAGCGTGCCTATAGTTCCGGCTACCTGGAAGGCTGAGGTGGAAGGATCACCGGAGCCCAGCAGGTCGAGGCTGCGGTGGCCGGGAGTGAGCCACTGCACTCCAGCCTGGGCAACGGAATGAGATTCCAACTAAAAAAAAAATTAAAAAAACAATGTTGAGGAAGCTTAGTAAATCATAGAATTTAGAAGATGAGGCCAGATGGCATGGTTCACACTTGTAATCCCAACACTTTGGGAAGCTGAGGCAGGGGGATCACTTGAGCCTAGGAGTTCAAGATTAGCCTAGGCAACATAGCAAGAACCTGTTTTTACAACAACAACAACAACAAAAATTAGCTGGGCATGATGACAGGAGCTTGTAGACCCAGCTACTTGGGAGGCTGAGGCAGAAGGATTGCCTGAGTTGGAGGTCAAGGCTGCAGTGAGCCATTATCATGCCACTACACTCCAGCCTAGGTGATGGTGTGAGACTCTGACTCCAAAACAAAAATGGAGAATGGGTGCAAGTCTAAATATCTCATGGAAGTACACTGCTGATGTTGGAATCTGAGCTCTTTATCAGCCATTGCTCTGTTCGAAATTACCGCTATGAAGTATGAAGTCAACAAAACTAGGAAACATAAGAGGCAGAATAACATGTTCTGCTTTTCCTTGTATTATAATATTTTCCCATAATGTTAGAATGGTCAAGCTTGGACTTCTACTATAAATCTTTATTCTGGCTGATTAAAGTAAAAAAAAAAAAAAAGACTTTGTTCTTTCTATTTATTACTTTATTTTTACTTTGGCATTACTTTAAAAATATATACGGACATTTATAACCTTTAGAAGCAAAAGTATAATAGCATAAAATCTTTTTTTTCAATTGTGTTTTTAGACATGTAGCCAACACCAATGTTCCCATCCCAACGCACTACTTTGTGGTGCTGACAAGTTGTAAAAACAAGACCCACACACCAGACAGCTGCCCTGGGTGGCTGGATATTCTACCTTTTATCATCCCTCACCGACCTACCAACGTGGAGAGCTGTCCTGTGAGTATGCTTTGGGAGAGTCTGGGACCGGAGATGGTGAGTCAGAGCTCACTTGGGCTTTCACAAAAGCGGCTCTGATGAAAATATATTTTTGAGGGGTGTTTCATGGGTAAAATTGTAATAAAAGCGATTGAGTTTTTAAGCTTTTACTTAGACTATTGATCTCTATGTAATTAATATTAATTTAAACATGTATTTGCATGCATGAATATGTTTATAGATGCATACCTTATGTATTTATTTCTACATATTTTATTCACACTCATAAGGAAAGAGATGAAATTTTATCAATCTCTTTTTTTGAAAAAATACATGGTTGGCCACAGTGGCTCAGCCTGTAATTCCAGCACTTTGGGAGGGAGAGACGGACGATTGCCTGAGCCCAGGGGTTCGAGACCAGCCTGGGTAACTTGGTGAGACCTCGTCTCTACAATAAAATCAAAAAAACTAGCTGGGAGTGGTGGTATGCATCTGTAGTTCCAGCTACTTGGAAGGCTGAGGCGGAAAGATCGTCTAAGCCCAGCAGTTCAAGGCTGTGGTGACCGTGAGCGTGCCACTGCACTCTAGCCTGGGTAACAACAGTGAGACTCCAACTCAAAAACAAAACCTATATATATATATATATATATATATATAGAGAGAGAGAGAGAGAGAGAGAGAGAGAGAGCTGACATAATAATTGTGTATATTTATGGGGTACAGGGTGATATTTTGATACATGCATAATTTGTATAATGATCAAATGAGGATAGCTAGCATACCTATCATTTTAACCATTTATTTCTGCATTGTGGTGATAAATAATAGTCAAAGTCCTCTCTTCTAGCTATCTTGAAATATGCTGGCTAGTTGTAGCTACCCTACTGTGTAACTGAACACCAGAACTTATTTTTGTTCTGGGCATAAACCTTAAGTTTCTTACCAATGTTAGCACTAAATTAATGTTTCTGAATGAACATGTAAATCAAAAAATTCCATCAACTTAAAGCATGAAGTGTGAAATTAATGTTATACATGTGCACACAAAAAGTAAGTTAGTTCAAGTAACATTTTTTTTAAGAAAATCATTTATTAGCCCAACTCAAAATCATTTGGATCAAGGCAGTTTATATATAAATAGTTCCATCAATTTTCACATATACTTCTTTTTTTTTTTTTTTTTTTGAGTTGGAGTCTCACTCTGTCGCCCAGGCTGGAGTGCAGCAGCATACTCACGGCCACTCCAGCGTCGACCTCCTGGACTCTGGTGATCCTTCCACCTCAGCCTTCCAAGTAGCCGGAATCACAGGCATGCACTACCACGCCTAGCTAATTTTTTGATTTATTGTAGAGTTGAGGTCTCTCCTAGTTGCCCAGACTGGTCTCGAACCAGCGGGCTCAGGCAATCATCTCGCCTTGGCCTCCCAAAGTGCTGGGATTACAGACTGAGCAACCGAGCCTGGCCTCTCATATATATTTCTTATAAAAAAATGTATCTTGGAAACTGGGTTTTACTGAAGTCATTCAACAAATATATCTAATACCCACCAAGTGTACATTATCATGATAGAAACTCTTTAGAGTACACAAAGGAGAAATACAGTGCTCCTTCCCTTAAGGGGTTCATATACAACTTCGATATATAAATGAGAAATAGGCACATACATTGTTCAGTTAATAATATAAGGATGATTTGTAAAAGAAGGCCAGGTATAGTGAGTGACTCATGCTTGGAATTCCAGCATAGCAGGAGGACTGCATAAGGCCAGGAGTTTGAGACCAGACGAGCCTGGGCAACAGATTGAGGCCCCCTCTCTACAAAAAGTTTTAAAAAATTAGACTGGCATGGTGGGACACATTTGTAGTCCCAGCTACTTGGGAGGGTAGCTTGAGCCCAGGATGTTGAGGCTACAGTGAGCTATGAGCACATCACTATACTTCAGCCTGGATGGCAGTGAGACCCTATCTCGAAAAATACATAAATAAAATAAAATAAAAAGTAAAAGATAAAAGATGTTAAAAAGCTGGGATTGATTGTCAAATACCATTAAAAGGATTTAGTGTTTGGAATTAAAAACACGTGTGACTAGAAAGATCATTAAAGACTTGATAAAATGAAGTGCCCTGAAGGATGGGCAGAATTTGAATAGATTGGACACACTATAAAGAGGTCTTTCATGAAGGGTATGAAGAATGAAGAGAAATTGGTAACTGATTGAATGCATGAGCCAAAAAAAAAAAAAAAAGGAATCAGTGCCAGGTGCAGTGGCTCACACTTATAATCTTAGCACTTTGGAAGATGGAGGCCAAAGGATTGCCTGAGACCAGGGGTTCCAGCCCAGTCTGGGCAACTTGGTGAAACCTCATCTCTACAATAAATCAAGACATTAGCAGGGCATGGTGGCGTGGACCTGTGGTTCCAGCTACTTGGAAGGCTGAGGTGAGAGGATCGCTTAAGCCCAGTAGGTCAAGACTGTGGTGGCTGTGAGCATGCCACTGCACTCCAGCCTGGACAAACAGTGAGACGCTGACTCAAATTTAAAAAAAAAAAGATAAATCGCTGGGCTCGGTGGCTCGGCCTGTCATCCCGCGCCTTTGGGAGGCTGAGGTGAGTGGATTGCCTGAGCCCGCGGGTTCGAGACCCGCCTGGGCAGCGAGACCTCATCTCTACAATAAATCAAAAAATCAGCCGGGCGTAGTAGCACGCGCCTGTAGTTCCAGCTACTTGGAAGGCTGAGGCAGGAGGATCGCTTAAGCCCAGTAGGTTGAGGCTGTAGTAGCTGTGAGCATGCCACTGCACTCCAGCCTGGACAAACAGTGAGACGCTGACTCAAATTTAAAAAAAAAAAGATAAATCGCTGGGCTCGGTGGCTCGGCCTGTCATCCCGCGCCTTTGGGAGGCTGAGGTGAGTGGATTGCCTGAGCCCGCGGGTTCGAGACCCGCCTGGGCAGCGAGACCTCATCTCTACAATAAATCAAAAAATCAGCCGGGCGTAGTAGCACGCGCCTGTAGTTCCAGCTACTTGGAAGGCTGAGGCGGAAGGATCACTGGAGCCCAGCAGGTCGAGGCTGGCACTCCAGTCTGGGCGACAGAGTGAGACTCCAACTCAAAAAAAAAAAAAAAAAAAAAAAGATGAATCAAAGATATTCAATGTAGGAACCCAGAAAAACAGAAAGAGGCCAGGCTTGGTGGCTCAGCCTGTCATCCCAGCACTTTGGGAGGCCAAGATGAGTGGACTGCCTGAGTCTGCGAGTTCAAGACCAACCCAGGCAACTTGGCGAGACCTCGTTTCTACAATAAATAAAAAATTAACCTGGCATGGTAGCACAGGCCTGTAGTTCCGGCTCCTTGGAAGGCTGAGGCAGGAGGATCGCTAGAGCCCAGCAGGTCGACGCTGGGGTGGCCATGAGCGTGCCACTGCACTCCAGCGTGGGCAATTGAGTGAGACTCCAATTCAAAAAAAATAAAAAAAAAAGAATGAGAACTTCTTGGCAGGTAGATAGGACAGTTACGTCTAGACATATCAAGTTTGTGGAAATGGGCGTTGACATGGAAAGTGCCACAGGCTGTGAAAACTAGAAATTAAAGTTTAGGTTCTTGCCAGATTGGGAGTCCTTGCAATTACTTCAACACATCCGGTTGGGATTCATCTACATTCTATCAAGTGTTCAACACATGACTGCCTTCACCATGCCATGTACTACAGAAGTACTCACACTTAGAAACCTAGAAAAATAGAAGAAAGACATCAGATGTAAGGGAGTCACAGATAAACTGCTGGAGGATTTCAAAGGAAAAATACTTCCTGACAGAGAAGGTGATATTTTTGCTGGGTTTTACAGATAGGATTGTACTTGAGTGTTTGAGATGGTCTTTCAGTGACTAAAGGTGGAAGCCAAACATCCGTGGCTTAACAGTGGCGCCATCCATAGTCCTAAAATGAGGAAAAAGAGTTTCCACACAAGAAACTATCAGGAGATGTTGCCGAGTTGAATCTCTTCCTACTTTTCTGGTCAGCATTTTATTTAGTTGCGACAAGGGTAAGCCAGCATCCTTCACTTTCTCTTCCAATGGCAGGCACTGATAACAGATACAGCGTGGTACTCTTTGCCATGAAATCAGGATTAAGTAGTTCTTTATTACAGAGGTTCTAGGTAGCCATTATAGAGGGATTACAATGGGTATGCAAAGAAGCAACTATTTGCCATCCTTGGTCTAGGCCCTTTTGGTCTTCTATCAGGACTTTTGAAAATGAGTCTTAAGAAAATTTGCTGCTGACGCCTATAATCCCACCACTTTGGGAGTCCGAGGTGAGAGGGTTGCCTAAGCCCACGGGTTTAAGACCAGCCTCGGCAATCTGTCGAGACCTCATCTCTACAGTAAATCAAAAAATTAACTGGGCATGGTGGTGCATGCCTGTAGTTCCAGCTACTTGGAAGGCTGAGGTGGAAGGATCGCCTGAGCCCAGCCGGTAAAGGCTACGGTGGCCGTGAGCATGCCACTGCACTCCAGCCTGGGCAACAGAGCGAGACTCCAACTTAAAAAAAACCCCAAAAAACAAAAACAGATTTGCTGTCTCCTATCCTCTTTCACATATGTGTACTGCAGCCAAATTTCTTAATAAAAACATTGTTTTTATTATGTTATACTCCCTCACCCCAAAACATTTTATTATCCTGAATTTTTTTTTTTTTTTTTTTTAAAAAGCAGGATTTATTGAGAGGACAAAAAAACTCTGACAGTGAGAGGGGACCCGAGGGGGCCCGAGGGGGTTGCCCTATTCTGAATTTTTTTAAAAGACTAGCAAAAGAAACCTCTCAGCCTATACTTAAATTCTTTCGCCACTTACCCTCAGTTGGTCTTGCCAGGTCATGTTCCATGCCAGCTGGAGTCCTTGAAATGACTGCAATACACCTTAAGTTTCCCTGCTTCGCCATTGCTGCCCACATTCTTCCCTTCTCTAGAATTTCCTTCTTTTCCATCTGCTAAAAGTTCTACCTGCAGGTCAAGGGAAAGTTCA